ACACCAATATTTCATTTGCACGCACACTCATTCTCAACTCCTCACGAGTTCCCTGGACACACACAGACATTTCACTGTGCACGCACACTCAAACTCCACTCCCCTGTCTACTGGTCGGGTGCCAAGGGCAGAGGACTCTGCCGTGCACCAATGGGGCATCTGCTCTGGACAGAGCAGACCCGCCTCCTACGCCTCGGGAACCAATCAAGGGACTAGAAGAAGGACCCCTTCCTTTATGTTACATTGTATAAAGTAATGCTGTAAACTCTGTTTAAACATCCTTCTCAACTGTCTCCATAAGAGGCAATTGATTGGGTCCATGCATGTAGCTTGAACAGAACAAGATATCTCTGTTTTGATAAACTGCCTTTTGCTTAAACCTAATTCCACTCTGTCCAGCGTCGTTGGTTTGTACTTCCTCTCCTAATTATGTGTTCACCAACAAATTGGTAGCAGAGGATGGTTTCTAATTCGATCTAAAGAGTTGGTGCGAGAGGAAAAGGCAAATCATCGATCTAAAAACAGACGGAAGAGTGACCTGTAATCCAGGAGACATCAACTATTCGTCTTGCCTCAGGAACCTGATCAGAGCGCTCTTCTAAAAAGGTATGCAGAGCCTGTTAAAACGAAATCTTGCATATTGTATTATAGAACAATACCAAATTTTGATCAGAAGTACTGAGTGTGAGTATGAATACTTGTTAAATAATTTCCATCCTAATGAATTAAGGCATAAGTGAGATATCTGGTACTGTGATTTATACTGTAAAATTTCCTACAAGATCTGTGTTGTTCTACAATTCCACATTTAAAAGGTCCTATTTTTTTAGATAGGTTGTGTGGGAAGTGTGCTTTCACACGTATAAGTTTGCACATTTAAAAGGTCCTATTTTAGATAGGTTGTGTGAGGAATAAGAGAAATGTATCTCTGTATAAGTTTGCACATTTAAAAGGTCCTATTTTAGATAGGTTGTGTGGGGTTTTCACATTTAAAAGGTCCTATTTTTAGATAGGTTGTGTGGGGTTTTCACATTTAAAAGGTCCTATTTTTAGATAGGTTGTGTGGAAGTGTGTTGTCACACGTATAAGTTTTCACATTTAAAAGGTCCTATTTTTAGATAGGTTGTGTGGGGTTTTCACATTTAAAAGGTCCTATTTTTAGATAGGTTGTGTGGGGGATGGGTTTTGACGTATGAGTGGATAAGATTTGACCCATCATTAGGTGGGGGAGAATCACCGAAATTGACCAGAGGTACTAAATTCCCGGGGATGCCAGCTATCTCTGTAATTTCACATTCAAAACGTTCCTACTAAATGGTTGTGTGAAAGGTGCAGTTAACCTGAAGACAAAAGTCTCTAAGGGATCCAGTTGCTTCTGTGACTTCACATAATGAAGGTGCCTAAATAAGGTTGTGTGAAGGGTGGCAGTCGAACTGAGACTATGTTTTAGGACGCTCTGGTAATCTAAATTCATTAGTTGCTTCTGTGACTTCACATGTAAAATTGGTCCTTACATAAGGACGTGTGAAGGGTGGCAGTCGAACTGAGAATGTGTTTTAGGACGCTTTGAAAGCCTGAATACATTAAGCATTGTAATTCCAATTGGCTTTTTGGGTTGTGTGTTTTTATGTATTATAACGTGTAATGGATGATGGGAAGTTATAGTGAGACTTATGAAACTGAATACCAATCTGTGGAATTGAGTGAATTTGACCTAGGCTTTCAGGAACCAGGGATTGGGGAGACTGATATTGGATCTGTGCATATTCTTGAACAAGAACTGAGACAATTGAAGCGTGTTGTGTGCTGTGGAGGAATTACTGCATTGGTATATGTGACTGGAATTCTGATTTTTATGATAATAATTGCATTACAAATTATATAAATCAGCCTCTTTATATACGAGGGTGTCGTACATGAGATAAGTCTGTATTGATACCGATAATACATCCTTGGAAAATAAAACACCAGGGACGGGATAAGTGTATAAAGATAGAGAAAGCAAGATGGCAGGGCCAAACATAACTAAACCCAAATTTAATGAATATCTAGAACAACGAATGACAGACAGAGCAAGGGGAAAAGTACAGTATAGGAAAGTTAAAAAAGTGGCGTTGGAGAGCAGGAGGGTGCAACCAAAGAAATCAGATACGATGTGTGTGGCCACTGAAGCAGCTTCCCCAGAGGCCAGTACCAGCACCACTCCTGGCCCCACCTCACTATACAGCCTAAAAGGCACCATGACTTTTGGCCCACAACCACAACCATGGCCTCAGCAGGGCACCCCATTAGGTCCTCCAAGAGGAGGGAACTACCTGTGCTACCATTGTGGAAGACCTGGACATTTCAAGCGTGATTGTTGGGATCTGCAGCAATCTAACCATCAACCCCCAGGGAGGGGAAGAGGCAGAGGTACACCACAATGGAGAGGTAGAGGAAGGGGAGGACCCCCACAACAACCATAAACCCACCTGTCTGAACTCCAGGTGCCCGAAGGCGTGATCCTCATCCAATACTACTACCACCGACATCACAGACTGAACTCAACCAAGGCGATATAGCACAGTTACAGAGCTCAGCAGGACCCTATGAACACTCAGTCTGGGCCCAGGAGGGGGCGGCAGAGGACAGGACGAACTCTGGAGGTGCCATGATGGAAGACTAGTTGAACCAGCTAGACTCTGCCCAGAACTGTTGAGTGAGGCCCACGGGCCCACGCACGAGGGAAAGTTTAAGACCCTCCAAAAGTTCCCACACATCTGGTGGCACCCTCACATGAAATAAACTGTAGACAGGTTTTCAAAATGGGTAGAGGCAATTCCTACAGAAACTACAGAATAAGAGGATGCTAGGTCAGTCATTAAGTGGCTACAAACTAAGTTAATACCCAGATATGGTATACCAAGGCAGATAAGATCTGACAACCACACGTTTTAGCAACAAAACATCTGAGAGAGGTGGAGGAAAGATTCGGAGTCGTGCACAGATCCAGTTCAGTACCATCCTCAGTCCCAGGGACTCGTGGAACGCGCCAACCTAGCCAAGGGAGGGAGGTCATATGCCCGCCCTTGATGTACAACAGATAGAAATGACTGATTATGTGAAGAAATTGACGGAATTTTCTGCAGCACTCTCTTCTCAGGTGCAGAAGGCCCAAGAGGGGGAGCTGACGGGAAGTACGCTACCACTGAAGGTAAAGGTGGGAGACTGGGTGAGGGTAAAAGTCCACAAGAGAAAGTGGCTGGAACCCAGGTGGACTGGACCGTACGAAGTGAAGGAGGTTACTTCACACTCAGTCCAGGTCAGAGGTAAATTAGGCGCACCCTGGCACCATCTAACACATTGCACACGAGCCCCCACTCCTTCTAGAACACTGACAGAAGTCAGAGCTGATTTGAGCAGCAAAACCACAATTTGATACCAAACATGTATATTCCCTTATGGAAAAAAGAACCTCGACCAGGTAGAAGGAGAAATCTTTGCCATCGCACCCACTCCAAACGAACAAGCTCAAATCTACCCCTTTTAGGGGAAGATGAAATAGAATTTGAACAACAGCTTTGATGTATTTAATCGTGCACTAGAGGGGGACTAACATAGTTTAATTAACTGGCCATATAATTAGTATGCTAGAGGGGGATGGTTGAAATTTTTTACAATTGCATTATGCGTTATCATGTGTTGTTTTCTTTTCTGCATTATTGTTTTTCTTTTAAGACTGATTCAACTATGCTTCATGCCACCATAATTAATGGATCACGTCTGGGAGACGTGAAGAGGGGGATTTGTCGTAGTAAATATAATTTGTCGTAGTAAATATAAAATGTTATAGATTGGTCTGACTAAAATGTTGTGCAAGACCCATTTGTGTTAGGAGCTTGTTTTCAATAAATGCTGTTCCAGGTCAGAGAACAAAGGACAGAGGAGAACACCATATCTTGTCACCAGATGGCCTAGTCTTGCAGGAATGCGATAACAGGACAACATCCCCACCTCCGGCCATAAACCACCAGTTACTCCCCACGAGTTCCCTTGACACACACCAATATTTCATTTGCACGCACACTCATTCTCAACTCCTCACGAGTTCCCTGGACACACACAGACATTTCACTGTGCACGCACACTCAAACTCCACTCCCCTGTCTACTGGTCGGGTGCCAAGGGCAGAGGACTCTGCCGTGCACCAATGGGGCATCTGCTCTGGACAGAGCAGACCCGCCTCCTACGCCTCGGGAACCAATCAAGGGACTAGAAGAAGGACCCCTTCCTTTATGTTACATTGTATAAAGTAATGCTGTAAACTCTGTTTAAACATCCTTCTCAACTGTCTCCATAAGAGGCAATTGATTGGGTCCATGCATGTAGCTTGAACAGAACAAGATATCTCTGTTTTAATAAACTGCCTTTTGCTTAAACCTAATTCCACTCTGTCCAGCGTCGTTGGTTTGTACTTCCTCTCCTAATTATGTGTTCACCAACAGGCCCCAGGGACCGAACCCACTACCCTGGCGTTACAAGCAACATGCTCTACCCACTGAGCTACATCCCTGCCGGCCATTCCCTCACCTGCCCTGGACGACGCTGGGCCAATTATGCGCCGCCCCATGAGTCTCCCGGTCGCGGCCGGCTACGACAGAGCTATGGGACAATGATCACTGAGATCATATGCAAATACTCCACTAGACAAATATTTATGGGGGTTATTTGTAAGAATTAAATCAATCAATGAAGAGTTAACAGGGTTTTTCACATTTAGCTGTGTGGGTTTTGAGATCAATTGAGTCAGATTAAAATGAGGTCTCAGGTCGGGGATAGCCAATCCAGATTCAAATCTCCTAAAATAACCAAAATGTAGCCCAATTTCTGGTAAAACACCGGACATGGCAACCCTGGCTGTATTTAAATGTTGTTTAAGCACAGAGTTGGGTTGGTTCCAATGCGCTCCTCCAGTACAGCACCAGGTGGCGGTAGCACACTTTATGTTTAGCTCTTTTCAGCCAATGAACACAGTCAGCTCTTACTCTGTGGTTCTAGACGCAGTTCCTTCCGGGAAGTGTTGCATGAATGAATCTCCCTCGACGGTCATTCCACCAAAAATGTCAAAGTTGCAGTTGTTGCAAGCGTTTTTCTCTGACCGTTTAACAACAGTGGCCGTAGAGATATCCGTGGCAGCGGGAAAAGCGTTTGCCGAGTACCAGGATGAGATCTCTCGTTCAAAGGAGGAGAATCAACGCCTGCAGAGGCTGCTGGATTCGGTTTTTAATCCCGATGTAAAATTACACAAAGCAGGTAAACCAAAGATTGTTTAAGTAAACCAAGATAAACCACAGCCTGTCGTTTCCAGTGGGAATAAATTAGTTTTAGTGGGCAGAACAAACAAGGAGGTGGTCAGAGCCAAGCACGAGCTAGCGAGATCCTATTGGCGTGTTTTAGCATATATCTGCATATGTCCGTTAGGGAACGCCTACGCGTGTGCAATAACTAAATTCGCCTTTGCGCACCTTCTAAACAACGCCATTTAAAAAAACATTTGCAGTGTAAAGTCTACAAAACTTAGTCCACTCTTTTCATAACAGATTATAGTTTTGGGAACAGAACTATATTGAGATAAAATGTTTCATCTATGAGAAAATTTGCAGAATCTCGGCTAAAACAATCTCGTTCCATCTTCCAGCTTCACATTTATACATCCAGTGAAATATCTGTCTCATTGTTCTATCTGTGGGTAAACTATCAGCAAGCTAGCCATTAAATCAAATCAAATCAAATTTTATTGGCCACATGCGCCGAATACAACAGGTGCAGACATTACAGTGAAATGCTTACTTACAGCCCTTAACCAACAGTGCATTTATTTTTAATAAAAAAGTAAAAATAAAACAACAACAAAAAAGTGTTGAGAAAAAAAGAGCAGAAGTAAAATAAAATAACAGTAGGGAGGCTATATATACAGGGGGGTACCGGTGCAGAGTCAATGTGCGGGGGCACCGGCTAGTTGAGGTAGTTGAAGTAATATGTACATGTGGGTAGAGTTAAAGTGACTTTGCATAAATAATTAACAGAGTAGCAGCAGCATAAAAGGATGGGGTGGGGTGGGGGGCAGTGCAAATAGTCAGGGTAGCCATGATTAGCTGTTCAGGAGTCTTATGGCTTGGGGGTAGAAGCTGTTGAGAAGTCTTTTGGACCTAGACTTGGCACTCCGGTACCGCTTGCCGTGCGGTAGCAGAGAGAACAGTCTATGACTAGGGTGGCTGGAGTCTTTGACAATTTTGAGGGCCTTCCTCTGACACCGCCTGGTATAGAGGTCCTGGATGGCAGGAAGCTTGGCCCCAGTGATGTACTGGGCCGTACGCACTACCCTCTGTAGTGCCTTGCGGTCGGAGGCCGAGCAGTTGCCATACCAGGCGGTGATGCAACCAGTCAGGATGCTCTCGATGGTGCAGCTGTATAATTTTTTGAGGATCTGAGGACCCATGCCAAATCTTTTCAGTCTCCTGAGGGGGAATAGGCTTTGTCGTGACCTTTTCACGACTGTCTTGGTGTGTTTGGACCATGATAGTTTGTTGGTGATGTGGACACCAAGGAACTTGAAGCTCTCAACCTGTTCCACTACAGCCCCGTCGATGAGAATGGGGGCGTGCTCAGTCCTCTTTTTTTTCCCTGTAGTCCACAATCATCTCCTTTGTCTTGGTCACGTTGAGGGAGAGGTTGTTATCCTGGCACCACACGGCCAGGTCTCTGACCTCCTCCCTATAGGCTGTCTCATCGTTGTCGGTGATCAGGCCTACCACTGTTGTGTCTTCGGCAAACTTAACGATGGTGTTGGAGTCGTGCCTGGCCATGCAGTCATGGGTGAACAGGGAGTACAGGAGGGGACTGAGCACGCACCCCTGAGGGGCCCCCGTGTTGAGGATCAGTGTGGCAGATGTGTTGTTACCTACCCTTGCCACCTGGGGGCGGCCTGTCAGGAAGTCCAGGATCCAGTTGCAGAGCGAGGTGTTTAGTCCCAGGATCCTTAGCTTAGTGATGATCTTTGAGGGCACTATGGTGTTGAATGCTGAGCTGTAGTCAATGAATAGCATTCTCACGTAGGTGTTCCTCTTGTCCAGGTGGGAAAGGGCAGTGTGGAGTGCAATAGAGATTGCATCATCTGTGGATCTGTTTGGGCGGTATGCAAATTGGAGTGGGTGTAGGGTTTCTGGGATAATGGTGTTGATGTGAGCCATGACCAGCCTTTCAAAGCACTTCATGGCTACAGACGTCAGTGCTACGGGTCGGTAGTCATTTAGGCAGGTTATCTTAGTGTCCTTGGGCACGGGGACTATGGTGGTCTGCTTGAATCATGTTGGTATTACAGACTCAGTCAGGGACATGTTGAAAATGTCAGTGAAGACACTTGCCAGTTGGTCAGCACATGCTCAGAGTACACGCCCTGGTAATCCGTCTGGCCCTGCGGCCTTGTGAATGTTGACCTGCTTAAAAGTCTTACTCACATCGGCTACGGAGAGCGTTGCCAATTTTTTTGCCACATGCACCGAATACAACAGGTGTAGACATTACAGTGAAATGCTTACTTACAAGCCCTTAACCAACAATGCATTTTTTTAATTTTAGAATAAAAGCAAATAACTAAAGAGCAGCAGTAAAATAACAGTAGGGAGGCTATATACAGATTTGACCCTTCGCTAAGCCCCGCCACGGAATGTTGGGCAACCAATCGCAGCGCTCCAATGCAACTGTCGTTGAGTCCGACACCTCGGACATGCTCGCGTTTAAATCCATATTTGTCATCAATACCAGTATGTATGGGATCTAGTTTATTTTACGCCTGCTACGTTAGGTTATGGTTTTGGGGACGCTGTCAGCATGGTCACTGCCCTTTAAATACGTCACTCATTGGGCAGATTGGATTATGCTGAGCCACTGGGCACCGGTCTTTGGCCCGTGATGTGAATAGGCAAAAGCGGTGCAGGAGGAGCGCCCTTCTCAAATTGAACAGTAATCTGTGCCGCTCGGTCATGTTGTCGACAAGCCAGCATGGTGCATCGTCCGGAAACATACAACATCTATTTTCCCTTAAATATATGTTATAATTTTCAAACTAGTTTGGAAGGCAGATGAAGCGTTTTTATCAAAAGCAATCACTTTTGCATGTGAAAACACAGAATCCTACTCCACATGCTAATTAGTCACTTTTGTTTCGAGCCGACTTCACCGTGGGATTTGAATGGGGCACCTAGCTCAAATACACCAGCGTTAATAAAAGCACCTATATAATGCTGTGTATGTAACTGATGCTAATAATCATGTCATTACAGTCTCAGAGGGAGATTATTTATTGAAATGTCTAGATTTTTCTTGAAAGTTATTTAATATCTTTCCTTCCAGACCCCCCGCAGCTCACTCTCACTGTCTCTGGAGATGAGGTTCCCCCTGAGCAGCAGCACTGTGAGGAGGAGTGGAGTGATCAAGAGATCATCGAGTCCATATTCATTTCCCCCTGTGTGGAAAGCGACAGTGCTCAGGACTCACCCGAGCGCTCACAACTTTACCAAACTGGGAACTCCCTTCCCACCATTGCAGCAGAACCGATCCAAACAAATCCCGATGAAGAGGACGATGAAATATCAGAATCAACCGGTGACACTCCCCTCACACAATTAAAGCCTCTCAAAATAAAGAGAACACGGTTAAAGAAAGGACTAAGCTCTTACATCTGCACTGAGAGCAAGACAACCAGTGAGTTGAAAGCGCCATCGAGGGTTCACACAAGGAAGAGACTCTACAGTTGTACTGAGTGCACAGCAACCTATGACAGACCTTGTCATTTGGAAATCCACAAGAGAATTCACACGGGTGAGAAACCATACGAGTGCAAAGACTGTGGTAAATGCTTCAACCGCAAGAATAGCCTAACGATGCATATGCTAACTCACACAGGGGAGAAATCGTTCTGCTGCCATGAATGTGGCAAATGCTTTGGTCTAAACACGAGACTGATACTTCACATGAGGACACACACAGGGGAGAAGCCACACAAGTGCCCTTTCTGTGCCAGATGCTTTACATTTCCAAGTCACTTAAGTCGTCACAAGAAGCTCCACACAGGAGAGCGACCACATCAATGTAATGTCTGTGGGAAATGCTACACACGGAAGGAGCACCTGACAGACCATATGACATCCCATACTGGAGCAAAACCATACAGCTGTAAGCAATGTGGCAAATGCTACGCATTGCAGGGAAACCTGAGAGCGCATATGGCGAGTCACACAGGGAATAAGTCATTGTGCAGGTGCGCTGTGTGTGGATTGGGTGTTCTAAATCTAAGTCGCCACATGCAAGAAGTTCACACAGGAGGCAAACAGCATCAGTGCCAAGATTGTAGGAAGTGCTTCAACCGAAAGGAAAAACTGACAGAGCACATGAGGACTCACACGGGAGAGAAACCGTACCGCTGTCATGATTGTGGCGAATGCTTTAGGCTCAATGTAACCCTGAAGAAACACATGATGACACACACAGCTGCGGCAAGTGCTTTTCCATGAGAGAAGCTATGAGAAGTGAAGAGGACACACACAGGGAGAAATCTGCTTAGTGCGATGCATGTTTCAGCGATATTGTTCAAATTCAATGTTTTAATGTTCACATTCAATGTTCATAAAGTTTCAATTAATGTTTCAACTGATATTTAATTTCAGAATGTATTCAGGGTCAGGGTTAAGGGTTTGTTTAAGGTAAGGGTCAATTTTAGTTTTTTGCTAGTCGGTTTAAGCGTCAGCTGTGTCCTTATAGTCTCTCCCATAATAGGTACATAAAAGCTATTTGTAAAATAAAACAGTGTGTAAAGTGTCGACATGCTTGTACCCTCTACTACATCTCTGGACAGCACATAAGAATCCATTGTGTAAAATGTGTCAGTCAAACAATGAGAGGCTTTTTGTAACTGACACATGTAAGAGAACCTGTGCCCCAGGTAATAACTATTGAATTAGTGACTGAACATGTAGAACCCCCACATTGTGACAACTAGTTGAGGGTTTGGGAGGAGGGAGGGAAGTGGGTTCATATGGTCCACAAAAATGTGTATTTCACTTATTTTGTATATCTATGTTGCCCATTTGTAACTTTAATCTCAAAATGCACATTTACCTGTCTGTACCTTCCGGTCATTGTTGGTGCTTTATGTTGGTATCAATAAAAAAAATGATGAACATGAAAACTCGCATTGCTGTTGTTTCTATATAGCACAAAGCAAGAATTTCGAGCACCCTGAATCCCTGTGATAGAATCTTACTCAGGACATCTGAAACACTGTCTTCCATCAACACTCAGAGGAAATGTTTAGTTTTATGAATGACTGTTGACTTGGGAGCAGAGAGGGAGTTACTCTACTTTTGTGAACTATCAGCACTTCAAGGGTATTTGTTGCAGGGCGCATTGTTCAGTAAATATGTTTTGATTAAAACGAGAATGTTATTATGACAGCCTTTTTTCAGCAAAACTCTGCTCAGGTAGATAAATGTAGTAGATGGAAAAGTGACCATTCATGATCCAGGGCGTAAGGTAGCCTAGCGGTTAAGAGCGTTGGGCCAGTGACCCAAAAGGTCGCTGATTCGAATCCCCGAGCCGACTAGGTGAAAAATCTGTTAACCCTAATTGCTGCTGTAAGTCGCTGTGGATAAGAGTGTCTGCTAAAGCAGTGGTTCTCAAACCTCTCCTCGGCAACCCCCAGTCATTCCAAACCTCTCCTCGGCAACCCCCAGTCATTCCAAACCTCTCCTCGGCAACCCCCAGTCATTCCAAACCTCTCCTCGGCAACCCCCAGTCATTCCAAACCTCTCCTCGGCAACCCCCAGTCATTCCAAACCTCTCCTCGGCAACCCCCAGTCATTCCAAACCTCTCCTCGGCAACCCCCAGTCATTCCAAACCTCTCCTCGGCAACCCCCAGTCATTCCAAACCTCTCCTCGGCAACCCCCAGTCATTCCAAACCTCTCCTCGGCAACCCCCAGTCATTCCAAACCTCTCCTCGGCAACCCCCAGTCATTCCAAACCTCTCCTCGGCAACCCCCAGTCATTCCAAACCTCTCCTCGGCAACCCCCAGTCATTCCAAACCTCTCCTCGGCAACCCCCAGTCATTCCAAACCTCTCCTCGGCAACCCCCAGTCATTCCAAACCTCTCCTCGGCAACCCCCAGTCATTCCAAACCTCTCCTCGGCAACCCCCAGTCATTCCAAACCTCTCCTCGGCAACCCCCAGTCATTCCAAACCTCTCCTCGGCAACCCCCAGTCATTCCAAACCTCTCCTCGGCAACCCCCAGTCATTCCAAACCTCTCCTCGGCAACCCCCAGTCATTCCAAACCTCTCCTCGGCAACCCCCAGTCATTCCAAACCTCTCCTCGGCAACCCCCAGTCATTCCCCCCCCCATTCCAAACCTCTCCTCGGCAACCCCCAGTCATTCCAAACCTCTCCTCGGCAACCCCCAGTCATTCCAAACCTCTCCTCGGCAACCCCCAGTCATTCCAAACCTCTCCTCGGCAACCCCCAGTCATTCCAAACCTCTCCTCGGCAACCCCCAGTCATTCCAAACCTCTCCTCGGCAACCCCCAGTCATTCCAAACCTCTCCTCGGCAACCCCCAGTCATTCCAAACCTCTCCTCGGCAACCCCCAGTCATTCCAAACCTCTCCTCGGCAACCCCCAGTCATTCCAAACCTCTCCTCGGCAACCCCCAGTCATTCCAAACCTCTCCTCGGCAACCCCCAGTCATTCCAAACCTCTCCTCGGCAACCCCCAGTCATTCCAAACCTCTCCTCGGCAACCCCCAGTCATTCCATGTATTTGATCTATTCCAGAGCTAGCACACCTGATTCAACTTGTCAACTAAAATCTGTTGCTGTGCCCTTGAGCAAGGCACTTAACCCTAATTGCTCCAAGGGCGCTGTACAATGGTTACCCTGGCCGTGACCCCACTCCCTGCGGGTGTCTCGGGGGATTTGGTATATGCAAAAAAATAAAAATGTATTACACACTTGTGTGTAACAGGACAAGTATAAGCACCCCCCAAATAATTATTATTCATTATCAAGACCTTGAATAGGTGAATCAAGTGAGCTAGTTCAGAGCTACAACAAAATTGTGAAAAGTCTATGGGTCCCCGAGGAGAGGTTTGGTATTTTATTAGGATCCCCATTAGCTGTTGCGAAAGCAGCAGCTATTCTTCCTAGGGTCCACACAAAACATGAAACATTACATAATACAGAACAGTAATAGACAAGAACAACTCAAGGACAGAACTACATACATTTAAATATGGCACACGTAGCCTACATATCAATACATATACAAACTATCTAGGTCAAATAGGGGAGAGGCGTTGTGTCGTGAGGTGTTGCTTTATCAGTTTTTTTTAAACCAGGTTTGCTGTTCATTTGAGCAATATGAAATGGAAGCAATAATGGCTCTATATAATACTGTACGCTTTCTTGAATTTGTTCTGGATTTGGGGACTGTGAAAAGACCCCTGGTGGCATGTCTGGTGGGGTAAGTGTGTGTGTCAGAGCTGTGTCTAAGTTGACTATGCAAACAATTTGGAATTTTCAACATGTTCATGTTTCTTATAAAAAGAAGAAGTGATGCAGTCAGTCTCTCCTCAACTCTTAGCCAAGCGAGACTGGCATGCATAGTATTTACATTAGCCCTCTGATTACAATGAAGAGCAAGACGTGCCGCTCTGTTCTGGGCCAGCTGCAGCTTAACTAGGTCTTTCCTTGCAGCACTCGACCACACGACTGGACAATAATCAAGATAAGACAAAACTAGAGCCTGCAGGACTTGATTTTTGGAGTGCAGTGTCATAAAAGCAGAGCATCTCTTTATTACGGACAACCTCTCCCCATGTTTACAACCATTGAATCTACAGTGGGGAAAAAAAGTATTTAGTCAGCCACCAATTGTGCAAGTTCTCCCACTTAAAAAGATGAGAGAGGCCTGTAATTTTCATCATGGGTACACATCAACTATGACAGACAAATTGAGAATTTTTTTCCCAGAAAATCACATTGTAGGATTTTTTATGAATTTATTTGCAAATTATGGTGGAAAATAAGTATTTGGTCACCTACAAACAAGCAAGATTTCTGGCTCTCACAGACCTGTAACTTCTTCTTTAAGAGGCTCCTCTGTCCTCCACTCGTTACCTGTATTAATGGCACCTGTTTGAACTTGTTATCAGTATAAAAGACACCTGTCCACAACCTCAAACAGTCACACTCCAAACTCGACTATGGCCAAGACCAAAGAGCTCTCAAAGGACACCAGAAACAAAATTGTAGACCTGCACCAGGCTGGGAAGACTGAATCTGCAATAGGTAAGCAGCTTGGTTTGAAGAAATCAACTGTGGGAGCAATTATTAGGAAATGGAAGACATACAAGACCACTGATAATCTCCCTCGATCTGGGGCTCCACGCAAGATCTCACCCCGTGGGGTCAAAATGATCACAAGAACGGTGAGCAAAAATCCCAGAACCACACAGGGTGACCTAGTGAATGACCTGCAGAGAGCTGGGACCAAAGTAACAAAGCCTACCATCAGTAACACACTACGCCGCCAGGGACTCAAATCCTGCAGTGCGAGACGTGTCCCCCTGCTTAAGCCAGTACATGTCCAGGCCCATCTGAAGTTTGCTAGAGTGCATTTGGATGATCCAGAAGAGGATTGGGAGAATGTCATATGGTCAGATGAAACCAAAATAGAACTTTTTGGTAAAAACTCAAAGAATGCTGAGTTGCATCCAAAGAACACCATACCTACTGTGAAGCATGGGGGTGGAAACATCATGCTTTGGGGCTGTTTTCTGCAAAGGGACCAGGACGACTGATCCGTGTAAAGGAAAGTATGAATGGGGCCATGTATCGTGAGATTTTGAGTGAAAACCTCCTTCCATCAGCAAGGGCATTGAAGATTAAACGTGGCTGGGTCTTTCAGCATGACAATGATCCCAAACACACCGCCCAGGCAACGAAGGAGCGGCTTCGTAAGAAGCATTTCAAGGTCCTGGAGTGGCCTAGCCAGTCTCCAGATCTCAACCCCATTGAAAATCTTTGGAGGGAGTTGAAAGTCTGTGTTGCCCAGCGACAGCCCCAAAACATCACTGCTCTAGAGGAGATCTGCATGGAGGAATGGGCCAAAATACCAGCAACAGTGTGTGAAAACCTCGTGAAGACTTACAGAAAACGTTTGACCTGTGTCATTGCCAACAAAGGGTATATAACAAAGTATTGAGAAACTTTTGTTATTGACCAAATACTTATTTTCCACCATTATTTGCAAATAAATTCATTAAAAATCCTACAATGTGATTTTCTGGATTTTTTTTTCTCATTTTGTCTGTCATAGTTGACGTGTACCTATGATGAAAATTACAGGCCTCTCTCATCTTTTTAAGTGGGATAACTTGCACAATTGGTGGCTGACTAAATACTTTTTTTCCCCCACTGTATATGTTTTGACCATGACAGTTTTCAATCTAAGGTATTTTTATTTTATTTATTTATTTATTTAACCTTTATTTAACTAGGCAAATCAGTTAAGAACAAATTCTTATTTACAATGACGGCCTACACTGGCCAAACCCGGACAACGCTGGGCCAATTGTGCACCGCCCTATGGGACTCCCAATCATGGCCGGTTGTGATACAGCCTGGAATCGAACCAGGTGGTCTGTAGTGACGCCTCAAGCACTAAGATGCAGTGCCTTAGACCAAGTAATTTAGTCTCCTCAACTTGTTCAACAGCCACACCATTCATTACCATATTCATCTGAGGCCTAGAACTTAGGGAATGATTTGTACCAAATACAATGCTCTTAGTTTTAGAGATGTTCAGGACCAGTTTATTACTGGCCACCCATTCCAAAACAGACAGCAACTCTTTGTTAAGGGTTTCAGTGACGTCAGTAGCTGTGGTTGCTGATGCGTGTATGGAGAACCACTGTGCTAAAATGTAATCAATCCATCCATCCCCATTCTGCCCTGTCCTTTCTACAGTGGGGAAAAAAAGTATTTAGTCAGCCACCAATTGTGCAAGTTCTCCCACTTAAAAAGATGAGAGAGGCCTGTAATTTTCATCATAGGTGCACGTCAACTATGACAGACAAATTGAGAAAAAAATATCCAGAAAATCACATTGTAGGATTTTTAATGAATTTATTTGCAAATTATGGTGGAAAATAAGTATTTGGTCACCTACAAACAAGCAAGATTTCTGGCTCTCACAGACCTGTAACTTCTTCTTTAAGAGGCTCCTCTGTCCTCCACTCGTTACCTGTATTAATGGCACCTGTTTGAACTTGTTATCAGTATCAAAGACACCTGTCCACAACCTCAAACAGTCACACTCCAAACTCCACTATGGCCAAGACCAAAGAGCTGTCAAAGGACACCAGAAACACAATTGTAGACCTGCACCAGGCTGGGAAGACTGAATCTGCAATAGGTAAGCAGCTTGGTTTGAAGAAATCAACTGTGGGAGCAATTATTAGGAAATGGAAGACATACAAGACCACTGCGAATCTCCCTCGATCTGGGGCTCCACGCAAGATCTCACCCCGTGGGGTCAAAATGATCACAAGAACGGTGACCAAAAATCCCAGAACCACACGGGGGGACCTAGTGAATGACCTGCAGAGAGCTGGGACCAAAGTAACAAAGCCTACCATCAGTAACACACTACGCCGCCAGGGACTCAAATCCTGCAGTGCCAGACGTGTCCCCCTGCTTAAGCCAGAACATGTCCAGGCCCGTCTGAAGTTTGCTAGAGTGCATTTGGATGATCCAGAAGAGGATTGGGAGAATGTCATATGGTCAGATGAAACCAAAATAGAACTTTTTGGTAAAAACTCAACTCGTCGTGTTTGGAGGACAAAGAATGCTGAGTTGCATCCAAAGAACACCATACCTACTGTGAATCATGGGGGTGGAAACATCATGCTTTGGGGCTGTTTTTCTGCAAAGGGACCAGGACAACTGATCCGTGTAAAGGAAAGAATGAATGGGGCCATGTATCGTGAGATTTTGAGTGAAAACCTCCTTCCATCAGCAAGTGCATTGAAGATGAAACGTGGCTGGGTCTTTCAGCATGACAATGATCCCAAACACACCGCCCGGGCAACGAAGGAGTGGCTTCGTAAGAAACATTTCAAGGTCCTGGAGTGGCCTAGCCAGTCTCCAGATCTCAACCCCATAGAAAATCTTTGAAGGGAGTTGAAAGTCTGTGTTGCCCAGCGACAGCCCCAAAACATCACTGCTCTAGAGGAGATCTGCATGGAGGAATGGGCCAAAATACCAGCAACAGTGTGTGAAAACCTTGTGAAGACTTACAGAAAACGTTTGACCTGTGTCATTGCCAACAAAGGGTATATAACAAAGTATTGAGAAACTTTTGTTATTGACCAAATACTTATTTTCCACCATAATTTGCAAATAAATTCATTAAAAATCCTACAATGTGATTTTCTGGATTTCTTTTCCTCATTTTGTCTGTCATAGTTGACGTGTACCTATGATGAAAATTACAGGCCTCTCTCATCTTTTTAAGTGGGAGAACTTGCACAATTGGTGGCTGACTAAATACTTTTTTTCCCCACTGTATGTGCACTGAGCTATAATAAGAACGGCTATTACTCCAGTACAGTAGGTGGCAGTGCAATGTTGGTTACGACGTTTCAGCCAATGAATGAACCATGAAAGAACAGAGGCAGTGTTTACGACTTCTTTACGACAAAATGTTCTTCATTTTCTTTGTTTACGTCCTTGTCCTGTTCAATCAGATGTATCCCTAATCTTTGCCGTGGCTCAATGTTGTTATTACTTTATTCAACCTAAAATGTCTAAACTACATTCGTTGAATGTGTTTCTTACTGCCCGATTAACTGCGGCTGCTGTGGACATATTTGGGGCAGTGGAGAAAACTATAACAGCGTACCAGGAAGAAGTCTCCAGATCAAAAGAGGAGAACGACCATCTACGGAAGCTGTTGCTAGATTTCGGTTTCAAACCTGATAGAGAATCACAAAGAGCAGGTGTGTAAGATTAATCAGCAACCTATGGTTCTGTAAATATTATTACGATTATTAGCTAGCTAGTTAGACAACCGTGACAACCATAGGACAAGTTAATGACTGCTGAACTGTGCTGAACCTCAATTGTTATTAGCTAGCTAATCAGGCATCGGAATTAGATAGTTAACTAGCTAGCCAGTTTCTCAACACTTCTCAATGCTCTATGTAATGTTAGTGAGAGTCTAGTGTGTAAATGTGTCGTGAGCTAAAGGGAAGAAGTAAAACTGAAGTGTGTTGATATGTCTCAACGGTAAGTAACTTCCCCATCTTTCCTTTCAGACCTCCAGCAGCTCACGCTACCTGTCTCTGGAGAGGAGGTTCCCTCTGAGCAGGAGTGGAGTGATCAAGAGGACACTGAGCCCATATTCATACCACCCTGTGTGGAAAGTGCCAGTGATCAGGACTCACCCCAGAGCTCACACCTTTACCAAACTGGGAAGAACAGCAAGAAGGACTCCCTTCCCACCAATGCAACAGAACCGATCAAAATCAAACATGATGGAGAGGACTACGGGGCATCAGAATCAACCAGTAACTCTCAGACCATGTCAAAGTCAAAATGTACACGGACAGATAAAGGACAAAGTCCTCCAGACACTGACACAACCAGTGAGCTGAAAGCACCAATGAGGGCTCAGACAGGTGATAGACCATACAAGTGTCCTGTGTGCAGGAAAGGGTTTACCAATAACAACCATTTAAAAACGCATCAGAGAATTCACACAGTGGAGAGGCCACATTGGTGCAAAGAATGTGGCAAGTGCTTCAACCGCAAGGGGGACCTGGGCACGCACATGAGGACTCACACAGGAGAGAAACCGTACCAGTGCAGCGTTTGTGGCAAAAGCTTCCGGCGAAACCGACTGAATGAGCATATGAGGGTACACACAGGGGAAAGACCCTATCAGTGTGCCGACTGTGAGAAGGGCTTTATTTCAGTAAGTGACCTAAAACGCCACCAGCGTATTCACACGGGAGAGAAGCCGTTTCGGTGCAACAGTTGCGGCAAATGCTTCAGTCAGATGACAACCTTGAAAAAACATATGAGGACTGTTCATAAGAAGGTTAAATTGCAGAGCAGTGAGGAAAGCCCAGATCTCTGCTAGCATTAGGGACTCCTGTTCATTTATGTGATAATGACAAACAGCACAGGACATATCTTATGTTAACTTGGTACCATCTGCGTGTGCTTTAGACAATTTCTCTGACTATCGCTGTCAATCATTCATGCAATTTTGTGTGTTGGAAATCTCTTCTACAGATCTGCTGCTTTCTGTCAGGACACTGCTCTAACACCAAGATCTTCCAGATAACAATCATAATATATTGTTCTTACTTGACATTAAAGTGGATATACTGGGGGCTTTCAAACTTTGTGCGAACATTGATAGAATTAAATAAATAAAAATTGGAAGGGTGCTCATATTTGTCCTGTTACACACAAGTGTGTAATGGAAATGTTTCTTGCATATCCCAACTGCCCTTAGACACCCGCAGTGAGTGGGGTCACGGCCAGGGTCGCCATTGTCCAGCGCCCCTGGAGCAATTGGGGTTAAGTGCCTTGCTCAAGGGCACAGCGACAGATTTCGGCTGGCCCAATACTCTATCCCCGAGGCTACCTGCCGCCCAATTTCGGAACAGTCCAAAGCAAATGCATAAGCCTGCAACTCATTGATATGACCAAACTCTTGGGGTTGGTTTCCTAGACACAGATTATGCCTAGTCCTGGACCAAAACAAACTTTCAACAGTTTCTCCAAAAATAATGATTTTGAATCCAGGACTAGTTTTAACCTGTATTCGGGAAACCGGCCTTTGGTATTTTTGTTTGAGATGTTTTGCCAAGCCTAATGTTGGGCATATAAATGGGTTGTTAATCAGAGCAATGAACTAAAAGGACATACTGTCCAAAAGACTGTTTGTCATATCCTGTATGTACCCTGAATATACACAAAGACATCTATCAAGGTAAAATAGTTAAATTGTTTACTATTATTATTATCTTTATGATAAATATTCACTTTTTCATTTGTTTCTGTAACCCACTTTATCATGTATGATTTACGTAGATAATTGCCTTCCATACTTGAATTTTATAGTCTTACTGAATGCTCCCTATGACTTCTGTGAGTGGCTGACTTGTTCAATAGTGTCATGTGTTCTTCAGCTCAGGTAAATATTGTAAACTACTATGTAGTTAATCAAGTTATGTAGGTACGATTTTTCTTGTTCATTACAGATTATATTCTACATTATCATCTATTACAGATGGACTTTGTACTACATTATATTAATTTATTCAAATATTAAGTGCATGAGCCTATAACCTCTTGACACAACCAACAATCTTGGTATTTTCCTTTGAGGTGCTTTGCTTGTAGTATGGTTTCATAATCAGATAAATGAAAAAGGACATACTGTGTACAACACCTCCTGATGCATGTCCTTAAATATGCACACGAGGGCTATGAACTACTTCCCCGATAAGTCATTCTATTGGTCAATTCAAGTAGCAGTACGAGGCGTGAGAGCAAGTATCGTTCTCTATTGGACGAGAGCAACTTCTTGCTTCAAACCGATTTCAAACAGCCAACGTGCGCGCGTCTGTCTCTCCAGCTTCCGAGCGCCGCCGTCCGCGTCCACACCACTGCGCTTCCGTGGATCCAAAATTCCGTCTGTCTCACGTGCTTTGTGAATATAAAAGCTCTCTGTTTCCCTTCATCATGTGTAGTGTGTCACCAGACAAACGGCGAAAGATGGAGTCGGCGTTGGAGCAGCTGAAGAAATACACGGTGGTCGTGGCGGACACCGGAGACTTCAATGGTAACAGATTGGATTGACCCCTATGGCACTATCCAAGGCCAGGCAGGCATTACCTATACTAGCTCAACACATTGATATAACATGTTGCAAGGGTTATAGCTGCGCTAGCTAACGTTACTTAACGTAATTTTTCATAAACCTGCTTAGGGTCTCCTCGACTATTAATTCCGATAAACTTCTAATGACCTGTTTTTAGCTTTGACACTAATGTTGCTAGCTAGCTGTCTTATCATGTCTGCTGGTTTGGCTAATGATTAACTTACTGCCTTCTTGGCTAGCTAGTTATGACCACGGCTCTTGCACGTTTCATGCATTACAACTTGTTAGCTAGCTAACTATGGGAAGAGCTATATAGCTCTGGCTAAGGGTTTCTATTTTCAGGTGTTGTGAGCTATCAAATAGGTATTGCAATTAAAACAGTGCATGCACGTTGACGCTGTCACGCCCAACTAGTCAACATTGGTTCTCCCACGTGACACTAATAGGTTTAGTTAAATAACACCTTTTATGTGAAGAAGAGAACCTAAAATACCACATTCAGCATAGTTGGTTAACTACATATGATTTATACAAATGCCATGTTGACTGCCATTTGTCACCCAGATATTCACAACTGGTTCCTCCATTGTTTGAATAAGGAAGTAGTAATGATGTAATCCAATAGTTAATTCCATTGGTGCAAAACCAAACATTTCCTCATGCTTGCTCTGCAAGTCACGATGACAAGACAGAAACGGTCTGCCTACCACAGGGTAATGTTAACAAGGCTGAAATGGGGCAAACTGTAAGTGGATAGGCTTTGATGACATGCTGCTTCAGTCAACACAGAATGTTTAATTTTCTTCTCAGGATAAGTGAAGGTGCGATGGAGCTTCACAGAATTTGATCTCTGAATGCAGGGGTCTTTAGAACGGGGTTATTTTCAAATGTCTGCTCACTCTAAAGAAAATACATTCTTACAGGTTTTCCTGCAACACAGTGTGATATCTATAGGACCAGTCACTCAGTCAAATAGGCTACTATGAATCTGAAGATTGACCAATGTATCAGTGACCTTGCTTCATGCCTCAGCAGTTCAGTTTTTGGACTGTGGTGAGAGGAACCTCGATGTAGCCATAGGCCCAATTAATGTTGTGAAAGGGTGCACTTGGCCAAATCCCATTGTGAAAGGACCTCACTGGCCAACTCTTGTGAGATGCGGTGCAGTCATTGGCCAACTGGTTTGGACAGTGGTTTAAAGACTGTGAAACCTTTTTACTGCAATACTGAAGGACAGAGTTGAACCCCACCATTTAGTATTCTATGTTGCTCTTCTCATGGTGCCACAGTCATTTTACCAGTGGGTCATGTTCAGTAGGATTTAAACGGGAGCAAACATTTAAAAACTTGATCAAGTTCAATTAGAAGCTCGCGTCCGGCATATTGTGTATAATTTTTTTTCTTCTCCATATTGCAAAGCCTAATACTGTTGTCCACCTTAGCTATGTTAAGTTATTATAAAGCTGACTCGTGATGGCTTTTTTTACAGTAAGTGTGGCCTCATTGACTATCTTTTGTTGGCATGCAGAATGGTGAACAGCTCAGTAAGTTGTACAATTCTTCCGTTATCCCCAAATGTGAGGGTGTATATTTCCTGTCTCTTTCAATGTAATAAATGCGGCAGATTACATTGTCACAGAACATTATTTCTTGCCAGTTGCTGTCTTTGTTCAAATGGGGGTGGTTCGTGTATCTTATCTTAGGGTTGGTGTCTGTCTCAGTGTAGGCTTACATGGCTAGACTGTTGATTAGCTAAGCCTTATTCCTTCAAGAAAATACCTCCCCAACAGACATTAGGGGAGTCCTGTTTTCTGCTGTGAGGATCACAGAAAGAAACGATAACATTGAAACATTTTGATGTTTGAACACTTGTGCGTCCATAATTTCTCCAAGGAACACACTTTTGCTGTCTTTACCTTCCCTTGAATGCTGTAAAACCCACACCTGTCAATCTTCTGTCAAATATTCACTGGTTGCAAGCACAAGCTTGTTCAAATCAAGCAACACCTTTTTCTTGCCCATGTGAAATTGGTCAGTGCATGGATAAAAGTGCAGCCCCATACTCTTGCTTAGCCATGTGGGAAACGCATGGTTACTCAAGTGTTTATGCATGGCAGTCATCTGGCGTGAAAAACAATTTGGAGGGTAGTATGCAAATTGCAGAAACACTTTAGCCTGAAGTTGCCCTTTTAATATGCCATGTTACTTTGGAACTGCTTTTGTAACTTCTGTAATTACTGAACTACATGTGGTAATTGCAGATATGGCACATGATCATTGAACTGTAGTGAAAGGATGCTGCAATTTCAGTTTCAAATTGGGTACATGTTATATAGAATTCTGATGTATTAATAACTACTTGATATTTGTGCGACGTGTAGGCTTAATCCGAATAGCTGACCCCCTGGGGTACGCCTCGAGTTCTCATTGAGCATTTACACAATCTTTTTATTTTTTTTATTTTTTTATTTCACCTTTATTTAACCAGGTAAGCCAGTTGAGAACAGGTTCTCATTTACAACTGCGACCTGGCCAAGATAAAGCAAAGTAGTGCAATAAAAACAACAGAGTTACTGGCTTGACAATAGCGCAAAAAGTGAATCTAAAGCTCTTGATATGGAGAACAGTGTCTGCATGTTTTCCACCAATGTCTTTTCTGACGGCCTGGATATTCAATCTTTCTCAAAAGACCTGCAACAGATAATTCAGCTACCAGAAGTTCATACTGTTCATTCACAAACCGCTTGTTTTTGGATATGCTGTTTTGAATAGTTAAAATCACTGTCATAATGGCGTTAACATAGGTGGGAATGGATTGCAAATTGCTGCCTATGATGATAGAAGCATCCATAAGAAAGGGCTGGCTAAAAGAGTAGGCTATTTGAACGGAGTGAGATAGTTAGAGCCTAGAATGTTTCCCCCCCCCAGAGAAACACAGGGTGCCTTTGTGCTTCATTGTGTAGCCTACTCCCTGTCAGTGGCAGAAGCTTGGCCAGCTGGTCTAAAGCCCATCGACACAGGCCTCCCTCACTAGCTGTCCAGCTGACACAGCACATCACAACGATGGGAGGACACTACAGTTTTGATTAGTATAACAGGAGAGTTCCCTGATCTCCGACGTAGGCTAACAAGGCTATAGTAAAGGCCCTTGCCAGTGCAAAGTAGGGAAAGCAAACCATTTTTTTGAGTTGTAACTTGAAAATAAACAAACGTTTTAGCATTGCAATGTCTGAGGAACAGGAAAATGTGGGTTTCATTCTAAATACAAAATGTCACTCTTTCTCCAATGACACAATCCGTGAGGCACTCTGCATTAGCTATACACCTGGATAGGATGCATGACTGCTAGACTACCTCACAGGCTAAAAGTATTTAACCTTGAATGTGTCTTTTGAACATCGGGTGTCATTCTTCTACTGCAGTGTGTTGCAGGTAGACGATAGGCTGTTTTCTCCACCCACCTCTTCCCTCCCAATGTTCTGCTTTGGTTGAGTGCAGTTGGCTTGTATGTACAGTAGAGGTCACTGTTGGTTGAGACCGGTGCTTCTGGACCAGTCCAGCGCAATCTCGTTCTGTCTCCTGTAGAAGTGAATTTATTTAATATAAGCAATATCTGAATGGACCTTTTCTACTGAATTATCTGGGCCGATGCCAGTTATTTCACAGCTAAACAGCTCAAGATAGTATTGTCCATTGGTGAATAAAGATGTCATTTGAAGGCTTGTGTGTACCTTGGGACTGAAGGCGCCCGCGTGCTTCTCTGCCGAAACAGTTTGGTTGAGTTCATGCCAAATTATGACGCTTTTTTTGGGACTTCGGTGAGGATTTCTTTTTCGGCTGGTCGGGCACTTTTTATTTTTCTCTATTGGCGAGACTAAGTCTACGCCCCTTAGTAGGTGATTGGTCAACAGTAGGGATTCTTCAATAAAGTATTTGTCATTAAACTCTATTTCATGCACATTTTTTCTTTGAGAAATACTGCACCAAACAGATGTAAAATTGCATGACTAAGATCTCCTTTGCAAAAACGTCACCTTGTGAAATCTGTCATTAATTTTTTTATCTTAGATGAATTCTGATTTATTTTGAGGAAGTGTATACTGGCTACGGTGTCTCAATGGACAAACAGTACTATGGCTGCTTGGAAAAAAGCGAAGGTCTTTTTAAGGGAGTATTTAAGCACTTGTTCAGCTAAGCGCCAGCTGACCTGAAGCATGCTGACGCCTTATCACTGCATGGTTTGTTTCTGGGAAGCTTCTAGCAGTTCACGTCATGTTACTGTCTTAAGCGCAAACGTATGAATGTCACACTGACGTGTGAGAAACTGGAATGTCAAGTTGACACTGAGCTAAGTTTACTCCTAGAGAGTAGAGAAGCCTTGACCTTCCAATCACAACTGGCACAGGGCAGCTCTTCATTGGCTTGGCTGGGTGTTGAATGGCACCTTTTATAGGGTCGGGTTGGTGTCAATCACCCTGAATGACACATTTTCTTGTAAAGTTGGTGCATTTTGTGATTGAATGCGGACTGGTAACCATCCTTCGACTGTACCTGTAATGCGGTTTCAACTTTCAAGAGGCGCTAGGCCTTTTCCTCCTCATGTGAATCAATAGCTCTGAAGTAGTTCTAACGTTACCATGACCACCAGGTGTGATGTCCCAACAAGAGACTTGAGAATGTTGCATATTGTCTAGTGAGGATATGAATGCCTAGTGTGTTGACTAATATACCATGTGACTAGTTGTGAGCTGCTCTTAACTTGCGTTGTCTCTCTCTCCCACTTCTCTGCGCAGCCATTGAAGAGTACAAGCCCCAGGATGCCACCACCAACCCCTCCCTCATCCTGGCCGCTGCCAAGATGGCCGCCTACCAGCATCTGGTCGACCAGGCCATCAAATACGGCATCGCCAAGGGCGGGTAAGATGGGCACTCGCAAATGTATACAACCCCTATCATTTCAATGGCTGGTAAAACACGCTCAATTGTAATCATATTGCAACTCTGCACTGCTTCTACACTTATACAGTAGTTCAGTGACTCAACTGACCTCTCCTTTTAAACAATGGGATTTTGAGTGAACAAAGCAGGCGTTTGCCATTGTTTGCTCAAGATAAGTGTTGTCGACGTAGGTGCGCTGAGGGTGCTGATCCGTCTGCCTTGCCTCACACATGCCTGCAAATTATACATGTATTTCACGGTCGCTTCACCCCGTTGTTATGAACGTTGTCTTGGTGACTGACAATCAACTTTGAGGCGTCCATTAATTCGACATTGGCGCTAATGATTTAGTCTAAACTACACTATAGTAAATAATGTAATTTCCAAGCCACTCAAGTAAATTTGACGGCATCACAGTTTTGGGGTTTCCTATTAATTATTTGCCTTGTTTAGGAATGTCATTGTATTTCCAAGCCCCTATAATGCACTTTAGAGAATCTTAATCAGTGCCAATTGAGAATGCATTGAGTAGAACTGACGTGAAATCCATTAATACTGGAAAGTGAATGAACATTTCAAGTTCATTACAGCACATAATAAACTGGGTGGTTCGAGCCCTGAATGCTGATTGGCTGACAGCTGTGGTATATCAGACCGTATACCACGGTTATGACAAAACATTTATTTTTACTGCTCTAATTACATTGGTAACCAGGTTATAATAGCAATAAGGCACCTCGGGTTTGTGGTATATGGCTGATATGTAGTGTATTTGGAAAGTATTCATACCCCTTTTTCCAAATTTGTTACGTTACAGCCTCATTCTAAAATGGGTTAAGTTCATTTTTTTCTAAATCGATCTACACACAATATCACATAATGACAAAGCAAAAACAGGTTTTTATATATTTTTGCAAATGTATTACAAATAAAACCGATACCTTATTTACATACGTTTTCAGACCATTTGCTATGAGACTCAAAATTGAGCTCGGGTGCATCATGTATCCATTGTTCATCCTTTATGGTTCTACAACTTGATTGGAGTCCACCTGTGGTAAATTCAATTGATTTGGAAAGGCACACACCTGTCTATATCAGGTCCCACAGTCGACAGTTCATGTCAGTGCAAAAACCAAGCCACAAGGTCGACGGAATTGTCTGTCGAGGCACAGATCTAGGGAAGGGTACCAGAACTTTTCTGCAGCATTGAAGGTCCCCAAGAACACTGTGGCCTCCATCATTCTTAAATGGAAGGAGTTAGGAACCACCAAGACTCTTCCTAGAGCTGGCCGCTCGGCCAAACTGAGCAATCAGGGGAGAAGGGCCTTGGTCAGGGTGGTGACCAAGAACCCAATGGTCACTCTGACAGAGCTCTAGAGTTCCTCTGTGGAGATGGGAGAACCTTCCAGAAGGACAACCATCTCTGCAGTTCTCCACCAATCAGGCCTTTATGGTAGAGTGGCCAAACAGAAGCCACTCCTCAGTAAATGGCACATGACAGCCCGCTTGGCAGATTCTCTGGTCTGATGAAACCAAGATTAAACTCTTTGGCCTGAATGCCAAGCGTCACGTCTGGAGGAAACCTGGCACCATCCCTACGGTGAAGCATGGTGGTGGCAGCATCATGCAGTGGGGATGTTCACCTTCCAACAGTACAACAACCCTAAGCACACAGCCAAGACAACACTAGAGTGGCTTCGGGACAAGTTAGAGTGGCCCAGCCAGAGCCCGGACATGAACCCGATCGAACATCTCTGGAGAGACCTGAAAATGGCTGTGCAGCAATGCTCCCCATCCAACCTGACAGCGCTTGAGAGGATCTGCAGAGAAGAATGGGAGAAACTCTCCAAATACAGGTGTGCCAAGCTTGTAGGGTTATACCCAAGAAGACTTGAGGCTGTAATTGCAGCCAAAGGTGCTTCAACAAAGTACTGAGTAAAGGGTCTGAATACTTATGTAAATGTGATATTTCTGTTTTTTTTGCAACAATTTCAAAACCTGTTTTTGCTTAGTCATTATGGGGTATTGTGTGTAGATTTGGGGGGGGTCTGAATACTTTCCGAATGCACTGTGCTAAGGGCTGTATCCAGGCACTCCGCGTTACGTCGTGCGTAAGCACAGCTCTTAGCCGTGGTATATTGGCCATATACCACACCCCCTCTGGCCTTATTGCATAAACATACACTAAGTATACAAAACATTATGAACACCTGCTCTTTCCATGACACAGACTGACCAGGTGAAAGCTATGATCCCTTATTGATGCCACTTGTTAAATCCACTTCAATCAGTGTAGATGAAGGGGAGTAGACAGGTGAAATAACATTTGAAGCCTTGAGACAATTGAGACATGGATTGTGTGTGCCATTCAGAGGGTGAATGGGCAAGACCAAAACATGTGAGTGCCTTTGAATGGGGTAGGTGCCAGGCGGACCGGTTTGTCAAGAACTGCAATGGTTCTGGGTTTTTCACGCTCAAGTTTCCCATGTGTATCAAGAATGGTCCACCACCCAAAGGACATCCAGCCAACCTGACACAACTGTGGGACTCATTGGAGTCAACACGAGCCAGCATCCCTGTGGAAAGCTTTTGACACCTTGTCAAGTCCATGGCCCGACGAATTGAGGCTGTTCTGAGGGGGGTGCAGCTCAATATTTGGAAGGTGTTCCTAATGTTTGGTATACTCGGTGTAAGTGATTTACTTGCTTAATATATAAAGCCTTGGTCTACTGCTGAAAGCTATGATCACACTTGTGCTGTGCTTGAGCTATTGCACCTCACTAGTGTCCTGTTTCTCTGTCCACCAGACCTGAGGAGGAGCAGGTGACCAACACCATGGACAAGCTGTTTGTGAGCTTCGGCCTGGAGATCCTCAAGAAGATCCCAGGCAGGGTTTCCACGGAGGTGGACGCCAGGTACGAGGAAAGCCCCCTGCTCCGCTCGGGCCCACGGGAGCCGGAGTGATGTGGCTACTCCTGTCTTTTCTACCTAAGTGGCTCATGGCTTTGTACCTGCCGATACCAGCTATCAATATGAACGTCTGAACATAGGAGTTTCAGGGATTCTTACTTTTGGAGTGAGACAAGACCCAACCCCTCAAAAAATAGAATAATTGATCATGCCCACATGGCTATGGGGAGGTAAATGGTTCTTGTGAAATTGCAGTTGTGGCAAATATGTACACTTTAACAAAGTTGTGTTTTTCTGCATGCCTCAAATGCATCCTGGAGCCTTTTTATAGATCAGGGTAGCAAATTGATCCTTTAACTTGTTGACTCTAATATCTGACTGAACAAAGTATTTGAAGTCCACACAAAATGGCTCTACCAAATAGGAATCATTCATAGTGTTAATATTTAGATGATTGACTAACTCACCCCCCCCCCCTCACCACTTGACATTAGGCTTTCGTACGATAAGGATGAGATGGTGGCTCGGGCCCTGCGGATCATTGCCTTGTATGAAGAGGCCGGTATCAAGAAGGACCGTGTTCTCATCAAGCTCTCCTCCACATGGGAAGGCATCCAGGCTGGCAGGTGTGTGTGAGATGGAGAGGGAGGGAAGGAAATCAGTCCTCTACCTTTTTATAGGGGCATTTCTTCACCTGTCATCTGGGCCCACTTTTTCAAAAGTTATCTAACTGCATTTTGCCTATCGGATAGGATTAAATGCATAGAAATGGAATGAATAGAACAAGACTTCCCATTCAAGTCAATGATTTTTTTTCTTCTGTTCTATTTGTATGCATTTAATCCTAACCGATAGGCGAAATCCAGTTATAACTTTTGAAAAACTGGGCCGAGATGATGAAATGATGACTACTGTAGCTGTGTATATATGCAGATCTTGGTGGAATTTAGATGAAAACAAACATGATAATATTAGGTCTTCTGTTGGTACACAGTAAAAAGTGGAATGTTTTCCAAACATCCTGTTCTTTTGACTTGGTTTGTTTTGCCAAAACTGGTGTAATTTGATAATACAAATGGTAAACAGCAAATGGTTAAATTTACCTGCTATGTTCTGTCAGTTTACCTCTTACATCTAACCTATACATTATTTTGGTGTCAATCAGTCTCTATAGGAAATGTTGGTTTTGACAGCCATGGAAGCTTAGTGAAGCTCTGCTGTTAAGACTGTGCTTTAATGTGCCCGACTGAATGTGTGTACCTGCAGGGAGCTGGAGGAGAAGCACGGGGTTCACTGCAACATGACCCTGCTGTTCTCCTTCGCCCAGGCAGTGGCCTGCGCCGAGGCCAAGGTCACCCTCATCTCACCCTTTGTGGGGCGCATCATGGACTGGTACAAGGAGAACACGGCCCAGAAGAGCTACGAACCCCATGAGGACCCAGGTATGGGCTGACTGATCCATCGTTTGATAGGACAACCGAACACTCATGCTAGCAACTTTAAGTTGGACTCAACAGTCCCAGACCTTACGAATATAATTAAATAAGATGCCTGACGAGTTAGAGGTATTTATTGACTTCATTACTGCTCTGGAGTGGCTTTATTAACCATAAACCTCTTTATTTTATTATTCTCTTCACTCAGGTGTGATCAGTGTGACTAAGATCTACAACCACTACAAGAAGTATGACTACACCACGGTGGTGATGGGAGCTTCCTTCAGGAACACTGGGGAGGTCAAGGCCCTGGCCGGCTGTGACCTGCTTACCATTTCCCCCAGCCTGCTGGGAGAGCTGAGCAAGGACCACAGCGCCATCACGCCAATGCTCACGGTTCAGAAAGGTAATGGGACTCATTGCTACCCCTTACCGGACACTAGTATAATGAGCTCACACTGCCCCTCCCTATAACCGTTAGGAAGTGTTATGATGAGTTTCTCTGGTATCGAGTACTTCAGGATGTAAGAGAATAGTTAAACCCTTAGATGGAGAGTTGATTCATAGTTATTTAATATTACAGTACTGGATTCACATGACAAGCGGTACGGGCGTAGCCTATTGTCATCCGAATGACTTGCATAGAAATGCTCTCTGTTTATATAATGCTTTCCGAGCTAATTCCATCCAACAGTTGCCAACCATTATTGAGTTTCACTCATCTCTTACAATAGGATCCCCCTACATGGTATCGTGTGGCACCCTAGCCAGGATATTCCATCATGTACTCTAAGATTAGCACAATTGGCCCCCAAGCTATCTTGGCACCAACCAGTGACAGCAATAACCCATGGCATATCCTCATCCTCTCACTTCTGTACCGCTCATGAGTTTAAAGACATTAAGAAATACTGTATGAAAAGATGTTATATCAGGAAGGAACATGTAAAGTGGTCTATTGATTTGTATCTATGCCAGGCCTGGTTTCAAATACTCAAAACATTTTTTTATGTTGTCATTGCTTGATTGCGTTTGCCTGGCTTAATGAACCAATAGTCTTAAAACGACAAACCCCGCCCATATTGCAGTCTAGAGCGATCACTAAAGGTATTTGAAGGGTTTCGAATAGTGTTTCATCCCAGGTCTGATCCATGCAGGTGTGTCATTATAACATCAATGCATATTCTAATTGCAATCTCACTGCACTGCATCATGGTTTCAGTGATACCGTAAATATACCATCAATGATGTAATAGTATCAATGGTTTATCTCATGGTTGTGACATCATAGATTTACACCTGTTACCTAAGCACATGGAATAAGCTCCTTCTTCCATTTCAACTCTAGGTAGTATATTCAGCACACCTACAGCCATAACACTGTACTGTAAATGTAATCTGCATTCTCCCTCTCTGGCTTAGTTTTGAATGTCAACATGCTCCAAGCACCAGACGGGAACAAGGGGCTGATGTGTGTCATGCACCAAACGTAATGTTTTCTCAGTAATTGACCATACACAGAAAGCAGAGGTTAAATATGTACTGTATGAATCAGCACTATTTCAAGACAAATATTTAGGCAACTTTTTTAAAAGCTTTCCACTGATTTTAACATAATTTGAATTGGTGAGAATCGTCATGCAGTTCAAGGAAAGCTGGTAAAATCGGTGTACTTCAAAGACCCCTTGAGTAGAATCTGAGCCCCATAGTTTAACCTCAAAGCAGGTCAAAGACAAGTTAAAAAATATATATTTTATTTTTTGTAAAGATGTTGGTTAGACACCTAAGGAGAACTTGCTGAGGCCACTTGAACATTGGTTATGCAATCACTTATGAGTAGGAATGTCTCGTAACCATCTGTCTAGTCCCAAGAATTTGAACCTCGAGCCCAACAAAATAGCTGTACTTCACAAACCTACAGGGCAAAACCAATTGATTGCCATGTATTTAGGAGCTCCTGTGTATTTCAATGCCTGGTTAATCTGAGGCTTCTCAAATGTCTTTAAATTGATGCTTGTGTCTTCCCCTGGGCCAGGTCTGCATTAAAAAGGGGTATATTTATCCTGTATCCCAATGCATACAAATTGTTTCCTTCCTCATTAAACACCTGAAACCGTTGATGGGGAAAATATGAGAGGTCCTCGATAGGGAAAAGCATTCTGGTGGATTGCAGCCATATTACCAGTCCTTCAAAAGCCTGGGGATGAGGACTGGGACTACGTAATCACCTTGGACCAAGGATGAATAAACTAAATGCAACTCTTAACAGCTCAAACTCTGTCCCCTGTTTAGCCAAGGCCTGTGATTTGGAGAAGGTTCACCTGGATGAGAAGGAATTCCGCTGGCAACACAATGAGGACCGCATGGCTGTGGAGAAGCTCTCTGACGGCATCCGCAAGTTCGCCGCCGACGCCATCAAGCTGGAGACTATGATCAAGGTGAGACTGGAGCACTGAGGTTGTAAATGTATTTCTGAATTCCCTGTAAAGTATCAGGAGTTGGAGTATGGTGCACATGTGAAGAAAGTGCATTTATGAACAGCAACTGTACTGCCCAGTCTTGAACATTTAAGACTTGTTTGGAACAAAGGAATGCTGGAAATTCTGTCATGGTGTCCTGCTGGCGATACTTTGACAGTTTAAGTTTACATCCCCTTGCCTTTTGTTTGTCTGTTCCCTTTTTCATACGGTTGCTTTCCCCCTCCACAGGAGAAGATGCTGAACGTGAAGAACGGCCAGTAAAGCGGGACCAGACGTTCAGCCCTCCCCGCAGGAAATGGTGATGGTTGTACGACAACCACCACTGGGGGCCCAAGGGACCAAACTCGCCCACCTCCCCTGACCCCAAAGTGGGACCCCCTCAACAACGGAACACCTCGCCACTGTAGGCTTGGATTGACTATGATTTACTGTGTTTTTGTCTTGACTTTGAACGTAGTCAATGCAGAGATTGATTTCAATTGTTACTCCAGCACTGATGCAATGCTCTTTTTGTAAATTACTGCTACTTGCCCCACTGCAGATTTGGTCAGAGGAGCGAATGCACAACGGTCAGGTTCAGTCCAGCCTTTTTTACTCATCAGTCCTTTTAGCGATGCTCTAGAAAAACAACTTCAAACTGTAACAATTATGAACATTCCTCAGGAAATTATAAAAAAATAATGATTTAACGGTTTCACCAATTAAAGTCTTTCCTCAGTGAACCGGTGTTCTGTCCTGAATGTTTCATTAAGCCAGAAGTGGGTTGTCTGTAACGTTACATGAAGCTTCTCTATTTTCTAGCTCTTCCTCTGGCTCACTTGTTGACTTGCAACGTTGTATGAATCTCCCCATTTAAGAGATGATTTGGGCATGACATTTAACACATGCTAAATGTGAGCGATTGACTTGCATGTGATTTGGTGAAAATATGCTAATATTAGTATTTGTTGGTAGTGGCTAGTTTATTAAAAGCAAGGGTGGATTGCAGTCACTGTCCCTAGACTACCTTTTTGAGGCAAGGGAACAAATCTTTGTAAATATGTAATCTCAACTATTCCTTTAATGTGACAAGAAACCGGTCAATGTTACACCTCAACATTTGGTTTCTAGTCCTGCTGGATGTCATCCTAGTGAGATATGCTGTTCCCAATAGCTTAAGCCGTAATAATAATAAAAAACTACAAAATGCTTGGCTTAATTTCAGTTTGTGCTGAAAATACGTCACTCATTGTAATTAGTCATACTATTCTCCTCTTAGCCAGTTGCACTGGTCCAGCCAGTTTAGCATCATTCTACAATTTTAATTGCTTTCCCAGCAGTGTACTAGGGAAAATGAAAGTGGAGATGTAGGAGGTTCAAAGGCTTTCCAACCGAACCACACAGGACAACTCAACTTGTTGCAGACAGCTGTCCGACTACACCGAGAGACCCTTGGTTGACTGACTAAGTTGGTTATTGGCGGGAAGCGACAAAGATTCCTAAAGGACTATAGTTTTATTACAGGTAAAATTAATTTCTTCATGAGGTTGGGCTTCTTCTCCCTGATAAACATTACTATACTTCTCGGCTGTGACAAGGTGTTATGGGATTTGAGCTTGTATGGCTGTTTACACCGCTACCCTGAGAACCCAATTGTGATTTGTTTTCCATATCTGATGGTTTTTCTGACTGTCCACACTCAGTTTTATGTGACCCATGTCACATCAGATATGGGGCAGTAGGTATAAAATAAATGGCAGAAGATCTGAATTGGGCTGCAGGTGTAAATGCAACCTGTGACAGTCAGTCTCTTCGTACTTGGCACAGACCAGCATTAGACCAATGGTCAAAACATCTTCTGGATTCCATAAATGTTCAAACACGTCCTGGTGTTTAGGAAAGAGAAGGGATGGTGTGTCAATGGTATAAGTAGTGCATTAGTTGTTTTAAAGGGGCAATCTGCATTTCAAACAACGAAATGGCCACCACTGATTTGGTAAATAGCTGAGGCATGGGGCTGGAAAAATGTAACCACTCTCAAATTCATAGACAGAGCTATGAATGCTAGGACTGACCATCTAGAATTTTAACCATGTTTTAAAGCTATACAGTTTAATTACAATTGTTTACACAAACGGGTAAAACAAGCTTATATTTTGATGGGGTAAGACAGTTGAACTAAGCTCATGAGGCATAAGTTACGTGATACTCTTAAAGAATCAATGTGTATTGTCTATAATGAACTTAAGTATGTAGCAACTGCAGATTGCCCCATTAAAGGAAGTAAAGTTTGTTTTCCACAGTACCATGATGTAAACATGCACTACACAATGTTCTCTCCAGTCATTGTTGGGGCGCTGAGTTTTCCCTGGTCAGCTTACATAGTTCAGGCCCTGGTGGTTGTGTCAGGTACATGGTCACTGGGCAGGTATGCTAGAGTTGTGCTGGAACAAAAGCCTGCACACACTGCAGCCCTCTAGTACCGGGGTTCCCCAGCCCTGCAGTAGAGTTTCATTAAACCAGTGTCAATCCTGGTCCTAGAGATCTTCACACCTGGGCCTGTATTCACAAAGCCTCTTGGAGTAGGAGAGCTGGGGGGGGGGAAAGGAAGGGATTTTTTTTCTAATCAATTATATCACGGCAACAGTAGTTATCAGTGTTCTAATCTGATCTGACTGCCACTAAATGTCAAATCAGGCTAAAGTCGTGCTTCAAATGGCCCCGCCCGTTTTTGGGGCGATTTCAGTCAGGTTGAAAATCGCCCAGAAGTCTCTCATAGCCTGTCATGTAAAATCTATTTTTTTCAAATTTCAAAGCTTTCAATACAATCTCTATGGGTGTCTGTGGGCTTGCACTTACGCGCTTTCGTCATACGTGACGTAACCATGAACGTAACTAAGAAAATAGCGGCTAGCAGCGTCTCTGTTGCGACCTGCAGTGTGGCGTTATCTTATGTTTTTAATTTGTACACTTAGTGGCGTTATTTTATGTTTTTAATTTGTAGACTTAGTTTACAAACATTCTGCCAACCATGGATTTCCAGTGGTGGGTTTTGGACTGATCTTGTTGATCGTGTACATACCCGCTACGAACGGACTAAATAATGAAAACGCTGCTGGCAGCGGAATCCAATACAGCTGGGAGACTTGGCTGGATGACAGAGTCCCGGACAGAGAAGTGGAGCCGGCCGGCTTCACCCTGGTCAGAGCGGACCGCGATCCTGGTAAGAGAGCGACTCTGTACCCCCGACATTGAACTGCTTTCTGTGTCACTGCGACCTTACTATCTGCCCCGTGAGTTCCCCCAATTGTTTGTTACCGTTGTGTACTGTTGATAATCACAAGTTTACTGGAGAACTGAGACCAAGTAGAGACTTTGGACAGGGTGGATATGGTATAATAAAGGCAGTTTATTCAGAGGTAAAGATATCTGGAATCGCGTGCACGGACTCGTTCGTCAAACTCTTAGGGAGCTATCTGAAGAGAGCCCCGAAAACATTGTGTGCAGACATTTTATACAATAAATGATGTAGGTTGAATCTAGTAGTTCTGATCTTCTGATTGGTCCTGATGAGTTGGGCGAGGTCCCCTCCACTGTTGCATTGGCTCTGAGTCGGGTTCTCTGTCTTCAAATGTTCAGCCTAAAGAGAGGGGATTTTTGTGTGTGTGTGTGTGTGTGTTTAACAGTGATGATGTGTGTGTGTGTGTGTGTTATCAGTGATGATGTGTGTGTGTGTGTGTGTGTGTGTGTGTGTCCTCAGAGCAAGAACTCGTGAGTTGGAAGAACTGAGAGACCTATGGCGTGGGTGTTGTCCTTGGCCACCTGCTGACAAGGCTGACAAGATAGGACTCTTTTGTCCATTGTTATAGGATAGGAACAGCATTGATTGAAAACAAACGCCCAACACAAAATGGGTCATGCACAAGATTTTAGTCAGACCAAGCTATAACATTATATATTTACTACGACAGTACATTCAACCAAAAGCTAATATAACAAAGGCATCAGAGATTATTTATAATCTGTCACAGAAACTGGAATCCATCTCCCCAGATCAGTCAATAAATGCTTCTGGTATTGACTTATATGCTGCCCCTGTCTTCATGTGGGGTCTACTACAAAGCAGGCTCAATGAGTTAACCAGCTGACTTGGATAAACAACTAGACATAACTATTGATTTTCTGGTTCATGATGCTAAACTTAGATATGTGTTTTTGGTTGTTGAGTCCTTTAGACCAAGCCCATTTGAAGCTTATCTTACAAAAACATGTAAAGTTATTTCAGAATTTGTGAGCAATTTAGCTGGCTAACCTATTGATCCTGCTGAGACGCCCTAATTCAATGTATCTTTACCAACTTACCATCAAGCCCATTGAACTGCCGTCTAACAGGTAATTTATTTGCTTATGCTCCTGAGACTACGTTTCAATCAAATCAAATTTATTTGTCACATGCTTCATAAACAGGTGTAGACTAAAAGTGGAATGCTTATGGGACCTTCCTAACAATGCAGAGAGAAAAATAATAACACAAGGAATAAATACACAATGAGTAATGATAACTTGCCTATATACATGGGGTAAGTATTGAGTCGATGTGCAGGGGTACAAGGTAATTGAGGTAGATATGACTACTAGAAAGTGTGTGCCCTCAGGCCTGGAGGGAAGCAATAGTAATTCTGCTACCTAAGAATAGTAAAGCCCCCTTTACTGGCCCCCTTCAAATAGCCGACCAATCAGCCTGTTACCAACCCTTAGTAAACTTTACGAAAAACTTGTGTTCGACCAGATACAATGCTATTTTACAATAACCAAATTGACAACAGACTTTCAGCACGCTTATAGGGAAGGACATTCAACAAGCACAGCACTTACACAAATGACTGATGACTGGCTGAGAGAAATTGATGATAAAAAATATTGTGGGGGCTGTTTTGTTAGACTTCAGTGCGGCTTTTGACATTATCGATCATAGTCTGCTGCTGGAAAAACGTATGTGTTATGGCTTTATACCCCCTACTATATTGTGGATAAAGAGTTACCTGTCTAACAGAACACAGAGGGTGTTCTTTAATGAAAGCCCCTCCAACATAATCCAGGTAGAATCAGGAATTCCCCAGGGCTGCTATCTAGGCCCCTTACTTTTTCAATCTTTACTAACGACATGCCACTGGCTTTGAGTAAAGACAGTGTGTCTATGTATGCGGATGTCTCAACACTATACATGTCAGCTACTACAGCGACTGAAATGACTACAACACTTAACAAAGAGCTGCAGTTAGTTTCAGAATGGCTAGCCAGTCTCCAGACCTTAATCCCATAGAAAATCTGTGGAGGGAGTTGAAGGTTCGAGTTGCCAAACGTCAGCCTCGAAACCTTAATGACTTGGAGAAGATCTGCAAAGAGGAGTGGAACAAAATCCCTCCTGAGATGTGTGCAAACCTGGTGGCCAACTACAAGAAACGTCTGACCTCTGTGATTGCCAACAAGGGTTTTGCCACCAAGTACCAAGTTTTGCCATCATGTTTTGCAGAGGGGTCAAATACTTATTTCCCTCATTAAAATGCAAATCAATTGATACAATTTTTGACATGCGTTTTTCTGGATTTTGTTGTTGTTATTCTGTCTCTCACTGTTCAAATAAACCTACCATTAAAATTATAGGCTGATCATGTCTTTGTCAGTGGGCAAATGTACAAAATCAGCAGGGGATCAAATACTTTTTTCCCTCACTGTGTATGATTTACTGTTTTATCTTTTGTTTTATGTGTAATGTAAATGCCTTAATGTGTTTGGACCCCAGGAAGAGTAGCTGCTGCCTTGGCAGCAGCTAATGGAGATCCCTAATAAATACAAAATACAAATACAAATCTGTACATATTGGTAGGGATAAAGTAACTAGGCAACAGGATAGATAATAAACAGCAGCAGCGTATGTTATGAGTCAAGAGTTCATTCAAAAAGAGGGTCAATGCAGGGGTCTATTTAACTAACAATTTAGCAGTCTTATGGCTTGGGGGTAGAAACTGTTCAGGGTCTTGCTGGTTCCAGACTTGGTGCATTGATACCGCTTGCCATGTGGTAGCAGAGAGAACAGTCTATGACTGTGGCTGGGGTCTTTGACAATTTTTAGGGCCTTTCTCTGGCACCGCCTGGTATAGAGGTCCTGGATGGCAGGGCGCTCAGCTCCAGTGATGTACTGGGCCGTACGCCCTACCCTCTGTAGCACATTGCGTTCGGATGCCAAGCAGTTGCCATACCAAGCGGTGATGCAGCCAGTCAAGATGCTCCCAATGGTGCAGCTGTATAACTGTTTGAGGATCTGATGGCCCATGCCAAATCTTTTCAGCCTCCAGAGGGGGAAGAGGCGTTGTCGTACCTTCTTCATGACTGTGTTGGTGTGTGTGGACCATGGTAATTCCTTAGTGATGGAACAGTCCTGTCGATGTGGATTGGGGCATGCTCGGCACTTTGTTTCCTGTAGTCCAGGATCAGCTCCTTTGTCTTGCTGACATTGATGGAGAGGATGTTGTCCTGGCACCACACTGCCATGTCACTGACCTCCTCCCTATAGGCTGTCTCATCGTCTTTGGTGATCAAGCCAACCACCGTTGTGTCGTCAGCAAACTTAATGCTGATGTTGTAGTCATGCGCAAACACACAGTCGTGGAGTCGTGGGGGAACAGGGAGTACAGGAGGGGACTAAGCACGCAACCCTGAGGGGCCCCCGTGTTGAAGGTCAGCGTGGCAGATGGGTTGTTGCCTTCCCTCACCACCTGGAGGTGGCCAATCAGGAAGTCCAGGATCCAGTTGCAGAGGGAGGTGTTCAGTCCCAGGGTCCTGTGCTTAGTGATGAGCTTGGAGGGAACTATGGTGTTGAACACTGAGCAATAGTCAATGAACAGCATTCTCACATAAGTATTCCTCTTGTCCAGGTGGGAGAGAGCATTGTTGAGTGCAATAGAGATTGTGTCATCTGTGGATCTGTTGGGGCGGTGTGCAAATTGGAGTGGGTCCAGGGTGTCTGGGATGATGGTGTTGATGTGAGCCATGACCAGCCTTTCAAAGCATTTCATGGCTACAGATGTGAGTGCTACGGAGCGATGATCATTTAGACAGGTTACCTTGGCGTTCTTGGGCACAGGGACTATAGTGTTCTGCTTGAAACATGTAGGTATTACAGACTGGGTCAGGGAAAGTTTGAAAATGTCATTGAAGACACTTGCCAGCTGGTCAGCGCATGCTCGGAGTACACATCCTGGTAATCAGAATGTTAACCTGTTGAAAGGTCTTAATAACATTGGCTACAGAGAGCGAGATCACACAGTCGTCCGGAACAGCTGGTGCTCTCATGCATGGTTCAGTGTTGCTTGCCTCGAAGCAAGCATAGAAGGCATTTAGCTTGTCTGGTAGGCTTGCGTCCCTGGGCAGCATCCCTGGGTTTCCCTTTGTATGCTGTGATAGTTTGCAAGCCCTGCCACATCTGACGAGCGTCAGAGCCGGGGTAGTAGGATTCGATCTTAGTCCTGTATTGATGTTTTGACTGTTTGATGGCTTGTCGGAAAACATAGAGGGATTTCTTATAAGCGTCCGGATTAGTGTCCCGCTCCTTGAAAGCTGCAGCTCTAGCCTTTAGCTCAGTGAGGATGTTGCCTGTAATCCATGGCTTCTGGTTGGGATATGTATGTAGGTCACTGTGGCAGCAACGACGTCGTCGATGCACTTATTAATGAAGCTGGTGACTGATGTGATAAACTCCTCAATGCCATCGGATGAATCCCGGAACATATTCCAGTCTGTGCTGGTGAAACAGTTCTGTAGCTTAGTTTGCACAGGCAGCCCAATTCTAATCATTTTGCCCAATTATTGGCAAAAGATCTGATCTGATTGGTCAAAAGACCAATAATTGTCCAAATACCAATAATTGGGCAAAATATCAGAATTTGGCTGTCTGTGAAAACGCAGCCTTGGGGAAGATCTCAATTGTCCTCTCTCCTCGTTTCCTTCTCAAAACCCATTGGAGGAGAAGGTCAGAGGGGCAGGACCACTGGCTTTCTCATCCAATAGCTTTTGAGAAGGAACCGAGAAGAGAGGACACAAGGTGTATGCAATCTCCCTTAGACTTTCAGGAATCTGATGTGCCCTTGAGCAAGGCCTAATTAGTTTGTCAGTCAATGGCAGCCCCACCACTTGGTTTTCTATAAAGCAGAGGGATAGGGCTGGAGAAATGTAAGATCTCATTCATTGATGGAGCTATGGATTAAATGAGAGACAGTCAATAAGATCAGCGCATTTAGAAGTTATACAGTACAGTGTTAGTAACTTTTAGAGCTGAATTCGTATAATAGATTTACTTTGCACACCATCCCCCCATACAAATGAACAGGTCATTGTTTTCACCCTGTTACACTGAAACCCAATGAGGGTAAGTTAGGTTAGTCTTGAAATTCTCAGCTTTTGGGCTGTTTTTCTCAAACACAGGCACTACCAGATGGCATTATGTAATGATTTCCATCAGCAAGGGCATTGAAGATGCTTTTTACCAGAATAATATTTCTCAAGCAAGAACTTTGCTAGGACTGTCTGGGAGTGGTCTGAGTGGGGAGGGGAAATCTGAAAACTAGCTGTTATTGACAGAGAAGTCTCCAGAACCATGTGTGTTGGAACTTTGGAAGAGAAAGGGACATTGTGCAAGAACAACAGGGATGTCCACATTCATAACATTCTAACCTTGATGTGTTGATGTCCTGTTGACTTTTACTAAGAATGCAATAATTTAAGTTGTGTTACTACTAGCACATTTACGAATGTTTGGTCATTGTCTCAATATTGATCCTGCTTTGTAAAATAAGAGTGAGTGTGTTTGTCTGTGTTTCATGTTTGTGATGGCCCTCTGACTGCCTCCATTTCTGTCTCCAGAGGTCCAAGCTTCCTTCGACACACGTCCCTGTGTGAAAAGCTCTGATGTGGATCCAAGTTTTTCTGGGGCTCCTGGTTGTGGCCCTAGGCCTGCTCCTGCCCTACCCTGTCTGTGAGGCCACCTCCCTGGGTGCAGTGGTCAATGTTGTCCCTCTAGAGAAGAGTGGAGGAAATATGGTGAGGTTACACATTGTCAATGACCAATGGTGTCAGCTTTTAACAACGTACGTTAGGAATTTCAGGATTGACCTAAAATATGCGATGCGATAATGATAGGCTTTCTATGTTACGATGCACATGTGAGCAGCATTCAAATGAATTACAATCCATGTTTATTGGTTCTTGCTGTACCTCTCAGCTGTCAATACACAGCCCCTCAAGGTTACTTACTACGCTGGTATTTTACAGTCTCTGCTATTTATCTGTTGTTGTTTTCTTTGTTTTTGTTTGTTTCAATTTACTTGATAAAATGGTAAATAGCCAATAGTTACATTGTGGTTTAGGCATCAACAACAGGTATAATATAATATAATGTGCCATTTAGCAGACGAAAGCGACTTACAATGATTGTGCTGAATTCCTAAAAGCAAGTTTCTCATTGTTACCATGTAATTAATTACATGACCTCCTGACCTCATGCCACCTTTGACCTTTGGCAGGTGAGAGCCCACTACACCGTGATCTCGGCCCTTCCCTGTCCTACATACTCCGGAGTGTGTCAGACAGGGGAAGACTGTGTCGTGCATACCACCCCGTTACCCTACACAGGACAGAAGCCCGCCTCAGGCTGGTGCGTCCGCCAATGGCAGAGGACCGTTCCCAGCAACTACAAGGCCAACGTGAATGTGGGGTATGTGATTTGCTGAGAGACCTGTCATTTAATATCACACCATGCCCATTTGATGTGCTTTTGTAGAACATCTATAGAATCAATACACACTGACTGGTCATGTTCAGCGCTAGCTTCCGCAACATTTAAGACTGTAAAGTTTAATGAGTTGGTTTCATAATGGTGAAAATGTCATACAAACTTGCTTTAAAGCAGTTGAACATTAGACCTCCTCAGTCCTCACAATTCAGAACATTACTGTATAATGCAGTTCCATGACTGATCATTCTTACTTTATATCATATGCATTATGTTGTCTCCATGTTATAAAGCAACCATTATGCAGGTTATGCCATACCAACTCAGGAAAAGTGAAAAACAAACATGTTTATTTCACTCCCCTGTAACTGTGAATTAGGTCCAACGTGAATGTGTTTCTGTCCTTGTGGGCTGGACCCTCCAACCAGTCTAACCCATTGAGACTAAACCAGCCACCTTACTGCAGCCTGCCTCCTCCTCTCAGGTAACTCAACACACTCTAACCTGGACATGAGTCTTGTACTGAGCATACAAACATTACACCTCTGTTTACTCTAGTCTACACATTCTTACGGTTTTGACTGCTGATATGTAGTGTTTATTTATTTGGTCATGACCACTGATACGTTTTCACCCTTTTCTCTCCTCTTCCTCCTTCTCTCCCTTTTCCTCCTCTTTCGTTTTCTCCTTCCTTCCTTCCTTCCTTCCTTCCTCATCCCCGTTCTCCCTTTCCATACTTTTCCTTTCTCCTCCGTATCTCTTCCCATTGTCGAGCTCTTCAGTTTCGCTATAGCCTCTTCAAGTCTCTCAGAACAGGGTCCCAGTCCTCAAACTGCCTGAGCGTCTGACTTACTGTTTGTGAGATATGTGTAGTCTTGTGATAATGAGGTGATCTGCCGCACACCTGACCAATAGGCTCAAAAAAAGGTGCAGGAGAAAATATATATATAATAAAGTGGGGAGAAAAAACTCTTTAAGTTGCATATGATTGTTAACTGAATGTGTATTCTTGTGTCAGGGCTCGCGTGAACTGCCCACATCACTTCCCACTGACGGTGAAGGACCTGGATGGGGACACGGTGCGCTGTCGCTTTGCCCGGGCTGACCTTGGAGAATGCCTTGACTGCCCCCAGCACAATTTTCTGAAGATGGAGGAGGTGGGTCTTAACTTATTTGTGTCTATATTTTAGTCCACGCAGCAGTGACTGTAAGATGCCCCCAAACCTCCAAGAAAAGGTGCAAGAAAGATACATTTTTGTTTCTTATACAGAGAAATAACAAATATTATTAATTGGCCATTATGGATGCATCATGCACCATCTAATTGTGCGGGAAGGTTAAACCAATTGAGAGTTATTTGTTGGACTTGTTTGGTTTGAGAGTTAGGCTTTCGTCTTCAGGCATGCGCTCTGTGGGAAACAAAGAAAATTTGTTTTCAAATAAATTGTAATACATTTGTTTTAATTGCTATTTCATAGGAGTCGTGTACGCTGTTGTACAATGGTAAATCATCCGCTGGCCAATACTCTGTGCAGCTGATGGTGGAGGACTTTCCAAGTCAAACCCAAACCGCCAAACCCAAAGCACTCAGTTCCATCCCACTGCACCTGTCCCTTACAGGTGAGACTGACACACACAAACCATTTCACGCTGTCTCCTCTTTATTGATGGGCCTGTTTTAGGGAAAAGTGAATCAGGTATATTCTGCTGGTCTGCTCTCAATAACTATACATACTGGACTGTATGATGTAGCTGTGTTATTCAGTCTTGATGTGAGGCACCTTGGGATTGATTTATCAAGCGCTCTTGAAAATTAACATTTCAACACAGTAGTAATGGATGAGTTTCCCATATTTATGTACCAGTAACAACATTTTATATTGAGATACATCCAAAGTTCTTGAAAAGGAGCAACAGAAAGACTTGAATTATATTGGTTATATATGATACCTGAAGCCAGGTTAAAAAGAAAGTGGTTTAAAACTAAAGAACCTTAACTTTTGTCTTGTTCTTGGTTTCAGTGGAGGAGGCGTCCTCAAGCTGCATTTCCGAGCTGGTCACTACAGGACTAACACCAACAGGTGGAGCCACCATCTCCGTTCTGCCCTACGAGCAGATCAACGTGTCTGTCACCTTTCGTTCTGACCTAGAGAGGTGTGTTATAGCAGTGTTTTCCAAACTTGGTCCTCAACCTAGAGGTGTGTTATACTACTCAACCTAGAGGTGTGTTATACTACTCAACCTAGAGGTGTGTTATACTACTCAACCTAGAGGTGTGTTATACTACTCAACCTAGAGGTGTGTTATACTACTCAACCTAGAGGTGTGTTATACTACTCAACCTAGAGGTGTGTTATACTACTCAACCTAGAGGTGTGTTATACTACTCAACCTAGAGGTGTGTTATACTACTCAACCTAGAGGTGTGTTATACTACTCAACCTAGAGGGGTGTTATACTACTCAACCTAGAGGTGTGTTATACTACTCAACCTAGAGGTGTGTTATACTACTCAACCTAGAGGTGTGTTATACTACTCAACCTAGAGGTGTGTTATACTACTCAACCTAGAGGTGTGTTATACTACTCAACCTAGAGGTGTGTTATACTGAGTTTCCCTCCTTTTGTGTCATGTTTCTCTCAACTATCTCTCTCTCTCGCTCTCAGTTGTGTGTAAAAGTTACAAACGGGTTGTTTTCCAAACTTTCATCATGGATTTCTATTGGAGAAGTTAGTCCGTTTCTGTGCATCTTTCTACTGTTTTGACTGGGTTTGCGGTATCTCTCTTCTTCAGTGTATCAGAGATAGTGATGGTTGGTCCCCCTGGCCTCTTCAGGACAGCGCTGGAAACCAAGGGTTCCCTGGCCACCATGAATCTCACATGGATCCGGGGCCCCAATAACCTGCCTCCTCTTTTGCCACTTTGTTTCATGGCCAACACCAACAGGTAACTTTTCGGTGAAGGAGAACAATAAATGTTAGGTTGACATTTCGTCAACAACCAATGTTTTAGCATCTGTTAGAACCAACCTGTCTGATGTATACAACCTCTTGTCCTCACAGTTTGCAGTCTGAACCAAGATGTGTGTGGCTTTACCAAAGTAAGAACAATCACAGTTCTTCCACTCTGTTTTGTGTGTGTGTGTGTGTGTGTGTGTGTGTGTGTGTGTGTGTGTCCAAGAGTAAGCATGATGAAAGGGTCGTTTCTTAGTTGTTTACAGTGGTGAAAGCGGGGTGAGGTACAGCATAGGTGCAATATTTTCTAAACATGTTCATAAAATGTTGGAAGTCTCTACTTGTCTTTTCCAGGACAGATGGAGACCATTCCCACTGGAACAGGTATATAACACACTGTGTATGTAGTTGATATCCACTACTGACTGACTGACTGACTGTCTGACTGTCTGACTGTCTGTCTGTCTGTCTGTCTGTCTGTCTGTCTGTCTGTCTGTCTGTCTGTCTGTCTGTCTGTCTGTCTGTCTGTCTGTCTGTCTGTCTGTCTGTCTGTCTGTCTGTCTGTCTGTCTGTCTGTCTGTCTGTCTGTCTGTCTGTCTGTCTGTCTTGTTCTTGATGTATCGGTCTCTTTGGAAAAGACACACACATACAAGCAAAGAAATACACTAAAAAGACCCTTCTCTCTTCACCATAACCCAAACCCTTACCCTAAACTGGGTTCGTATCCTAACCCCAATCCCGCCCCTTACCCTAAACCGGGTTCGTATCCTAACCCCAACCCACCCCTTACCCTAAACTGGGTTCGTATCCAGATCCCTCCCCTCCCCATACACTGATACATCACACTCTTCCCTTCTTTATTCATGTTTTGGTTTAGTCTGATATTTAGTTTGGACTCCTGTAGTTTGGTTTTTCTTTTCATTTATACAATTTGTAAAGCGACTTTGGGTCCTTGAAAAGCGCTAGAAGTCCCACCTATTATTTGTATTATTTCTCTCCTCCCAGAGCTGACATGTGGGAAGACTGAGATGAATCTGGTTCTCCCCATTTCCACCCTGAAGAACCTGATTGTGTCAGAGCTCCAGCTCAACCACCCTTCCTGTAGTATCACCTCCAACTCCACCCATGTGATGGCCCGCATCTCTCTGACTGGCTGCGGCACTAAGAGAGTGGTACGAGACTCTGCCCACTGTATCAAATGCAAAACTTACATTGGCTCCTTCCCAGTAGTGGTGCCTGAGTAAAAAAAACTGGGGACGCCAAGCCAGAAATAAAGCCATATTACAACCTATGTGTTGTGATAATTGCGTTGTTCGCTCTATAACCTGTTAGTTCATATGCCTTGAGGCCATGATATGCTGTATAGGCCCAAGGCCGAGACAATAAGAAGACACAGTGGCAGAATAAATTCAACCACACCTTTGTTTCATCACAAAACCGGAAAGCAACCTCTGTCCGGTAAAGTCCACAAAGCATATTGCATGTAACAAACAGGTACAATGACCTACAGCATGGTCAAGCAAGTTAATGTTTCCGACATTTTCTGACTACTAAACAACTATTGATTTAGAACCACTGAGAGTTACCGCAAGTCACAAACAAAATAGTAGCTGCCTCCACTATTCCAGCACCATTTCAACTTCAACATTACCTCTGCTTAGTCTAATACAGTGACAACTAAAAGATACCAAAAACTATTTAGTCCAATCAACGTAAGCTAAATATGATGTGGCTGTCCATGGTTCTGCTTTCTCTGCGTGTGTGTGTGTGTGTGTGTGTATTCTTGCAAGTAGGAAAAACATGTTGACATGTTGAGAAATGCCAATGCCATCCTCCTCTCATGTTGACGAAACGGTCTATGACTCTGTCATACAGTACATACTTTTAAGTTTTGTTGTCCTAGGCTACCTGGCTAAAATGCTTGCTCGCTAGCCTAACTTTCATGGGTAATAATGAGCAAGCTAGTTAATATTAGCCTACTACATCTAGCTACATATTGAACATCCATCCTCTCAGGCCAGGGGCACAATGTATGAATTTATGGTTGGATCAAAATCGCCGTTATAATCATTGGCCAGTAAGGAGAATTAACTAATTAATGAAATCCCTATCTCCATCCATGGCTAAGAAAGGGCCAATTTTAGCCTGCTAGCTAGCCACCGGCAGACAACAACACAACGAGATGCAACAAATCAAGTTTTTTCTGCCAATAACGTTTTGCTCTCGATGTGATGTGATTGGTGTGAATCCAAACTGGCTTCTCTTGACACTTTGTTTTGGTATGCCAGGACCATTCACAGTTTTGAGCTCACTCAGTTTAGCTCAACACTGATTGGCTATTATTTTATACTTTTTTTTATCAAGGGAGGCCAAATGCTCGCTGGCTTCCCTTGTGTTTAATGCTATGGGCGGCAACAATGTCACACTCTTTTTGACCAGACAGCATCAGGTAGATTGGCTGCACATACAGAGTCAGATAGGTGCTGTTTCACTCGCGCGGCTGCTTTCACTGGTGAGATACAGTACATTCAGCCTCTTGCCAATTGAAGGAAAATGATGAAACACAGAGAGATGAAAGATACATTCTTTTATATGTTGTTTTCTTTTTTTTTCTTGGTTAATTTTATTAGGAAGCCTGGCTTCCCTTGGCATACATGAATGCACGCCACTGCTCCGTCCATAAAGCAGGTTGAACAGACTGTCTGCTGTGATGTGTGACTGAACCAGAATATTCACACATGATCCCGTCCCTTTTCTCCACAGCACTCTGGTTCAGAGATGGTGTACACCAACACCCTGCGAAGCGTGCGCACCACCGTCATCAGTCGGCTGCCCACCTTGATTATGCCGCTCGCCTGCCGTTTCCCCGGGGTCGAGGCCAAGGGCCCGCGGTACGCCATCAACATGCCGTCGGAGCAGGAGACCTTCGGCATCGTCAAGTTCTGGTTGGAGTTCTACCGGCCTGGGGAGGGGCCCATGGCTAAAAGCACCAAATTCCCCATGTTCCGACACCTCCTCCCTCCCTCCCAGCGTGTCCGCCGAGAGACGTCGGTCCGCACCGCGAGCAGGCTGGACACACTGGACCTGCATGTGTTCTCCAACACCTCTCTGGACAGGGCAGAGCTGATGGTGGGCAAGTGCATGGAGTCCGAGACAGAAGACATGGCTGACAGCTTCTATATCCTGGAACAGGGGTCAGTGCAGGCCAGGGAACCAAGCCTGCTTAAAGGGATAGTTTTCTGAAATGTTTACCCAATCTTGATTGTTTTCTTACCCCAAATGGGGTACTTGGGTTTTTATTACAAGCTCTACGGAAAGCTGTCCTTTTAACTCAGTTGAGGTGGCAGCAATTTGTCACGTTGTTATGAAATTGATTGTTTACTGAGATTTCCGCTGTTTTGGAACCCAATCTCTCACGTACATTAAAAACATTAAATGTCTTCCTTCTTTCTCAGGTGTACGGCTGGAAATGGAACCCTGGAGATTCTGACCTCAACCTCCACTGCCAGGGTGTACCGAATCGACCTGAGCACTATCAACACTAAAGGAACCACGGTGTGTATTTCTGTCCATGTACCTCTCTTCAGGGATATGGAGGGTGCTCCCGTTGATCTCTCAGACATCCGGAACGGCCACATGATTATCCAGTTGAGCAAAAGCCCAGCGACTAAAATAGAAATAGACTAACTAGCGCCTATATCCCATACTGTTTATTTACAACATGTTTTATTATTGTTATAACTGATTTATCCACTTCAATCAATGTGTCAGTCTGTCACTATGTGTTTGTCCCTTTCAGCTCTGTTTGAATAACAGTATATGTCCATCTGTATAATGCTTATTTCAAATTCTCACAATATGTTTCTCCGAGATTTTTTGGTCTTGGGTCTGACTCTCTCTAATGACATTAGCCTATATGATCACAATATTGTACAAGTGTTGTATGTGTAGTTGATTGTGTCTCTTGTCCTCTGCAGATGTACGTGGAGTGTACAGTGTATCTCTGTGTCACCACGAGGCCCTCTCAGAAGTGTCCTGATCAGTGTGACAGGGACAGCAGCAACCAGGTAACGGTTGACAACATGCTGACCAGGAGCTATAGCGTCCGCTCCGGCCCCGTTAGACTCGTACCCACCACCGCTGCACTGGCAACCACCACTGTGTTCACAACTACCATCCCCACCACCACTAGTACCACAGCAGCACCAACTACCACAGCCTCAAATGGTAGGACTTGTAGACATGCTCAGCTCTTACTCAGTCCCGTAGCTTAAATTCATCTTTAGGGGCTGTAGCCCAGCATTAACCCAACCGATATGGAAAAGACGACCAGCGCTCACCAATAAAGTATAACTATCCAGTGATATTTACCCTCAATTGGATTCTCTCCTCCACTTTCCCCTACTCTAGCTCCAGCTGAGGACTCAACCATGGCAGTGGGCGTGGTCTTGGCTGTCGTTCATGTCTTTCTTCAAGGCCTACTTCATCACTGAAGAAACAAGGCTTAGAATACCTATGATGTTAAATTGTAGCTCTCATGTGGATTTCTGCATACTAATTGACATCATTTAAAGCACACATCACAAGAAGCCAATGGAATTAGTGATATGACACACTGCTTACTTTGAATGGGCCTTTTGAATATTTTTCAAGATACTTATTTTTGTACAGTATACTCCCCATGATGGTTTCTACATTTCCCCAGAGGACATTAGTATGAAATTTGTGCATGTAAAGCATGAAACACTGAGAATCTCACTGCTGATAGGTACTTATCACAGTGGGAGGCCGTTCCTTCTCTTGCTTGAACAAAAGCGGTACCTGCTGCGTGCCAACCTTGTAGCGACGAGCCTACCGGTTCTAGTCGTCAGTGGCCAACAACTTGATTTTGAGCCAATCTGAGGGGTCGTCACTAGTTACCACAGCCACAAAGTCATAAACCACAATTGATCTTCTTATAATGTGATTTTAAACCTAACCTTAACCACACTGCTAACCTTGTTCCTAACCATAACCTTAAATTAAGACCATAAAGCAAATGTTTGTTTTCATGATATAGACAATTTTGGACTTTGCGGTAACTCAATCAGAGAGCACGAACCCCCTGGGAGCCAACAAAAAAAAAGGAAATAAGAGGGCATGTCTCCGCACATCCGCCGATGAGCCAGTCACACTTCATATGCAATGTAAGCTATGTGATAGTAACTAGCTAAGTGCACAGACACAATACTAAATTATTCATCCAAGCTAGCTAACCACTGTAGCTAGTATTGACATTGTATGTAAATCACAATGGATTTGCTAGTTTCCATGAAATAGCTGCCTGTGTTAGTTGCCGAGTTGTGCAGTTTCCTTAGCTAGCTAGTGAATATGCTAACATTAGCTAGCTAGCTAAAGATTTGGCTATGGGCTGGCACTGTGGGATTATGGAGAGTGAATAAAATTGTTTCTTCGTCACCTTGCTAGGTAGTTCTCTAGCTGCGGCCATCTGGCTAGTAGCAACATAAACACAGATATCTTGTAATCTAGACCATAAACAAGACGCACGGATATGCATTGTCAAACAACGCTACTGCCACCTTCTGGTTTGGAGTATTTTAAAAGGCTGAGTGGGTGACGACTTCCAAGGTCTTTGCTGTGTGATCACAAAACAGTGACTGCCGACACTGTTTAGAGTTGCTAAATACTGTCGGCAGGTAAATGTTTGACAATCTTACCAGACAATCTTTTTTGTTTACTCAATATTTCGGTCCAAGTGTTACCTGAACAAAAAATATATAAAGTTGCCCCAAACTTAGCTCCAATTTGACAAGAATTCAGTCAATTTAAAATGTGTTTTCTCAACTGGTCTCATATGTTCATTCAGCTATAAATTATTATTTGGGCATCTTAACTAAAAAAGGCTGTGCAACTGGTTACACACACACAAACAGTGCTTTTAACATACAATGTTTTCAACTTACAGTACCAGTCAAAAGTTTGGACACACCTACTCATTCCACGGTTTTTCTTTATTTTTACTATTTTCTACATTGTAGAATAATAGTGAATACATCTAAACTATGAAATAACACATATGGAATCATGTAGTAACCAAAAACGTGTTAAACAAATCAAAATATATTTTTTATTTGAGATTCTTCAAATAGCCAACCTTTGCCTTGATGACAGCTTTGCACAATCTTGGCACTTTTTTGCTTACTACATGATTCCATATGTGTTGTTTCATAGTTTTGATGTCTTCACTATTATTCTACAATGTAAAAAATAGTAAAAATAAAGAAAAACCCTTGAATGAGTAGCTGTGTCAAACTTTTGACTGGTACTGTACATATTTGACACAAGTTGACATACAAAAGCACTGTGTGTGTGTGTGTGTGTGTGTGTGTGTGTAACTAGTTCCACAGCCTTTTTTAGGTAAGATTCCCAAATAACAATTTCAAGTTGAATGAACATATGAGAACACATCATTTTGACTGACTTTAAGTAGTATATCTTAATTGGATATTGGCATGCACAATTTTGTGGGAACATATCAAAAGTGGACTAATGAATATGGAGGTGGGGGGGGGGGAGTAAAATGATCCTGCAATTAGCTAATTATACTCGATTTTATATATTTTTTAACTGCTGTTGACACATATTTACAAGAGGTTCCTCCACTGATAAGTGAAATTGAAAGGTTTTCAACATTGTTTTTCTTGTTATAGCAACTTCTCTAATAACTCACAGTGAAATCTTCAACATTGAACCAATCAAATTCGATCAATCAAATGTATTTATAAAGCTATTTTTACATCAACAGTTGTCACATCTTTACAGTAACCCAGCCTTAACTAATCAGTATTATTGATACTCCTCCCGCTCCACTTTTACTACAAACATAGATCGCGCTTATGTAAGCACTAAGACGACTCCTGCTGGGGCTTTGGTTCATCTGTCTATCACAGTCTTAAGGTGCAAGGACAAACCAGGTTTGGTACGCAATTGGTCACAAAAAAAGGCATATTGGTCTTCTACTACCTCTAAAATAGTGATACTCTTCATGGATTTCACTTAATTCAAACATTTTATACCCATGAAACATAAACCCTCTGACTGACTACTAGATTCTTCAGAAGTCATTCATAAGAACATGTAATTTACCATTTGGAAAAGCACCAGAAGTAAGCACCTTTTATAGTATGACTTTGGTTATAAATGATTTGTGAAGCACCTATATTCTGGTTCATAAATATTATTTGTAGTGCTTATGAAGTCGTTGAACACTATAATAATACCTATGCCTGTATTGGTGTATTTATGTGGGTGTGCTGTATCCCTCTGTGTCTAGATACGACAGGGCACAAGGTGGTTTAATATGCTCATACAGGTACAGTAGCTATATTTATTACATTATCATCGAGTTTATGGTTCTATAGATTATATTTTGTATTCAATGGTAAAAAGTTTGCCGAGGTCTGAAAATGCCTAAGTAACTATTTTTTGTCTGATCTGAGTGATTGGAAATCTAACCAATAAAGTGATGTTGCTATTGTTTCCTCTGTTGATGAGTTGCCAATTGTCATTTAGAATGGGAGGAGACTAGCCCGACCTCATTGGAACCACGCCTCTGTTCAAGGAACGTACTAGCCACAGGGATTGTTGTTAGCGGGATTGCTAGCAGGGGCAGTTCTTGTTTGACATTTCAATTGGAATATGCACCCTCAATCTTGATACTGTTAACTGGCGAATCTTTGTTGCATTATTTATGTCATTTGACTGAGTAAATCAAAATTTGGTTCGACAAGTTGTTGTTGGTCGCAGTCGGTTGAGGTGAGTTTTATCTACCTAGCTAACGCTGGTTAGCTAACTAAGCCCATTTGAAGCAAAACTAAATGGCGTTAGCTACGTGGTGTTACATCAAGTTGCTACATAACCTTGTCAGACAGATGCATCAATACATCTCAGAAAATGTTATATTTCTGCTGGCAGACTGAGTCCTTAAACATTCACGATGCCTTTAGCATGTAGAAAATATCGCTAATGTTCGCTGGCTAATGTGTTTTTCACGATTAGCTAACTACAGTAGTTACATGAGCATGTGAACAGCATCGTACAACAGTAGTTAGGCTAGCTAAACATTTGGATAGGGTTCGAACAAATTAACGATCTCATAAAAATACACAGTATTTGCTACAGTATTGAAATAATGATAGCAAGGACAGTTGTTGTGCTAGCTAACGTTAGTCATATCACTGGGTTTCACGATGATGACGTTCGAACATGGCTAGCTAGCGTTAGCCACAATGTGTTGCTAGCAGTAGCTTACTAAAAAGACCACCGGGAAGTCAACCATCCTTATTAGCTAACGTTAACTGAACGAAATCTGTTTTTCATCTACATTTTTCTTACTACGACAGTTAAGGCTAACTTGTTATTTGAAAAGGATAACTAGTTAACAGTGCTCTATACATATTTGACCTGACACGCTCGTACATTTAGCCACACAAGTTCGGGCGCGCACGACTCCGCTAGCAGTGGATGGCGTCAGGCCCTCTCTTGGCAGAGGGGGAGGGGAATGGGCAGGTCTTATTGCTGGTTTAGAAGCTAACAGCTAGCCAGTTAACATCTCACTGTTAGCTTGTGGATTGTCTTTGGGACGTGTCGTCCCCGCTAAATAAGAAACATACATTAATTGGATTAGACTTGTGGATGTGTTCCCTAGCCATATTCCTTATGGCGGTTTACCACGTTGAGCGATGAGAGTAACGTGACTTCCTAGTTATTTAGCTAGCGTGCTTGCTAAGATAAATGGTTGAGTAACGTTCGTCCAGTCGGTAGTTAGCCAATGCGTCCCATCACACTGTAGCTAGCTACATAGTTATCTATATATCGTCCACTAAAGCAGTCAATATAAATTCTAGCTCATATTCTGGCCAAACATCCTTCCTTATCCCTCCAAAGTGATCACAGTAACGTTCATATCATCAACTTTTTGGAAATATAGCCACTAGTTGTGGGAGAGACAGAGATACTGGAGAATCCCATAAATGTGTGCCACAGAGTCTGAAATGTGCTAAATGAATGGAATACCAAGTATCCAACTTCAAATGAGCAGTTGTGTCAGGGTGACTATCAATTATCAACCACTCAAGTATGCCTAAATGTTAACTGTGTTGTACCTGTGCATCCTAGCGCTTTTGAGTATGAATATACAATGAAGAGGCGTGCGGAGGATCAGGAACCAGTATTTGCGTCCCAGCAGCAGCAGCGTCGCCCCCCAGTCCCGGGTACTGCGGAGGGCTTCCAGCACCGCGTCCTAGCCCCAGCCGTGTACGAGGCTGTCACCGACAACATGCAGCCCTCCCCCGGCATCCAATACTCCATCCCCCAGGGTTACCAGGTATGGGAACTGTTGCCATCTCTCTTGAATCTAGATGAGAGCATGTTGCACAGAAAATAATACTTTTACTAGATTCTACAATGCATTAATTTATAAGTACCAACTAACCAGCAAACTGTAGTTTTTGCATTGGCCTTTTCCGAGGCCTTGTTTACTATTTTATCACAGGCAGAATGCTGATATTTGACTGAATCTTGACCTCCAGGTTCCCACAATGCCCCAGAACTCCAGTGGTCATGGACACGCCTCTAGTCCCGCTGCACTTGTCGGGCCCCACCCCCACAGTCCAGCTGTCCAATCACAAGGGGCTGCGGTGGTCCAGAGCCATGTCCATCCTTTGACCCCTATGGCCCCCTCACAGGGTGCACAGTTCCAGCGACTCAAGGTGCGTTTTTCATTTGTTTACATTTTATTGAACGTACAAAAGAGATTTAAAAACAAGCACATGTACTAAATGCAGAATATAGTGGAGGTATAATGGACTCAATTAGGACCTGTTGATTTCAAAGCATGGAAGATAGTAGGGCTGGGAGTTGCCAGGGATACGATATTATCTCCATACTTAGGTACCGATATTATTGTGATTCTCACGATTCTATATGTACTCTGTCATTTTATTTATTCCATGTTACAAACATTGCTCACCATATGTCTGCTGCAGAGGGACGAGAGCCATGAGAAAATGAGTTTTGATCAGTTATGGAAATAAAATTGCTGAAAACAAATTGGCTCCCAAAAAGGAAAACAAGCTATGAAAGAAAAATACTGGAGTTTAGTTGGTACAGCCAAATAGTGCAAAAATAATATTGAGATATTGTCAAAATGATAGGATATATCGTCCAAAATAATATCCCTATATGTAACTGTATTGATCCCCCCCCCCCCATCACTAGTAGATAATGCAGCAATGAGATTAGTCAACAATTAAAGTATGGAGCTTGTTGTGATGTTTTCATTATCTTCATCACTTCATCAACTTCTTTTTACCTTTGAAAAAATGTGGTTTAACTGGCATAACTGTGTTTGTAGGTTGAAGATGCTCTGTCCTACCTGGACCAAGTGAAACTGCAGTTTGGGAATCAGCCTCAAGTCTACAACGACTTCCTCGACATCATGAAGGAGTTCAAGTCACAGAGGTCAGTTTCAATTTAGTTAGTTTTTCTAAGCAGACACTGTAAACATCCACGTAAGCAATTAACTCTTGTGCTATAGGAAGATATTCAATATGTTTGAGGGGATCAGTTTGAGCAAGGCGAGGCGTGGAGTCGCTAATCTTGATCATATAATTAGTAGTTATTTGAGAAGCAAGGTGATTTGTAGATCAGTGATTCTGCACAGTCTGACTGCGATGTAGTCAATCTTAAACACGCACATTGACTTTCATAGCATCGACACTCCGGGCGTGATCAGCCGCGTCTCCCAGCTCTTCAAGGGCCACCCAGACCTCATCATGGGCTTCAACACCTTCCTGCCGCCGGGCTACAAGATTGAGGTCCAGACCAACGAGCAGGTCAACGTGACCACGCCGGGTCAGATCCACTACATCACCCCGCACGGCATCTCGGTCCAGAACCTCCCCGTCACGGGCCCTCCCAGCCAGCCGGTGCCGCATCATCACCAGGCCCTGCAGCTGCCCAGCGGACCCCCCACCAGCACCGCCACAGCCAACCCCGCTCTACCCACCCAGCCCACACCAGCCAAGACCAGCAAGGTCCCAGCTCACTAAGACCCTTTTCCTTTGTCGTGTCATTCTGTGCGAGAACCTCTTCTCGAGTTCTGTTTCTGCATGTTGAGTTTCCTATTGGAGATTTGAACCCCAAGTCATTGGCTTATTTATTCATTTGTTATGTAAACATGTATTGATTTACTTATTACTGTATAGTTACGTATGTAAAGATATAATTCTACTGTTTTATCCTTGTGACATGCTGATGTGTACTTGGAAGTTGGAGGCAAAACTCATTGCCCTTCTCTGTTTCCCCCCATAGCCGATGCAGTCTCCAGCCCTGACCCCGACTAGCCAGCCCAACCCGTCGATCCCCTCCTACGCCTCCCCACGCTCCCCCTCGGTCCAGTCCCACACCCCGGTGAGCAGCACCCCCTCCAGCGGGCCTCCCCTGCAGAACAACCAGCCCGTGGAGTTCAACCACGCCATCAACTACGTCAACAAGATCAAGAACCGCTTCCAGGGCCAGCCCGACATCTACAAAGCCTTCTTGGAGATCCTGCACACTTACCAGGTAAAAACACAGCGAGAGGGCTGCCCCACACAAAGCATTGCATTCAATAAATCTGGCTTCTTTCTGAAGGGTGATTTTATTTGCAGTATAAACAACAAGCTATAAAATGACAGTGTCCACACAGATTTCTGTTCGTAACCTGGTTCACCATTCAATATGAACTTAAGGTTCCATGCCAGCTCTACAATGAAACTGCAGACAGGGCAGTGGTGCCCTTTGTGTGGTCTCCCTGGTCACTTTCTGGGAACATGGCTACAAGAACCAGAGGTGCACTGGATAATCATTGCAGAAAGAAACTTTAGAGGAAGGAAATTCTGACAATTAATTATATAATTTTGTTTACATTTACCCTATAATGTCATCCTTGGTAAAAGTTTTTGGTATAGTCTTTAACCAGTGGTCTGATTGCTGCTTTTGCAGAAGGAGCAGCGAAATGCGAAGGAGGCGGGGGGTAACTACACCCCAGCATTGACAGAGCAGGAGGTGTACGCTCAGGTGGCCCGGCTCTTCAAGAACCAGGAGGACCTGCTCTCGGAGTTCGGACAGTTCTTACCAGACGCCAACAGTTCAGTGGTGAGTGTTTCACATTGACGCTAAAACGTCCTCTATTGCAAGAGATGCATTTGGCTCCATTGGTTGCCAAACTAGATTCAAGTAATGCTTCCTTCACCTGAGATGTTATTTCAGAATGATAGAAGTTGAGTTTAAACTATGTGAGGACATTGAAATACAAACTTGACCGCTGTCATATCATATTATTGTTTTGATATGACTAATACCACCTGTTTTTTTATTTACTACATCATATGACTCAGACAACAGGGTTCATGGTCAAGATGCACTGATAATGCCTTTCAGTTTGATGTAATAACTGTATATTCTGTGCAGATCTACTCAGACCTTGCCTATCTTAAACACTCACATTTATCTCTGATCCAGAGTTGTCCCCCTTTTCTCCAGCTGCTGAGCAAGACCACAGCCGACCGGGCGGAGTCGGTACGCAATGACCACGGCACCACGGTCAAGAGGCCCCTGATGAACAACAAGCAGCGGCTCAACCAGAATGGCTGTCCAATCCGGAGGCATTCCGGAGCGGGCGCCACGCCTCCCGTCAAGGTAAACTAGCGCCCTGTCGTTGACAGTGTCAATAAGTCTTTGTATGTAAATGTTTTGCCGCCAAACTGATGGCAGTTGTGAAAAAGTCAATAGTTGGAAGAGTTGATTGAAAATAATTATATTTTCTCTTGAACCATATGATCTATCCACTAGAGACTCATGGACCATATGGATACAGATATAAGAAATGAATACTATATATTAATGCTTAAAAAAAAAAAAAGTTATTCAAGTATAAATTACCAAAATGATCATAGATTACCTGTTAATTACCAAAATTACAGAAGATTCCGGTAACTTTGGTAAATTACCGGTAGTTTTGCAACCATATTTGTCAGACATGCGGCTATTAAGAAACGATTTAGCAGTAGTAACAGTAACAGTTGTAGTACTGTTCATACAGCTTAGAATGGTATATGTTTGACTAGAGCATCCCATAGATCTGTAAACTCTTTAAATGTGGGATTTGTACCTTATTTACTAACCCTAGAACTGTAATATACTGCTGAAACCTCTGTCCCTGGATCAGTTCATTGGTCTACCATGTCAGTGGTAATGGAGTACTTATTTACGCTCAATTCCTCTCTCTTTCCCACCCTTGCAGAAGAAACCCAAGATGTTGGGGAAAGACCATGCCATGGCTGAGGCCAGCAAACATAGCATCGGCACAGAATCTCTTTTCTTTGAAAAGGTCAGTCTAAATTTTTTTTAAAAACCTAATGTGAATGTTAAACCTAATGTGATCTATACAAATGACGCCTATAGAAATAATTGATTCCGTTCCAACTGAACATGATTTGAATTAAATAATTGCCTGGCTGTGATGAGACGCTGTCCCCCTAACCCAATTGTAAAGTCATTCAAATCAAATCAAATTGTATTTGTTACATGCTCCGAATACAACAGGTGTAGACCTTACAGTGAAATTCTTACTTACAAGCCCTTAACCAACAATGCAGTTTTAAGAATGAATACCAAAAAAAAAATACAATATAAAATAATACGAAAAATAAAAGTAACAAATAATTAAAGAGCAGCAGTAAAAATGACAATAGCGAGGTTATATACAGGGGGTACCGGTACCGAGTCAATGTGCGGGGGTACAGGTTAGTCGAGGTAATTGGGGTAATATGTACATGTAGGTAGAGTTATTAAAGTGACTATGCATAGATAATAGACAGAGAGTAGCAGCAGCGTAAAAGAGGGGTGGGGGGGGCAATGCAAATAGTCTGGGTAGCCATTTGATTAGATGTTCAGGAGTCTTATGGCTTGGGGGTAGAAGCTGTTTAGAAGCCTCTTGGACCTAGACTTGGCACTCCGGTACCGCTTGCCGTGCGGTAGCAGAGAGAACAGTCTATGACTAGGGTGGCTGGAGTCTTTGGTGCAGCTGTAGAACCTTTTGAGGATCTGAGGACCCATGCCAAATCTTTTCAGTCTCCTTAGGGGGAATAGGTTTTGTCGTGCCCTCTTCACGACTTTCTTGGTGTGCTTGGACCATGTTAGTTTGTTGATGATGTGGACACCAAGTAGTGTGTATTTACAGAGCTGCTTTCTAATCACAGGTGAGGAAAGCCCTCCGGAGCTCCGAGGCCTATGACAACTTCCTGCGATGTCTGCTCATCTTTAACCAGGAAGTGATTTCTCGTGCAGAGCTTGTGCAGCTAGTGCTACCGTTCCTGGGGTAAGCTTTAAGCAGCCATCACCTGCGACAAACAACCAGTTAAAAACTTTTCACAATTTATCAGCCAGACTACCGGTCAAGCATTCTTCTCTATTCGTAATATTGGCCTCCTATGCATAGATGGCCTTGCTACAGGTTGTTTGTTAACGGCATGTGAAAATAAAAGCTTTTTTCTTTGTAATTCATCCTGATATTTTGCCGCCCATCTAACACCCATTCTGGAATGTGATCCGCAGAAAATTCCCAGAACTGTTCTCCTGGTTCAAAAACTTCCTGGGCTACAGAGAGTCCAGCCACATTGAGAGCTTTCCCAAGGAGAGGACCACCGAGGGCATGGCCATGGAGATTGACTACGCTTCCTGTAAGAGGTTGGGATCCAGCTACAGGGCGCTACCCAAGAGCTACACACAGCCCAAATGTACAGGGAGGACCCCACTGTGTAAAGAGGTGAGAGCAGCAGTTATTGACAGTAAAATGTTACCCTTCAAAGTCAACCAAATTGACATAGAGGATCAATACAAATCTGAGGAATTACTGAAATACATGTTTGTGTACAGGAAAAGTAAAGAGCAATGAAAATACAATTTTAAGTCACTTTTGCATGCATCATCCAGCCAGTAAAGTCGATCACAGGGGTTTAATTAGTTAGTACTGAGATATTGAAGCGTGGTTGTTGTTCAAGTGCTCATCTTGGCAAGTGAATCAAGTCGAGCAGAGCTAACAGTATGGTCCGTTTCAGGTACTGAATGACACGTGGGTATCGTTCCCTTCGTGGTCGGAGGATTCTACCTTTGTCAGCTCCAAGAAGACCCAGTATGAAGAGCATATTTACAGATGCGAGGACGAGCGCTTTGAGGTGAGACTGTCCCCCCTCTCATGGTAGTTGTATTCTAATAGTACAAACCAAAATATGCCTGAAGTGATGTACTGCCATGTTCCATACTCTCCTTCCCCTTGCAGCTGGATGTGGTGCTGGAGACCAACCTGGCCACCATAAGAGCCCTGGAGGCGGTGCAGAGGAGGCTGTCGCGCATGACGGCCGAGGAGCAGGTCAAGTTCCGGCTGGACAACACCATGGGCGGCTGCTCCGAGGTCATCCACCGCAAGGCCATCCAGAGGATATACGGCGACAAGGCCGCTGACATCATCGACGGGCTGAAGAGGAACCCGTCGGTGTCCGTCCCCATAGTACTCAAGAGGTGTGATATGAAGAGGTTATATGATGGGGAAATAAATGTAAATTTGAGAAATGTAAAGCGGTCTAAGCAAACAGCTTCCAGAAAACATGTTGCTTTTCCCATGTAAACCACAGTGTGTGTTCTGAATGGCCTCGTTCCAGGTTAAAGATGAAAGAGGAAGAGTGGAGGGAAGCCCAGAGAGGATTCAACAAGATCTGGAGGGAGCAAAATGAGAAGTACTACCTGAAGTCCCTGGACCACCAAGGCATCAACTTCAAGCAGAATGACACCAAGGTGTTCCGCTCAAAGAACTTGCTCAATGAGATTGAGACCATATACGATGAGGTAAGAGGCAGTGGTGTGTGTGTATATATACACACCACTTACTTGATCTGATCTATGTGTTAACGTCTCCCAGTATTGATTTAAAGGCATAAAAAAAGAAACTCTAGCCTGTGGTTTTTTTTGCCTCCCTTTAGCGACAGGAGCAGGCTTCCGAGGACGCGGCCATCGTGCCTGGCGGGCCCCACATGACCCTGACCTACCAGGACAGCCAGATTCTGGAGGACGCCGCCGCGCTCATCATCCACCACGTCAAGAGGCAGGCCGGCATCCAGAAGGAGGACAAGTACAAGATCAAACAGGTCATCCACCACTTCATCCCGGACATGCTGTTCGCTCGGCGCGGGGAGCTGTCAGATGTGGAGGAAGAGGAAGACGATGAGGAGGAGGAGGAAGACGAAACCGGGCCAGATGAAGACGGGTCAAAGAAGCACAACGGATTGGCCGGCAGTGGCGGCTCCGCTAAGTCCAAGCTGCTCTACGGCAACACGGGGGCGCAGAAACTGCGTGGCCTAGACGACGCCTACAACCTCTACTACGTCAACAACAACTGGTACATCTTCCAGCGCCTGCACCAGATCCTCTGTTTGCGGTTGTTGCGCATTTACGGGCAGGCGGAGAGGCAGATCGAGGAGGACTGCAGGGAACGGGAGTGGGAGAGGGAGGTTCTGGGCGTCAAACGGGAAAAGAATGAGAATCCTGCCGTCCAGCTGAGACTGAAGGAGCCCAGTAAGTCCAGACATCCTTTGAAACCAAACTCCATTAAACTGTGTACCCACTGACCATTTTAAGGTTTAGATCAAAGGATCACCATTTGTTTTGCACCCTGTTGCATCCATTTTCTATGGAGCAAATGTACTTTACCTTCATCATGGAATTTATATCGGCAAAGCTCTTCCTCTGAAAAAGTCTGGTCGGTCACATTGTTTTTAACTTTCATAGCTGCTCAAAAATATGACATGCACATGCAAACATCTCCAGGAGCATGTGTTTTTTGATAATGTCAATGGTTCCAACACAGACCCTTGGGGTGCTCCAATTGCACATAGATTCCCTTCCTATACCACAACCAGGGGGAGATTTTCCCTCCAAATGTTTTCCTAATCACTTAAATAGGCTAACCGGGATCGATTTCGACAATGTTTTGCCAATGTATGGCTCATTCATGCACAGGATACCATCTGTAATCAAAGCCACACAATCCTTACATTTTAATGCTTCAAATATTTCATGCATGTGAGCTTTGATCGTCTCTTTCATAGTGAACGGGCACTTGTGAAGCAACACGGATTACCTGTAAATGCTTAGTTATTTTGATAACTGTGAGAATAAATCTAATACATCGGTCAAATCGATGCATCAGATCAGAAGTTACAATCTAATGACAAATGAGGGTGAGACATTCGTTACATAAATAACAATAAAAAACATTTTAAAACTAAAAATAGAAATTCCTTATAGCCCATAGTGTCATACTATGAGGTTGTTGCACACACTCTCTTCCTCTCATTTCAGTAGGTTATATTTTGCCATAATGATCTGATCACACTGTGCTACAAGGGATATACATTTAGTAGCCTACAAAAATCTTACCTGGGCCACGTTCAGTAGCCAAATGTTGCCGAAAAAAATGCCACGAATAGTCCGTTGCATCCTTATTCTAATCTAGGCTACGTGTCAGAAAAGGCATGTTTGTTCCACATAGATTATATGTATCTGAACGTTTCAAAACGTTGCATCTTGCTGAACGTGCCCCTGATGGACAATATTGATTGGCAGGTGGAATGATGTCCAATGAGGTTGCAAGGTAAAAGTGGGAGGCGGGATCAGGGCACCAGAACAATTAACTGATACACACGTAACGTACACAATTTTCCAGGATCCGTTTTGGCTCGTGAACACTGCTTTCAAAAACGACTTGCTGAAATTATACAAAACCTCTGTAATATCACTTTAAATCCTCGCATTTACCTTTTACAGTGGACATTGAAGTGGAGGACTACTACTCTGCCTTCCTGGAGATGGTGCGGAACCTCCTGGACGGCAACATGGAGCCGACCCAGTACGAGGACTCCCTCAGGGAGATGTTCACCATCCATGCCTACACTGCCTTCACCATGGACAAGCTCATCCAGAGCATTGTCAGACAGGTCAGTACAGTCTTTTCCCTCCGTTAGGTTCCAGACGGCGAGAAAAAAGCAAACCTTGAGGAACATCTAGGCACCTTAGCACCAAAATTGTCGATTGAAATCCGTTGAGGCCAATCTCTTTCAGGCGGGGGGGGGGGGCAGCAACAGAGCTAGATGTGGGCCCATCCTGCTTAAACAATGGTAACTTTGATGGCTGACTTAATGACTGTGTTCACACCTGGCGTTGTCTGTATCACCAGCTCCAGCACATTGTGAGTGATGAGCTCTGCGTGCGCGTGACAGACCTCTACCTGAGCCAGAGCACCAACAAGGCCACCGGCGGCGCTCTGTCCACCCAGGCCTCCAGAGCCACCGCCGAGGGGGCATACCAGCGCAAGGCGGAGCAGCTCATGTCCGACGAGAACTGCTTCAAGGTATAGCGTGTGTGGGTGGGGTGGATGACTGTCCCACCTGGGATGTTATGGTGTCTCAGCAAAATACTTTGAGTGCATTTGAACTTTCATGTGTACTCTCTCTCTCTGTCTAGCTCTCTGGCTTTCATTTTTATCTTCTTATGTCCCCTTTCTCTCATTATGGTACGTTCTCTCTGACCTTTGCTGTCTGTCTTGTTGGTTGTCTCCTGGTTTGACTGGTTTGTTTGTGGTCCAGCTGATGTTTGTGAAGAGCCAAGGCAGCGTGACCCTGACCCTGGAGCTGCTTGACACGGAGGAGGAGAACTCAGACGAACCCGCAGAGGTGTGTGTTAGTGTATATGGCGGGCCGGTGGTGACACCAGTCTAATGCATCGCCACATTACATTAGAACAGATTCAGATTAGTCAGATTCTTGTGTGGTGACGGTTGTTCCCTCCTGGTTCTTTAAACAGCGGTGGTCCGACTACGTGGGACGCTACCTGAACTCAGACTCTGCGTCTCCAGAGCTGCGTGAGCACCTGGCCCAAAAGCCTGTGTTCCTCCCCAGGTGAGGCCTCTGGCTGTGTCCCCCCCTGTCTGCACAGCTAAAAGCATCTACCCCCTAAAGGCTCGCTCTAAGACAGGCCATGGCACTGTTTCACAAGCCAAAACCAGCTGACAAAAACGGCTCATTTTGAGAAAAGTTCCAGGTCAGTGTTTTTTGCACAAACCAAACTTTCAGGGCTTTCTCCCCGTAGTCTCAAACTAAATGGGTCCCGAGTCTTATCCATGAAGCACTTGTTTCAAAAAGCTCTGCCAATAGTGATGAATACACACACCAGTTGAACTGTAAGTGCGCTAGGTCATTTTTGTGTTTGCTTTCCTCAGAAAGGTAGGCCTAAGTGCAACAAAATCAGATGTTTAGTAGAAATGCTGACAGTGCCTGTCTTGTTTTTGTTGGAGAAAATGTAATTGGCTGTCCACTCGAAAAGCAACTTGTTTCTCTCCCTTTCTGCCCCCCTGCCTTTATCTCACAAAGATTGCACTTTACCCTGCTGTCTTTTTAAATAGAGGGGACTAATTATTTATGCATTTATTCAGTCTCTTTTTTTTAAAACGGGGCCCTTTTTATTTATGAATATTGCAATTTTTAGATGATATTAGTAGGCTAGTATTTATTTCAACTTTCCCACTCAACAGACTAGTCATCAAATCATTGGGTAAAAAAAAAAAGCATTTAGTTTGCTTTTTTTATTATGAGAATAAGGCTACAATAGCAGTTTGATATAAACTGAAAGGAGGAAAAAAAAGCCAAGATCATGAGTTTACTTTTCACAGTGCTAATGTATCTAAGGGAAGGAAGTATTTCTATACCATCGCGCATATATTAGTGTTCTGTTGTACAATAATTTTCTCTGTTGGAGGATAACCATTTGGTTGAGCAGACATTCTATATGTACAGTGTCTTTAATTGCATTGTCACGATGGCCATTTTTTTGTTGTGGCATTGGTGAGAGGCTAAAGGCCCCTTTTGTCGGTCTAGAGAAAATGATTTATTTTTTATCAACCTTATCAGCTACCCTGTGTTTCCTGTAAAAACATTCTGTATGTGACTTCTTCTAATCCCTGTTTAGATACATGTAAATGTTGTACGAATTGAGATTTGGGGTGTTCAGCATACTCCTATTATAATGTGTAAAACTATTTAAGGATACAGTGCACTCCCGTTGCAATCTTTTTGTTGTGGGTGAGGTTTTTATACGAGTTGACCAAGACTAGTGCTAATAACTCATGAAAACCTGGTCAAGCACAGCATCTGCAACACTTGTACAAAAGAGAGGGGTTTGTGAATAAAATGGTCTGAATTGTATGCTCAAATGTTGGTGTATTTCTTTCCAGACGTCTCTGAGCATTGCATGGAAGGGTGGTTGGGTCCTCTATTAAGCCCTGAGATGAGTGTTGCACATCAAGCCTGTCTGTCTTTGGTTTTCAGTGCTTGTTGCCATTTCTCTAAATGGCTGTCCATAATGTATCATATACATTTCAATGGGCTGGAAGGACCTATGCAAAACAGGACAAAAAATTGGCCTCAGTTCCCCCCCTCACTTTTTTTTACCCATTGCATATATTTGGTACTTGTCTTGACTGGATATGATTTATCAGTGCTCTCACCCACATTTAGTCTGTTTCTCATATTAAGAATATGAGAGGTTCGTACAAAAGTCAATAGGCATGATTCTCTTATTTTCCACCCAAACAAGTACCTTCAACAGCAGTGGCAACCAGCAGGTTTTCTTTTCAGTTAAATGTTATCCTCATTGCATGGTCATAACTGCTCTGTACATTGTCAGTGGAAGTACTGTATGTGCACATCAAAGTATCTTTCAACCCATATCCTGGCTTGTTAACCCTTTTGGCGGCAATGTGAGAGAAAAAAAAAAAAAAAAGTGCCCTTTCTCCCATTCTATTGGAAATTGGCTACTCTAACGGCAATGTCTTTTAAGTGGCATTGACAAAATATGCTTCACGGTTTCAGTCCTCGCTCACCTCTACCCTGTGTGGTAAGTACACATTTAAACCTTTCATTAAAGCGGGGTGAATAATTGCATTTTTAATGCTTGCAAAATTAAATTTAAATCTGGATTCAATTTGATTGACCAAAATATTGTTTGCCAAGGATATTAAAGACTAACAAGAGAATCATCATATGAATGTCAAACGGAAGTGCACTGTACAGGAAGACTGCTGCTACTGCAATAGAGCTACCCTTCCCCTAATCATTTGTGTCCCAGTTCAACTCTTATTATTGGGTGAGTTGCTACGCGTGGGTTTATCAAGACAAGGCTTTACAGGGACGGCCCGCTCAAATTTCACACATTTTCTGATTTATTAGACTTGTTACAACTTGGAGTCAGAAATGGAAAACATTGGCCTAAATGACTGAGTATTTTGACCTCTAAATAGCATTAGCATTTGTCTGTTATTTTTGGGAACCATGTGTCCTGTCATTTAGCCATAAGTTAGACATTCTGTGCTCAACCAATGTTACAAATGGTATGGATGTAGTGCATTGCAGTCAAACTACTCTCGATTTGACCGAAATTTGCGTGAACTGTCCTTGTAAACTGAATTGCTATGTGGGTAGAGGGCACAAGTAAGCAAGGCGTCGTTACTGGCTCTGGTCTAATGCCAATCTTTCTCCTCTTCCAATCAGGAACCTCCGGCGGATACGTAAGTGCCAGAGAGGGTGGGAGCAGCTGCAGCAGGCGAAGGCGGCTACGGGGATATCGGAGAAGTCCCACAGCACTGAGGACCTGAAGATGGAGTGCATGTTCAAGCTCAACTCGTACAAGATGGTGTACGTCTTCAAGTCGGAGGACTACATGTACAGACGCACTGCGTTGACCCGGGCTCACCAGGTAGGCAACACCACCAACCAACGTTCCCTCAAAAGAAAATTGTCACTGAGCAAATTTCAGGTCTGCTGAGTGCAAACTTGAACGTTGTGAAAATTCTGTGCAACTTCCAGTGCACGTTTACTGTGAACACTGAGTAGGTGACTGTGGCTTTTTCATCAAAAACAATGGATAGAATGGATCCCATAACATTTTAACATGGAAATAGCTGTTCTATCATTCAGCCTTCAGTAGCAGCCAATGTGTGTTCAATGTAGGCCTACATTCCATGAGACTTTTGAAAAAAACATGCAGGGCTTGACATTAACCTGTTTATACAATTGTCCTTCAGACAAGTAGGTGACTGAAAACGTTGTTGTTTGATGCAAGAAACCACTTTACAAAATAAAATGCGTTATTATTCCCATACCATTATTACAGAGAATCAGACAAATTATGTTACCCTCTGCCTATTGGCTACTTAGCTTATTCAAGCCTGTCTCAAAATACAACACTGCCTCTTTAAGACCAAATAAAAAGTATTTACTTGACTGGCTTTTCAAAGATGTCTAGAAATGTACACGTTTTGTGCTCTTGTAGGAAGCAATCACTCCCCTATTGAAGACTACAAATGATGTGTAACTGGACTAATAACTCACTAACTAGCAAAGGGTATGAACAAAATGTGCACACCTGGCTACATGCAGGGAATACTCTAGAACGGTGGTCACCAACCTTTTCTGAGCCAAGATCACTTTCTGAGTCTAAATGCAAGCCGAGATCTACCGCTCAGATTTATTTTTAGCAGGACTTAAAAAACGTAAGCCTATGCAACATTAACCAATGAAAAACAGGACTGTAGCAATGAGGTTTGTCCAGTAAGCTATATCACCGCATATTGGCTTTGCTTGAATTGCCCTGCCAATGCATTGTTGTTCGGGCCATTTAAAAAATATATACATTTCAAAATTTGAGGTAGGCTATATGACCACACCGCTAATAGATGCGTTGTTGTATTACTTGTGAGGCACAGCTGAGTGAACATGCATTGAAATCATTTGCTTTTTATTGTACTGGGCTGATTGTGCCTGCATCTGATGGTCAGTCTCAGCGGAGGGAGAGAGCAGCAGACTGAGAGTCCACCTCAACATCCCTCCGCTCTCCCTTTCCTCCACTGCCTCTCAACATCCCTCTGCTCTCCCTTTCCTCCACTGCCTCTCAACATCCCTCTGCTCTCCCTTTCCTCCACTGCCTCTCAACATCCCTCTGCTCTCCCTTTCCTCCACTGCCTCTCAACATCCCTCTGCTCTCCCTTTCCTCCACTGCCTCTCAACATCCCTCTGCTCTCCCTTTCCTCCACTGCCTCTCAACATCCCTCTGCTCTCCCTTTCCTCCACTGACACTGACCAAAAAGGGACATCGTCTTCCAGCTGATGGCGAAACTCATAATGCGCACCGCATTATTTCTGTTCTCATGCACAAATTCATGTTGTTACTCCTATGAACAGAGAAAGTGAAATATTCCTCGACATTAAGAAAGACCCAAACTGGTAATAATAATAACACAAGCCTATAGATACACTTTCCTACTCATTCATTACTGCTGCAGTGCTTGTTGTAGCGCTGAGTGGAAATAGGAAGAACCCGCATTTTATGGCTGATAAAAGTGTTGAATACAAAGTGTAAGAACTTAAACATGAACTCACTCATAAAAGCAGCATCTCTTAGCTGTATTCGTTGACAGTCTCTCTCTAGTCATGGTTCTAAATGTTTTGAAATCTCACAGTATCAACTTTGCTGTAGCTTTATTTTATGCCTGCTACGTTACTGCAGACACGGTCATCTGAGCCATCCGATTGGCCAGCGGTAGGCCTATAGTGCACTTGATTTGCACTCCGGGCCCACCGGTAAGGCAGAGTTTGTACCTTCAGACACATGAAGCGGTTCAAAATGGCAACAGTTGGCTCGCAGGGCAGATGAATCGGGTGCCCCTACCGTGAACAGCCCGAGACCAATGAAATAAATGAGGAGCACAAGGCTTTATCGTTGTTTTTTTACAGAAATGTTTGGCGATCGACTAGGAATGCCTTGGAGATCCAACAGTCGATCGCCATCGACCGGTTGGTGACCACTGCTCTAGAAAGTTGAGTGAAGTTCAATCTCGTGCTTCTCTCTGTGGGTTGATATTTCTTCTGCACAGCAGTCCTGGGGGAGTTTAGAGGGGAACCTTGCCACCAACTGCTCAGACATTGTTTAAATGACATTCAATGATATTGTATTACCTCACTGACTTTACCACTTGATGATATGTAGGAAATTGTTGAAAAATCTGTAAAGATATAGGAATATGTAAAGATATCCAAATATGTAAAGATAGTGTTTTCCATTAGGTTACAGACTCATTTTCAGCCAGCAACTTTTTCCACTAGGCTACTTTTCATTTAAATGAACGATATGCATCTTCTAGCGATCTATTGGGGCTCCCGAGTGGCGCAGCGGTCTAAGGCACTGCATCTCAGTGCTAGAGGGGTCACTACAGACCCCCTGGTTTGATTCCAGGCTGTATCACAACCGGCCGTGATTGGGAGTCCCATAAGGCGGCGCACAATTGGCCCAGCGTCGTCCGGGTTTGGCCGGTGTAGGCCGTCATTGTAAATAAGAATTTGTTCTTAACTGACTTGCCTAGTTAAATAAAGGTAAAAAACATAAATTTATAGGATGTCAGTCTCAAAGCGAGCGTTGACAAGGAATCGCAGTCTGCTGTCTGTCTGGTACAATTTGTGTGCGCTGTGGTTGGTTGAAGTCAAATGTATTTACTCAGAGGAGGGACGGGAGAGCGCATGATGCTCGTGAATTGTGGTAACAATGAGTCGAAATCCACGACTTAGTCTCTAATTTGTTTTCTGGCACATTCATTTATTTAGTTTTGCGTGTTTCACATAGCCAGCCACGACTTGTGGTGTATAGTAGGATATTTACTGTGCATTGATTGACAACTGAACAGCAAGTGTTGACTACTTTATAAAAGGTGTCAAACTGACTGCTATATCCCTTTGCCATTAATAAATCATGCAACGTGGTTATATGTTCATGGCATCGCATCGGGACAAGAAAACCAAAGGGTTTCCTTTCCTAGGATGTCGGGGCTTGCCAGACAGTGACGCTAAAGTGAGTGGGTCTCGTCAGTCAGTGTAGCCTACCGAATCGCATCGGTGAGAGAGCCTTTCATTTGGCGCCCTAATTTTGGTAGGCTTTTTGGCTATTATCTGTAGATAAATGATGAAAACATTGGATGAGGATGGTGAATCATCACTGCAGGAACAGTAGGTAGTGGAGATCCTCATTCGGGTCTAAATATGATCATTAGGGCCCTCACGGAATCCAGGCATTAAAACGGAATTCAACAATATTCTAAAATGTATTAACCTTAGTAGGGAATCAACTACATGTATCAAATTAATTAATTACCCCAAGTTTATCATAAGACATGAACATAATGCATCATTGATTCGCATTTCCTGTAACTTTCTGAAGAGGCAAGGAGAATGCCCCTGTCTGTGTGTGTGCAGTCTACCACTTTGTGTAGCCGTTAGCGATTATGCTAATAAAAACAGTCTTCTGGTATATGGAAAGGCATACTCAAAAACCCACATTCTGAAATTGCATTTTTGTCCCGCCCAGTTTTATCATTGGAATGTGATACAAAACGAGGCAACAGTGTGCTTTAGGACCATGCGGACGCCTCTGAGCGGTCGGGTAGGCTGTTTGGAGTGTTTATCTGACAACAAAAAAAAAGTTATGTCCCCCCTCACTTCTAAAACTAAAGTTGCACCCCTGCTCTCAATTAAACGTTAACTACAAAGTAGCCTATGCTTACCTGGCAGAATGATATCATGATTATTTTTCATCTTTCCAGTGGGTATTTGTTTTGCAAACTCTACCATCACATGTGCGCTACAAAAACGCTGCTAAACAACTGGCTCTTGCTAGGTGCACACATGAATTAAGAGAAACATAATGGCCGCTTACTGACGTTTCAACCAACATAGTCTTGGTTAGAGTGCTGATATGATCTTGATGTGGGGTGTTCTGTGCAAAAAGCTTTCGCTACAGCTAACCCCGTTGTCCCCCTTTTCCCCAGTCCCACCAGAGAGTCCACACTCGCCTGCACCGCCGCTTCCAAGGCTTGGTGGACACCTGGGCCAAGGAACACGTGACCAGCGACATGGCCACTGATACGCGCAAGTGGCTGATGGGAGAGCGTCGCGAGGGTCTGTTGCCGTGCACCACCACCCGGGATCCCCAGGTCCTCCATTACCTGAACATCAACAGATACCACGTGAAGTATCATGGCACCTCGTCAGGGGCACCTTAGCTCAACCGGGTGAAGAGATGATGGGAGGGTATTACTTATCGTCATTTTACTAAATCAGCGTGGCAGCAAATTGCTGGATTCCGGAAACTTCCGGAGATTACTTCAGATTTGTTTTTATAAGGACTTTTAAAATGGACCCTCCCTATTTTTGCAGCACAAAAAAAGCCAAATTTCTTAGGTGGCCACCGGCCAGTTGTCCATCAGTCCCCTAAACCCCCACCCACCCAGACAGCCTGTCTTATGTCACCTTTGAATACAGCAGAAAAGATATGCTGCGACCGAATATGCTATGACTGCAAGAAAGGAAGCAAGACGTGTCATTGTAGTTAAACAGCTATTGATCCTTGGCTGGACCGATCCCCAGACTGAAGGATACTGTTGAGAGCCACGCAGAAAGAGCACGCCATACAGAATGAAGCAATATACACCCATTGAAGTGGTTGAGGTGCACCACACATCCCGGTGTACAGAACTGCTAAGGGGAACCACAGAAGTCTCTCACAACCACTGTGAGTAGGAAGATTAGCATACAGGTATGGACTATGAACATGTATTTCATCCAGGCCACAAGATGGGTTTTGGATTTTGTATAATTGTATAGCCTGTGAATGTTTCTTTTTTCAGTGGTACAGGAATGTATGCCGTGTGTCCACAAACATCTCTGGCAACCATGGTTTAGATATTGGGCAGATAAATGCTAATATAGCAGGTTTTTCCCAGTCAGTCAAGTATAGTAACATCAGACTACCCACATACTGCTGATTTGTAAATAGCTTGTTGATAGTCGTCCTTTTTGTCAGAGATGTGCATTGATGTGTACCCTAACAAACTTAGTATAGACCTCGGTCAAACGTTGCTGAAGAGAAATAGCCTATATTGAAAATGCTAAAAATTTTAACAACTGTTTTTACCAAAGGAACTTTATTAGAGCCTTTTTCCTTTGTGTTCTGTTTTTTTCGTGTTATGTCATGTAAGCCTTCATTTAGCAAAATATAACTTTTTCATTGTCTTAAAATGTGACAATTTTATACAAAATGTTTCAAGACAGTATTGTCTATCTGGTTTTTCACTCAAGTCATTGGCACCAGTTCCCATTCGGAATTTCTGAACAATGAATGTAGCCTAGAAACTATTTACGCTTTCCCTGTACATAATGTAAACGGTTTGTTTCCCCGACGACCAATTCTCCATTTAATATATCCATCAGAATTTCTGGATCAGTCATGAAATATGGAACAGCTAATCCCATAAATCCCATGTAATCTTATTGTGGTCATGATGATAGTTGCCATTTTGTAGCGGTCATGTTGTTGCGCGTTAAGATTCCCACTTGATCACAGTTTCCTCCTCCAGGGTTAAAATAGAGGGATCAGTCATGGCACCTCCACAGGACCAATCAGCCACATGCATCATCCCCATCTCAACTTTCTGCCAAATGTCACTTTAAAGATGACTCAGACTAAGACTCCTGAGTCCGTTTCTGATGCACAATCATGCTCCATTAAAACCAGTCCAGATGAGATGTAGTTCTGCCTCCTTTACAAGGTATTGATAATGTCTCAATATAAAAGAAAACGGTATTGGCCCCCAAACATAAACAGTACTGTTTTATAGTGGCATGTTGTACACTTTCAGAAGGTGAAGGTGTAGACACAAATACAATGATTTGTGAAATTGTATTATGATCCCCAAATCTGGTCCATGTCCATAATAAGATAAACATTGACAACCATATGAGTATATGTGAATGTATATCATTCAACCGCTACAGTTTTATCATCAACAACCAAGCAACAAGCACACTGCATTTGACAAGCTATTAGTTTATATTTTTTTCAAATACAGAAGATAAATGTTTGTTTTTTTTGTTGTTGAGAAATACTGTCCCCAGAAAAGTTGAGCCTCTAGTTTTTTAGGGTTGGTGGTAATACTTCACTTTTCCCATAGTGTTCCATCATCATTGTATACAGTGGGGGAAAAAAGTATTTAGTCAGCCACCAATTGTGCAAGTTCTCCCACTTAAAAAGATGAGAGAGGCCTGTAATTTTCATCATAGGTACACGTCAACTATGACAGACAAAATGAGATTTTTTTTAAATGAATTTATTTGCTAATTATGGTGGAAAATAAGTATTTGGTCAATAACAAATGTTTCTCAATGCTTTGTTATATACCCTTTGTTGGCAATGACACAGGTCAAATGTTTTCTGTAAGTCTTCACAAGGTTTTCACACACTGTTGCTGGTATTTTGGCCCATTCCTCCATGCAGATTTCCTCTAGAGCAGTGATGTTTTGGGGCTGTCGCTGGGCAACACAGACTTTCAACTCCCTCCAAAGATTTTCTATGGGGTTGAGATCTGGAGACTGGCTAGGCCACTCCAGGACCTTGAAATGCTTCTTACGAAGCCACTCCTTCGTTGCCCGGGCGGTGTGTTTGGGATCATTGTCATGCTGAAAGACCCAGCCACGTTTCATCTTCAATGCCCTTGCTGATGGAAGGAGGTTTTCACTCAAAATCTCACGATACATGGCCCCATTCATTCTTTCCTTTACACGGATCAGTCGTCCTGGTCCCTTTGCAGAAAAACTGCCCCAAAGGATGATGTTTCCACCCCCATGCTTCACAGTAGGTATGGTGTTCTTTGAATGCAACTCAGCATTCTTTGTCCTCCAAACACAACGAGTTGAGTTTTTACCAAAAAGTTCTATTTTGGTTTCATCTGACCATATGACATTCTCCCAATCCTCTTCTGGATCATCCAAATGCACTCTAGCAAACTTCAGACGGGCCTGGACATGTACTGGCTTAAGCAGGGGGACATGTCTGGCACTGCAGGATTTGAGTCCCTGGCGGCGTAGTGTGTTACTAATGGTAGGCTTTGTTACTTTGGTCCCAGCTCTCTGCAGGTCATTCACTAGGTCCCCCCGTGTGGTTCTGGGATTTTTGCTCACCGTTCTTGTGATCATTTTGACCCCACGGGGTGAGATCTTGCGTGGAGCCCCAGATCGAGGGAGATTATCAGTGGTCTTGTATGTCTTCCATTTCCTAATAATTGCTCCCCCAGTTGATTTCTTCAAACCAAGCTGCTTACCTATTGCAGATTCAGTCTTCCCAGCCTGGTGCAGGTCTACAATTTTGTTTCTGGTGTCCTTTGACAGCTCTTTGGTCTTGGCCATAGTGGAGTTTGGAGTGTGACTGTTTGAGGTTGTGGACAGGTGTCTTCTATACTGATAACAAGTTCAAACAGGTGCCATTAATACAGGTAAAGAGTGGAGGACAGAGGAGCCTCTTAAAGAAGAAGTTACAGGTCTGTGAGAGCCAGAAATCTTGCTTGTTTGTAGGTGACCAAATACTTATTTTCCACCATAATTTGCAAATAAATTCATAAAAAATCCTACAATGTGATTTTCTGGATTTTTTGTCTGGATTCTCTCTCAATTTGTCTGTCATAGTTGACGTGTACCTATGATGAAATTACAGGCCTCTCTCATCTTTTTAAGTGGGAGAACTTGCACAATTGGTGGCTGACCTAAATACTTGTTTTCCCCACTGTATGAATTTGAGTTTCATTTTGTCTAACCACATGTTGCACCACTCGGTACCTCTTCACCCCTGACCAGAACCTTCTCATCCGGTTCTGTTTCTGTCCAGCAAAGCCTGTAGATTCTGGATGTTACTTCTGATCTTACATGAGAAACTGGGCATTCCGATTTACATGAAAAGATTTAAACAACAAAGACACTTTGGATATGGACATCAACCAGAGCATGAATGATACTCCGATCCACCTGACTGACGTATCGCTCCTACACTACCAATGGAACCATCTCCTGGAATATATTGACGCAGCTACAGCAGGCAATACTTTGAGGGGAGTTGTAAGTCGTGGGAGTGTGTGTGAAGTTGAACTGCCACCAATTTATCTGGAAGGAGGACATTTTAACAACCCAAACAGGAAAAGTTTCCCCATCAACATTTGTCCCAACAAGGCTACTCTGTCAGTGCTGTAACCAGCTAAAGACAATCTTTGGACTGTTTCTATCTTTGGACTGATTTTCATTTTTCTATTTACTGTGTTGAACATGGAGTACAGGAGGACTACCGGGCAGCTGAATTGTACATACAAACTACAAAGACTACATTTGTAGTCCATTTTCTGTGTCCCTTTGTCACCTCTTCTTTGACTTCTATGATGTTGTGTAGTAATGGTGTTTGGCATTAAACTCTCATTTGAATAGACTGAAGCCTTGTCCGTAGTTTCCTTTTAATCCTCTAGGTGGCGTTCAAGTTGCTTGAACACGAGAAATATGGTCTGCATCTGTTTTGATTGGTCAAATCTGATGCCCGTTTCTGCATCCTGGCTGTGGCATTTCTGCATATTAAAGCGATAGGTCACCTAAACTTACAATTAAGTTTAATAATTTTCCTACCTGATGTTTGTCTTGATACAAGCAGATGTGTTTCTTTTAGACATTTCTTTGTCACCAGACAAATTATACAAATGTTGAAATAAATTATACGTATATTGTCTTGCTCTTTTATTGACAATACTGACAAAACACTGTAAATACAAAAAGGACGATGGATGATGAAAAACATTTGTTTTATTAAAGAGGCAGTTGGCGTGAGAAACAATGTTGTCTAGATACAATTGCGTGTTTGGTCTAGTTACATGAAGCATGGTAAATCTCTAATGTCTGTTTAATCCGATATATGATGCTATGTTAGGAAATATTGATCTGAAACTGCAGCTGTACCAAGGAGGGTGCAGCCCATTATGATGGTCCTGGTCGGTCCTGATGCTACGTTCTATTTAATTTCTCGTACGTAAATCCGTGTGCAAACCACGTCGTCTGCCCCAAAGGTCTGAAAAAGAAGGGAGAGGGAAAAACACTCCAATTATCTCAACACAAGTGTTTCTTGCTGTTGTAGATCAGTGTTTGAACCTTCAGATAAGAACACAGGACGATTTTATGTTCATCTCAAATACGACAACTGGTGTCAGAAGTGGGATAAAAAATAAAATGTTATTGTTCAAACTCTCATTGTGACAGAATGGAAGACTGCATTAGCACACAACTGGCTGAGATTTCCTGTCCAAAGACTTTAGTCATTTTGGCACGTGGCAGCTGCTACAGTATTAGTGAATGAATGGGGGAAATGATAGAGCTGTGTGGGTGGCGGAGGCGCATCGAGCCCCAACGATTTATGGTACTTTCAGAGGTGCAGCAAGACTGCAACCGAACTTGTGTCAGCACCACAGATCATCATTACCCCAGCAGCCAGGGAGGGAGGGAGGAAAGTAAGTATCATTCGGGTTTAAAGAATGGCGTTAAGATGGGGCCATCTGCCGTGTGCAGCGAGTGTCCAGGGAGACATTAACGTGTGATGCGTCAGGGACCATTGGCATTTTCCAACACAACATGATCAATGAGGCACATTATTGCGAGCAGGAGCAGGCAGACAGCCAGTAGCATTTAACCCCCCTCCACACACACCTCTCTGGCGGTAAAGGCCTGCACTGGAGAAGGAAAAGCCCCCCTCTTACCTAGGGGATACTCTTCAGTACAACAGCAGGGTAGATAAGAGTTCAGTGTGTCAGTCAGGAACACATGCAGTATCAGAATAACTGAAGGCACATTCCCTGCTGCCCGTCCTATTAAACTAAACTAGCCCCCCGAGATTTCGCCAAGCTAATGAACCCATCCTGGACTCCATCCGTCTTACATCACTGGATACAGTAAAGCCAGAACATACGGTCTTCATTACTTTCTTTCCCCCAACAACCCTCTCCTCCCCTCCATCCCTCCAACCCTCTCCTCCCCTCCATCCCTCCAACCCTCTCCTTCCCTCCATCCCTCCAACCCTCTCCTCCCCTCCATCCCTCCAACCCTCTCCTCCCCTCCATCCCTCCAACCCTCTCCTCCCCTCCATCCCTCCAACCCTCTCCTCCCCTCCATCCCTCCAACCCTCTCCTCCCCTCCATCCCTCCAACCCTCTCCTCCCCTCCATCCCTCCAACCCTCTCCTCCCCTCCATCCCTCCTTCCTTCCCCCCTCCTTGAAAGCTTCATTTCTTCATCTGCTCATAGATGCTTTGACATGAGCCACCTCATTTCCGTTTTACTGGCCAGGTCCAGATTCCTTTGACACCGGAAGGAGAGCAGGCTTGTTTTAGTGGAGGATGAGGTGCTGCCCATTAGCTCCCTGGAGTTAATAAACAAATTGTTCACGGGTGACGTAGTCTGAAATGTAGATCCGTTGATGATGGAAAAAAACTCTAACTTAGCCTGTGAGTACAACATTCTGGAGGTATGTGGGGGATCAACCTTTCAAGAGGTTTGTGTTTCGATTTGTGGGACCTGGGAAGAAGTGTATCGTGGCACCTTGTTTGTCATCAATAGGTTTTGCCGCATCTGGATGGGCAGATGCAGTGCATTGGTGGCTTTCTCCATATTGCGGTAATTCAATAAGAAAAAGTCATGGTTCCCACCTTTGAGACCCTACCAAGTTGAGCATTTGTTGACAACACCACGCCATAGCGAAAAGTATTTTCCTCCACATTAAAAACACAAGATGACGTGTGCCTAGCGGGAAATATGTTTCACTTTTTTAAAAAACACACGTGTCTCACTGACCTCTCCCTCTTTACCAATATTGGCCCAAAATCTGAGCCAACCTCATGATCCCATCTTTAAACAATCAGACAGTTGTCCAACAACAGCCTCACAGACCTATCATATGGCTTATCGGTTCAATATGCACAGAACTACACACCCTTGAGTTGAAACACACACATTTCATGTTTGCTCAAAGCATCTCCTGTTGCAAAGTCCAAGCATGCTATCCAGAAAGGAGTCCCTTACTTAGAGGTTTTCCCCTTGATTTCCCTCTGGGCTTTGTAAGAGTCAATAAAGAGGTTATCCTCATCACTTATAAACTGGAATCTAAGGTTATTGGCGCCATTTATTGTTGTCAATCTGGTCTATAAAATTAAAACAGGCCAGAAGTTTACAGAAAGCACATTTTTCTTTTTAATATGAAAGTCAGTGTCGTGAAGTCATCAAGAAGTGTTTTGGACGGATGTAAGGACCTTGTGTGTGAGGAGCTTAACAACAAACGTATGTTTGTGCAGTATAATATCAGCCAGTAGCAATACATCACAGAGAAAGCTTTGAAATCCCTTAGGAACCCTTTCAGAGGTGTTCATAACAGTGACAATAGTTTCTGAGTTGGGCTGTGCAGAGCTAAATTCATCATATGGAGTGCTCTGGTGGAAAAGCTTATCTTAGCTTTGACATCAAGCGTCTATTTGAATTTACAGTATAATCTCTTGGGGCATAGTATGAGTTGCAGGCCTACTCTCTTTTGGGTTCAGAATGAAGTGTTATCACTAACGGTGTGGGGTACCAGTGCACCAAGTCTGGAATCAACAGGACGCCGCTTCTACCCCCAAGCCAATAGACTGCTAAATAGCCAATCGAATGGCTACCCAGACTACCTGCATTGACGCATTTTTTATGTTTTGCACCAACTCTCTTGCACTGACTCTATGCACACACACTGGACTCTATCACACACTCACACATCCTTACACTGACACCCCAACACACACATACACACACACACTTTCACACTCACCACATACAGTGAGGGAAAAAAGTATTTGATCCCCTGCTGATTTTGTACGTTTGCCCACTGACAAAGACATGATTAGTCTATAATTTTAATGGTAGGTTTATTTGAACAGTGAGAGACAGAATAACAACAACAAAAATCCAGAAAAACGCATGTCAAAAATTTTATGAATTGATTTGCATTTTAATGATGGAAATAAGTATTTGACCCCTCTGCAAAACACGACTTAGTACTTGGTGGCAAAACCCTTGTTGGCAATCACAGAGGTCAGACATTTCTTGTAGTTGGCCACCAGGTTTGCACACATCTCAGGAGGGATTTTGTCCCACTCCTCTTCGCAGATCTCCAAGTCATTAAGGTTTCGAGCCTAACGTTTGGCAACTCGAACCTTCAGCTCCCTCCACAGATTTTCTATGGGATTAAGGTCTGGAGACTGGCTAGGCCACTTCAGGACCTTAATGTGCTTCTTCTTGAGCCACTCCTTTGTTGCCTTGGCCGTGTGTTTTGGGTCATTGTCATGCTGGAATACCCATCCACGACCCATTTTCAATGCCCTGAGGGAAGGAGGTTCTCACCCAAGATTTGACGGTACATGGCCCTGTCTATCGTCCCTTTGATGCGGTGAAGTTGTCCTGTCCCCTTAGCAGAAAAACACCCCCAAAGCATAATGTTTCCACCTCCATGTTTGACAGTGGGGATGGTGTTCTCGGGGTCATAGGCAGCATTCCTCCTCCTCCAAACACGGCGAGTTGAGTTGATGCCAAAGAGCTCGATTTTAGTCTCATCTGACCACAACACTTTCACCCAGTTCTCCTCTGAATCATTCAGATGTTCATTGGCAAACTTCAGACGGGCCTGTATATGTGCTTTCTTGAGCAGGGGGATCTTGTGGGCGCTGCAGGATTTCAGTCCTTCACGGCGTAGTGTGTTACCAATTGTTTTCTTGGTGACTATGGTCCCAGCTGCCTTGAGATCATTGACAAGATCCTCCCGTGTAGTTCTGGGCTGATTCCTCACCGTTCTCATGATCATTGCAACTCCACGAGGTGAGATCTTGCATGGAGCCCCAGGCCGAGGGAGATTGACAGTTCTTTTGTGTTTCTTCCATTTGCGAATAATCGCACCAACTGTTGTCACCTTCTCACCAAGCTGCTTGGCGATGGTCTTGTAGTCCATTCCAGCCTTGTGTAGGTCTACAATCTTGTCCCTGACATCCTTGGAGAGCTCTTTGGTCTTGGCCATGGTGGAGAGTTTGGAATCTGATTGATTGATTGCTTCTGTGGACAGGTGTCTTTTATACAGGTAACAAACTGAGATTAGGAGCACTCCCTTTAAGAGTGTGCTCCTAATCTCAGCTCGTTACCTGTATAAAAGACACCTGGGAGCCAGAAATCTTTCTGATTGAGAGGGGGTCAAATACTTATTTCCCTCATTAAAATGCAAATCAATTTATAACATTTTTGACATGCATTTTTCTGGATTTTGTTGTTGTTATTCTGTCTCTCACTGTTCAAATAAACCTACCATTAAAATCTACACCTGTTTTACGAAGCATGTGACAAATAATATTTGATCTGTATACATTCTAACATGAACGTCATAAAACTAATTTGATAGACAAATGTGAGATCTTTGAATGAATTCTTTGTGAAAGGAACAATCTATATTTTCAGTATACAAATAGATGAAACTGAGGGGGGCCTGACATGACAGCCTTGCCTACTACCTTTCTCTAGTCCCAAACTGAGGGGGGCCTGACATGACAGCCTTGCCTACTACCTTTCTCTAGTCCCAAACGTGTTGGTATTGATCCTCACCAGTATGAGTTCATCTCCCCTCAGCTCTCTGGTCCAGAAGGTTCTTGGGCCGTTGCCATCCAGGAGAGTCTGCCTGCAGTACATTTTGCTCTCAGTCTCCCATGTGACCAGGCTCTGTTGATAGGATGCAAATGAAGAGGGTCCATGTCAATACAGCCATGTACTTTCCTGTCCTGGCCATCTTTACCTTTACATTGTATAGGGGCAGACTACCTTTACATTGTATGTGGGCAGAACACCTTTACATTGTATGGGGGCAGACTACCTTTACATTGTATAGGGGCAAAGACTACCTTTACATTGTATGGGGGCAGAGACTACCTTTACATTGTATAGGGGCAGACTACCTTTACATGGTATGGGGGAAGAGACTACCTTTACATTGTATAGGGGCAGATTACCTTTACATGGTATGGGGGCAGAGACTACCTTTACATTGTATGGGGGCAGAGACTACCTTTACATTGTATGGGGGCAGAGACTATGTTTACATTGTATGGGGGCAGAGACTACCTTTACATTGTATAGGGGCAGACTACCTTTACATGGTATGGGGGCAGAGACTACCTTTACATTGTATGGGGGCAGAGACTACCTTTACATTGTATGGGGGCAGAGACTATGTTTACATTGTATGGGGGCAGAGACTACCTTTACATTGTATAGGGGCAGACTACCTTTACATGGTATGGGGGCAGAGACTACCTTTACATTGTATAGGGGCAGAGACTACCTTTACATTGTATGGGGGCAGAGACTATGTTTACATTGTATGGGGGCAGACCACCTTTACATAGTATAGGGGCAGAGACTACCTTTACATTGTATGAGGGTAGACTACCTTTACATTGTATAGGGGCAAAGACTACCTTTACATTGTATAAGGGTAGAGACATTACCTTTACATTGTATAGGGGCAGAGACTACCTTTACATTGTATAAGGGCAGACACTCCCTTTACATTGTATTGGGGCAGAGACACTCCCTTTACATTGTATTGGGGCAGACTCAGAGACTTTACCTTGCACTTCCTGCCATCTACTGTCTCCTCGTTGAACTCCTGGCCAATGAGGAAGTTGATCTCGGTGGTGCGCACGGTGGTGGAGGTCTTGATGTAGAACTGCTCATCATTCTGCCTGATCTCCACGTGAGGTTTGGACGCCGCGGCGCCAGCGACCTTCCTCAACATAGCATTGACGCCTGTGGGCAAATAACACCTGTCATTACGCTTACTTTAACGGTCATAAGCGCTGCATAACCAATTGCATGTCAGAATGTGTCATTGATCAGTTTTAACTTTGTCAGGTTACAGCAACTGACTGGACACAACCATGACACGCCACTGGGTTGAACCCATGGTGACAATACGGCTTCACAGGGCTACCGTTTGACTTTTACTGACATCTGGTATGTCATGTTAGCAGATTTCATAAGATCCTCATCTCCCATTTCTTTAATTCAAGGATGAGTACAGTTACATTTCTGTCTCCTCCTGGCGCCATTAATAGGAGAAGGAAAACAATCATGAATTCCACTTGCAAAGGTGTATGTGGTGCTTATTTACAAGAGGAATGAATAGTGGCAGTGTTACCTATTTGTGGCAAAGTCATGGTAGACTGGAAGTTATTGGAGTGAGAGAAGATATCAGTGATGCGCTGTAGTATTCAGGTTTTTATATACAGAGTTCTCAAGGCAAGCAACCGCAAATGAGATGGTTATCAGCAGATGTTGCAAATATGGGGGGGACGCTATGACAAGGTGATGAAAACAAGGAATGCTGGAGTCATTAGCTTTGTTTAGCTCTCCTGCAGACTGATGGATTCCTCCGAGAAAAAAAATTGTGGAGCTAGTTGGCTCTTCTGTCCCAGTGTTACAGTACAAACAGTTGGATGAGAAAATGTCTGGCTGTTTCCATTAATTCCCAACATGCATATGTTTTCCGAGCTGCTCTCTCTCTCTTTCTCAAATACTGTATCCTTCAGTACTATGAGTCTTATTGCTCTCATTTAAATTACAATCTGTGTACTTGCGTTTCCCAGAGGAGAGGTCAATCATTCCTCCTTTTTCCTCCTCTCATCTCTTTGTTCCACGATGAAAAAACAAAACAATGGCAACAAAAGCCAAAGTTCTGTCCAAGCCAATATCTAGACCTCAGATTAAGTGAGATCTCAGTGCAGTCACAGGAGACGTATTTGAGAAAACAAACACAGTGAATTGTCTCATCTGTTCCACAGCAGCTGGGCTCAACTGTGCAGCATTGGGCTGATCCACCCACACTGCTTTCACTGGAAATAGGACTATTCTAAGGCAGGAAGCTACACGCAAGATCAAGCTTACATGCAATAAGTGATTTGTAATATGTATTACATGTGCACCTGGTGTACATTTTCTATTATGTTTTATACATGCCCAACTCCATTTTTTTGTATATGTTTTTGAAAACTGATGTGAAAATGACTTTCGGGAATATCAACCCACGACAACATAAAATGCAGCTCAAATGAACAAGGTACATGGCAAAAATACATGATGGAATTATCCTAAAACTGAGGATATATGCAAAACTCAAAGATGATCAAGATGTGTCACACCCTGTGGCCTTTCCCAATAATTGTTTTCTCAAATATTTCCCCAAATAATAGATCACAGATCAAAATAATGATGGGTTTGGTGGTGAGACACAATAGGGAAACAACAGTTAGGATTTTGAAGTATTTATTCTATCAAATAGCTCTTAATGATAGCAGGTAAGAACTATAGATGTCTTACCAAGGGCTTTGAGTAGTTCGTCAAAATTCTCACTGCTTCTCATTTTCCAAGTGCCTGCGAAATTGGTCATTTTCTTGGGAAGGCTCGGCGTGTACCGGTCTCTCTCTGCCTCTTGATATGCTCTGTCTCCTCTGTTTCTCCTCAGTTCCCTGTCCCACTATCCCTCCCCTACACTCTCCCTTTCACCCTCCCTCCTTTTCTCTCGCTCTCTGTAATAACCCCTCACAGCATGCTCCGCTCTCTCTCTCAAGTCCTGAAAGAGAGTCAGTGAAATGTCCTCCTCTTAATGACCATTGTAAATGACAGATGGACAGGGGTTCAGGTGGTCCAGTTTCAAGCCTGCAAAATAAATAGGACAAATAGGGCATTTAAATGGAACAACTCCATAGAAGAGAACCATGGATGTCACCATCACAGCAATATAATAATGTGTTGAATGCAATTATGGTTTCCAATATAAACCAATATTGTAGTTGTGATAAGATCTAAGATCTTTCTTCGATAAAAGATGGGAGTCAATGTCCATCTAAAGATGGGATTCCTAGGGAACCGTCTCTTTGAGGGTGGATATAGACGTTCATCCCATTGACAAGCCCTCTCTCTCCCTGGCTACAGCTAAGGATCAGACTAAACATGCATTCAATTCATCCCAAGCAAGAAACTCACTGAAACAGCCCCCCAACACAGAATGAGAGGCCCCGATAGCTTCACTCACACCCCCTCCCATCACGTCTGATTTGTTCTCTTTCTGATGGCTCTTCATCAATCTCTTTGACAAAGTGGCTTCCAGACAGCGGTGGATAATTAATGTATAGAGCAGAGCAGGGAGCACTCTGTCATCCCTCCAGGAAGTGTCGCGTTAAAAAGGCTCCCATCTAGTTCCCTATGCATGCTCGTCCACCACAGTTTGTCTCATCAATCAATAGATTTGTCTTTAGTCTTTGGGTGGTGTTTTTCTTTGAACACACAGAGAGCGGTAGGGGAAAGAAAAACAGAGATGGTTTGATTTTGTGTTAAGCGTTGAATGAATGATCCTTTCACGAGGTTCGTGATGCAGCTTTGTTTTAGTTTTTTTAGTGAGTGAACTTATTTCATTTTTACTATCATGCTGTGAGGGGGAAAATACACATTAAAGGGATAGTTAACTGATTTTCCATTCTTTGATAAACATTTTCTAACTTTGAAAGTACTCTGCTGGTCGTGACGAGACAATCCATAGACATTTGAATGACAAAATATATTTTTTAAATGTATGGGTGACAGTTTAGTCAAGATGTTCATCCCCTCTGAAATCTGTATCACTTTCATTTCTGCCTCACTGTTACAGATACGCTAGCCATGTTGCACACTTTGGACTATGAAGTAGTTAACCACACTCTTAAAAAAAGAAAAAAGGTTAAGAACCCAAAAGGGTTATATCACTTGCTTCACCTTTAGGGGCGCAATAGAACCCTTTTTGGTTCTATATAGAACCTTTTTTTCCTAAGACTGTATATTGGATTTAAACGAAATGGACCCTATCCATCTCACCGACCAACTAGCAACAAAGATACATGACCTTGTGTGTCAGAACGTCACCTCCAAATAGACATGCTAAGGCCCCCCAGTCATAAGAACATCTAGGATACATTAGCCATTCAGAGCAGTGAATCGCATTGTCCTCTCCCAAAATGTCTGCTAGCCCAACGTGGACCCTTTCAAAACCCTGGGGCTTTTTCTACGGACTCCTAAAGGACTATCTTAAAGACCCCCTCCATCATTCTCTTAATGGTAATTTCTCATGCGTAACCTTAGTCATGGCAGAACAACGCAAGGTGAGTGGCATCCAATCGGGATGTTGTAATTACCCAAGTTAGTGAAACACTGCCACATAAAACCATCAGAGAAACTTGGCTCGTATTCATTAATGCAAGTAGTCTCTCCATATTTCTGTCCTTTTTCCTTCCATTTGGTTTCAAGTGAATGTCCATTATGTTGGAGCCATGTGATGTGACCATAGCTGATGTTTTAAACGAGCCACTCGGCTGTCACTGTGTAGACAACAGAACACACTTTGTTAAACAGCAAGCCTGTGTGCTGCCTGGATTCCTTTTTTATTGTTTTTCTGATAAAGTTGGATATTAACATTCCAGGCAGTAGCCTATATATTTTGAATGTGCTTGCTTATTGCCTTCTTTGAAGTCCGATGACAGTCCCTACTCACCCTAGGGGGGTATGGATTTACAAAACAAGCCTCTAAAGAGGGTAGCCTTATTGCCCATATGAAGTGCCCTTTCCAATACATTTTTTATTTTTTTTGTCATTTAGCAGACGCTCTTATCCAGAGCGACTTACATGAGCAATTAGGGTTAAGTGCCTTGCTCAAGGGCACATCGACAGATTTTTCACCTAGTCGGCTCGGGGATTAGAACCAGTGACCTTTCGATTACTGGCACAACGCTCTTAACCACCTGCCGTCCAATACATGACAGAGTATTTGAGACAGAAATACTAATGTACATTTGACATTTTAGTCATTTAGCAGACGCTCTTATCCAGAGCGACTTACAGTTAGTGAGTGCATAAATTTTTTCATACTGGCCCCCGTGGGAATCGAACCCACAACCCTGGCGTTGCAAGCGCCATGCTCTACCAACTGAGCTACAGGAGGCCTACAATGTACATAAATTAACCTAGAAGGCAAGATCTAAACTACATTGAACAAAAATATAAACGCAACATGTAAAGTGTTGGTCCAATGTTTCATGAGCTGAAATAAAATATGCCAGAAATGTTTCATACACACAAAAAGTGTATTTCTTTAAAATGTTGTGCACAAATTTCTTTACATCCCTGTTACAGAGCATTTCTCCTTTGCCAAGATAATCAATCCACCTGACAGGTGTGTCATATCAAGAAGCTGATTAAACAGCATGATCATTACAATAAAAGGCCACTCTAAAATGTGCCGTTTTGTCACACAACACAATGCCACAGATGTCTCTAGTTTTGAGCGAGCGCGCAATTGGCATGCTGACTGCAGGAATGTCCACCAGAGCTGTTGCCAGATAATTTAATGTTAATTTCTCTACCATAAGCCTCCAACATCGTTTTAGAGAATTTGGCAGTATGTCCAATTGGCCTCCATAGATTAGGGCCTTATGAATTTATTTCAATTGATTTATTTCCTTATATGAACTGTAACTCAGTAAATTCTTTGAAATTGTTGAGTTTATATTTTTCTTCAGTATAGTTTGAACCTTTGCTTTGCTATTGTCCAGAGAAATATGAATGTGAAAATCTTTTTTCAATAAATAACATCAGAACATTTTCTTTTAAGACAATAATATTGAGAAATTCAAAGAAATGTACATTGTGCAACTACACGTTTGAGCTGGAAGTGATGAAGTTAATACACAGATTACACTCAGAGGTTTACTACCACAATACACAAAGTGACATGCCTTGTCTTGTTCTCTGCCTGGAGTCCTCATCTCACATCACTTCCTTTAAAGAGCAGTTTACTGCTGGTCCAGCACACTAAAAACAAATCCCTCCCAAAGTACCAGCCCTGAAACCATCAAAAAATTAATTTACTGAATATTTTAAAACTACAACAGTTAGCATTTCACAATTGGCCAACAACCTTGATTGTTCAGTACAATATTAGTTGAATATTGCTAATATTGTCACAGTAGCAATGCTAAATACCAGGGTTCAAACTATTGAATACTGGAGTTGAGGTGAAGACATTAATTGGAAACAATGTGCTTTAACAGTATCATTTACAGCATCACGTCTTTTTTTATTCACAATAAGATGGCTGCCCTAAACACAGCACAGTTACATGTACTACTAATATAATCATTTTATCATTTAAATCTACCCTCCATAGCCTGGATTTCTGTTAAATAGTGTGACTCTACCAACTTCTTTATTTTGTACTCGGAGTAACCTTGTCCGACCCCAGGCTCAATTGCTAGAGAGCTGGCTGGGTGGACGAGATTAGGTTGGGAGGACTAAAGGGGAGGGTCTTCGCAAGTGCAAAGTCAAAGAAGAGGAACATGTGCCCTAATTGGTTGTTTTGTCATGTGTGTTTGAGCTGAAATTGTGTATGCAATTTGCTGTTGCTACCTCCTAGGACTAAACCTGATAAAGGCTAGAGGGCAGCTTTAAACAGATTTAAGTTGATCTATCCTATTACTAAGACAGTAGAAATACATTAGGAGTGATGGATCAGTTCAGTGTTTATGCCTGTTGAAAAACAAATGACAACAAATCCCTGAAGGAACCAACTAGTGCTGAGCGATTAGTGCTTTTTGAGGTCGGTTCGGTTTGATAATAAAAAAATCTACGCATTATGTGGGTTGAATGCTTTAACACAGAATAAAACAATTAAAAGTCCCATGATGGTAGTGACTGCCCATTACTGCTTATCACTTATTAACCATCATTTATTCACATTCCTTTAATGAAATATTTCAGTTGTTGTGTATATTTCATTTGTTTTATTTGATGACTTTATTATTTCATTCCAAGTCATCTCATCTCTATAGAGCTGCTGCCTATGCTGTCTGACTAAATCACTATTTCAGTAGTTCTTCAAAGTAAATAAGGCATACTTTTATGACTGCTGAATACCAACTATAAATCTTAGATGATTTATTTTCAGGTAGATGCCTCACTAAGCAACTGCTTTCTATTCCTCCCAATCACGTTCTTCTGTCTCTTCTCTCCCTCTCACACCGGACAAGTAGGCGCGCAATGGATTATGGTCACTGTAGTTAATTACCATGTTTTCTGCGCTAAACTATGTAGAATATTGGCCTGTTGGATACTGCAAAAATCGCACAGTTTGGGCTTGATCTGATTTATCTCTAGAGAAACTGCATATAGCACTCAGACAAAAACGAACAAAATGGAATTCAAATAATTGAACAGACATCGATCAATTAGTTGTTTAAAAAACGAAAAATAACCGACATTTCGGTTAATCGCTCGGCACTAGAACCAACATGAGGGTGTACCAGTCACAAATTACACATTCTAATGACATCAAATCTCAAACTACTGTTCCTTCATTCACTCACAACGTAAGATAAAAATCCCCACCAATTCACACTAAAAGGCAACAGTAGTTTAAAAGGCAAACAAAATAATTAGGACAAGGAAGCCATTAAGGAATAGGAGCAGGCAGATCTTATCGGCCCAGTTCCATTTCAGTCCCTGGGCCAATATTGTGCTCTATTGCTATCACCTATGCAGTGGTGAGGTCAGGGGAGGTCAAGAGGCCGAATTGGAACCAGGGCCGCAGCAACCATGTCCAATCCCAAATCAATCCGTGTCCCTTACCCCCTATGATTGTATATATAATGCGGTGAAAATTCAAGTGGGAAATGTGTAGCTATTACCATATTGTTAACACCTATCCCCTAATCCCCTCACCAGGGCATAGAGGGTATGGGTTAGGGGTCGGTTTGGGATTGGGTGCTAATGTCCTCTACCAGTGTCTAGAGTCGACCAGCTCCGGTCGCAAGCTCACTCTCTTGAGGGTTTCGTAGCCCACGACCATAACAATGGCGGTGGGAATGGAGGATATGATGCGTGCAGACAGCCCTTTGGTCATCCCCCAGAATCCCTCCTCTGCCAGCAGGTGTTTGAACGTCTCGATGACGGAGGTCCTGCCTTCAACCTGTCACACACATACAAGGCTGTTGTTACAAAGGTATTTATCCATGTACATTTTTTTTTTGTAAAATTCTATTTTCTATTCCAGGATTTAGACCCTGGGTAGGCAATTCTGGTCGTGGAGTGCAACAGACACTGAAGGATTTTATTGAATCAAAAAAATATATAATGTGCCTGTGGCACTCCAAGACCAGGGTTGCCTATCCCTGATTATACACTGTGCCAGTGTGCCACTAAAATCTATTAGAGAAAACAGTGGACCCAATGATGGCCACACGTGGCTATCCAAACAGACCCTTTACATTCCACCAGTACATTTAGCTGAAGTTGCACTCTACCTGCACTCTAGCTCTGACCACATCCATGGGGTTGGTGACAGTGGATGCAGTCGCAGCAGCTAGTGGTCCGGCCATGGCTTGGAGTAGTAGATGAGGGCAGTCACTGGGCGCCATTTTGGATAGCTGTTCTGTGAAACGTTGTGGAAGATTTGTGCTTTGAAATGCTCCTTATAGACAATGTATGTTGACTATATGGACTGTATATGGACTATAATTATTATAAGAGATGATTAATCTCCAACCCTTCTTGAAGAAAATAGTAATAATAACATTAAGGACAGGTTTCCCGGATTAAGCCTCCTCCAGGACTCAAAGCATGCTCAATGAAGTGCTTTTGTCCAGGACTAGGCTTAATCTGTGTCCGGGAAACCGGTCCTGGGATAAATATCCTTGTAAACAAACACTCCTTTATACCTGCGTAAAAGTGATAAAAAGGCCACCAGACCGCACTATTTGGGATGTATGTTAGAAGGGAGGCCACATATCCCCTGTAGAAGCCTCGGAAGCCGTCGGCCGCAAAGATCTGAGCAATCATGTTCCTGGTTTGGCCAAACGCCATTTTGGTCTTCCCGTCGGCCTCCGTTTTCAGCTTGACCCGGAAGCGAGTCAGGTGCTTCCCTTGGCCCTGCATCATCAGCTGTTGGGAAATCACGTCTATGGGGACAGTGATGGTTTGGGCGACCAGGGACGCCGTGCCACCCGCCACCAGAGACTTGACGGTATTGTCCTTGGAATAGTTGGAGACATATTTCCTCACCAGCTCGTAGGTGGTGATGTAAGCCTGGCCCGATATGAGGGTGAAGGTGTTGACCATGAAGCCACGGTAGAGGCCCCGCACGCCCTCGGTCCGCAGGATCTTGAAGAAGGCATCGAAGGTCCCGTTGTAGAGCGACTTGCCCTTCTGCACTTGCAGTCTGGTGCGGATGAGGGTGGCCGGATAGACGGTGGCCCGGATGGTCATGGTCATGAATACCCCGAAGGAGTAGAACTTCCTCTTGTCCAGGTCCTCCCATTCAATGATCTGGATGTTCCTCTTCTGTTGCATTCTACCTCTCTGGAGAGCCCCCTCATCAGACTAGCCTCTACCTGGGGAAATACAGACCACACAACACTGTCAAAGGTTTTCTTCCACAAGGTTGCACAACATTGGAAGTCTTGAATGTACTCCAATTTGTCAACCGTTTCTCCACAACGTAGTACAACATCAAATGTTATTTGTCACATATGCGTGTTTAGTAGATGTTATTGCGGGTGTAGCGAAATGCTTGTGCTTCTAGCTCCGACAGAGCAGTAATATCTAACAAGTAATATCTAACAATTTCACAACATTTACCCAATACATATACCCAATAATTTCACAACATATACCCAATACATTTTATATATTGAATGTGCATCGACTTGTAATGAATTCTAGATGGCACTAGTCCCCTGTAGCTCAGTTGGTAGAGTATGGCGCTTGCAACGCCATGGTTGTGGGTTCGTTTCCCACGGGGGGCCAGTATGAAAATGTATGCACTCACTAACTAAGTCGCTCTGGATAAGAGCGTCTGCTAAATGACTAAAATGTAAAATGTCTGAAGTCTGTACCAGTATCATGACAATGGTTCACAAACTACTACATCAGAAAACAAGGCCTGAGCTATGTCTAAACTGACTGGGTTTGTGTTAGGAAGGATCAAAGGTCAAACATACACTGTACTGCTTCGTAGCAGTCATGACCATGTTATCAAATGCCTGACAAGGTAAAAACAGGTCGTACATTGATTCAATGTACTCTATACAGCTGAAGTAGCTATGCTATGCGCTAACATTACAAGATACTGCTAGTTGCAGGTCACAGGACACAATGTTCCCTACGCCAAAGCCTATTGTCAATCGCGCAATCCGGAAATAACAATGCTAACTAACAATGCATATGTTGAATACTTGTGCATGTGTAAACAGTAGGTTAGACTGTAGGTAGTCACAAATTAGCTAGTTAGCTAATAATAATGCAGCTATCGCTAGCTAGCCAGCTATGCGTTGGTTGATGTCCTTGCTAGCAAGCAGGCTAACAGTGAACTATTTTAAACAAGCAAACGTTAACTTACCTCGTTGGACAAATGTCTATCAAAATATTATGTCCATAGTCAGACATAGTAATGTCATATCCGCAAGTGAGTAAAGCGATAACGAATTTAGAGATATCTGTCCGGGTTATGATTCGATTTTATGTTGTCAAACTAAACCAGAGAGGAAGAGGCGAAGCGAGAGGGATAACTGAGCAAAACATTTGTCTGCTCCAGCAGGTGGCGTTTTTTTCGGTTTTTTTTAGCTCACCAAGCGAGGGGGTTTTGTAATAATTCAACTTTTCTCCTCCACTGTACTGCGCTACCACAGAGAGACACCACCTTGACGATAGATGGCGCTACAGTATTTTCTTAGACCAGTTCTTTGCCAATGAGAAAGCATTTTCTAAACTCTATGGCCCGTGTGTCAGACCAAGAATAAGCAAGACTAAGCAAGAATAAGGCCGTGACCTCGACGATTTTCCTTCAAAATGAAAGTCCCGCAATGAAAAATAATACAAATGGTCGAAATTCGTAACATTTTATGAGGAAATGTTAATAATTTTTGTATAATAATAATAATCAACTTTAGAAAACACTTTAAAATCCCATTGTTAATTAGCCTATTTGTATTGCATGATGTTCAGTATGTTTTTCATATTGAACATTCTGCACCGTAGTACACAACTTCATGTACATTGTGTCGCAGTAAAAGGGAGGGGGGTCCATTCTACTCAGGAGCTTTTTTAGTTTCCAAATTCACCGTTTGTGCCGCGTTCAAAACAACTGGAAACTCGGAAATCTCCGACTTCCGAGCGTTCAAAATAAATGGAACTCGGGAAAAAATTTGCTCAGACTGGGAAAAATCGTTTTAAACAGTCATCCAACTCAGAATTCCAACTCGGGAATTCGGGCCTCTTTCTAGAGCTCCGACTTTCCAATCTGAAGATCACTGACTTCATGATTTGACCAAGTTTTTTTCAGAGTTCCCAGTTGTTCTGAACGCAGCATCACACCCAGAGGAGCGTCACTGCTAATTTGGCCCTTAAAGTGGCCAATCATCTTAAATCCAATCGTTTTTTTCATACTGGAAATACATATTGCACCGTACACAACTATCTGTACGTTGTGTTGCAGTAAAAAGGAGGTCCATTCTACTCAGGGGCACTTCTAGTTTCCCCATCCACAGACTTTACAGTGCAGTGTGGTCGGTGCCTTTAAGATGAGGGAGGACGTTTTTTAATTTTATTTTATGAGCATGGCTTTATTTCTATTACAGCATATTGGATGACTGTCATTCATATTCCATTCACCCAGCTCAATGTAACATCGATAGGTTTAGGTTACTACATGATACTCAAAGTTTCCCTATACCCATCATGAGGTTGCTACAACCTGGTCTACGAATGAAATTTTACAACGTAAGTGCACAGGTCGAGAGAAATTTGCGTAATCTAGGTGACAGACAGTTACACATTCAAAACCGCCTTGCACATTCTTGCCTGCATCTAGCTGATCTAGGTTGTAATCATTAGTCCAACAGTTGCAAACGAGATTCTATTGGACAAATTCAGGTATGTTTGCTTCCGTTTAAGAAACGTTCTTCAACCGAATCGGCGGAATGAATACACCCCTGATCACACACACACAAACTACCAGCCACATATAAACCACATTATCACTTTTCTCATTGTATATATAATTCCTTCTCGCATCTACGCTCTCTCCTCCTCTCACCTTTTCCCTTCGCTTGTGGACTTCAGTGCACAATACAACAGCTGTCTGTGACCAGCCGAAAAAACCTTTCCCAAGCTAAACTTTCATATCAAAACCGCTAACGGCTACACACAGGCTACATCCTTTTCACCATATTAACGTCATTGTCAACATAAAAAAATAATAATTTATTTCACCTTTATTTAACCAGGTAAGCCAGTTGAGAACAGGTTCTCATTTACAACTGCGACCTGGCCAAGATAAAGCAAAGTAGTGCAATAAAAACAACACAGAGTTACATATGGGGTAAAAAAAACATAAAGTCAGAAATACAACAGAAAATATATATACAGTGTGTGCAAATGTAGCAAGTTATGGAGGTAAGGCAATAAATAGGCTATAGTGCAGAATAATTACAATAGTATTAACACTGGAATGCTAGATGTGCAAGAGATGATGTGCAAATAGAGATACTGGGGTGCAAAAGAGCAAAATAAATAACAATATAGGGATGAGGTAGTTGGGTGGGCTAATTTCAGATGGGCTGTGTACAGGTGCAGTGATCGGTAAGGTGCTCTGACAACTGATGCTTAAAGTTATTGAGGGAGATAAGAGTCTCCAGCTTCAGAGATTTTTGCAATTCGTTCCAGTCATTGGCAGCAGAGAACTGGAAGGAATGGCGGCCAAAGGAGGTGTTGGCTTTGGGAATGACCAGTGAGATATACCTGCTGGAGCGCAGACTACGGGTGGGTGCTGCTATGGTGACCAATGAGCTAAGATAAGGCGGGGATTTGCCTAGCAGTGATTTATAGATGGCCTGGAGCCAGTGGGTTTGACGACGAACATGTAGTGAGGACCAGCCAACAAGAGCGTACAGGTCACAGTGGTGGGTAGTGTATGGGGCTTTGGAGACAAAACGGGTGGCACTGTGATAGACTACATCCAATTTGCTGAGTAGAGTGTTGGAGGCTATTTTGTAAATGACATCGCCGAAGTCAAGGATCGGTAGGATAGTCAGTTTTACGAGGGCATGTTTGGCAGCATGAGTGAAGGAGGCTTTGTTGCGAAATAGGAAGCCGATTCTAGATTTAACTTTGGATTGGAGATTCTTTATGTGAGTCTGGAAGTTGAGTTTACAGTCTAACCAGACACCTAGATATTTGTAGTTGTCCACATACTCTAGGTCAGACCCGTCGAGAGTGGTGATTCTAGTCGGGTGGGCGGGTGCTAGCAGCGTTCGATTGAAAAGCATGCATTTAGTTTTACTAGTGTTTAAGAGCAGTTGAAGGCTACTGAAGGATTGTTGTATGGCATTGAAGCTCGTTTGGAGGTTTGTTAACACAGTGTCCAATGAAGGGCCAGATGTATACAAAATGGTGTCGTCTGCGTAGAGGTGGATCTGAGAGTCACCAGCAGCAAGAGCGACATCATTGATATACACGGAGAAAAGTGTCGGCCCAAGAATTGAACCCTGTGGCACCCCCATAGAGACTGCCATAGGTCCAGACAACAGGCCCTCCGATTTGACACACTGAACTCTATCTGAGAAGTAGTTGGTGAACCAGGCGAGGCAGTCATTTGAGAAACCAAGGCTATTTAGTCTGCCAATAAGAATGCGGTGGTTGACAGAGTCGAAAGCCTTGGCCAGGTCGATGAAGACGGCTGCACAGTACTGTCTATTATCAATCGTGGTTATAATATCGTTTAGGACCTTGAGCGTGGCTGAAGTGCACCCATGACCAGCTCGGAAACCGGATTGCATAGCGGAGAAGGTACGGTGGTATTCGAAATGGTCGGTGATCTGTTTGTTAACTTGGCTTTCGAATACTTTCGAAAGGCAGGGCAGGATGGATATAGGTCTGTAGCAGTTTGGATCTAGAGTGTCACCCCCTTTGAAGAGGGGGATGACCGCGGCAGCTTTCCAATCTCTGGGGATCTCAGACGTTATGAAAGAGAGGTTGAACAGACTAGTAATAGGGGTTGCGACAATTTCGGCGGCTAGTTTTAGAAAGAAAGGGTCCAGATTGTCTAGCCCAGCTGATTTGTAGGGGTCCAGATTTTGCAGCGCTTTCAAAACATCAGCTGTCTGAATTTGTGTGAAGGAGAAGCGGGGGGGCATGGGCAAGTTGCAGCAGAGGGTGCAGAGTTGGTGGCCGGGTTAGTGGTAGCCAGATGGAAAGCATGGCCAGCTGTAGCAAAATGCTTGTTGAAATTCTCGATTATTGTAGATTTATCGGTGGTGATAGTGTTTCCTAGCCTCAGTGCAGTGGGCAGCTGGGAGGAAGTGCTCTTATTCTCCATGGACTTTACAGTGTCCCAAAACTTTTTGGAGTTAGTGCTACAGGATGCAAATTTCTGTTTGAAAAAGTTAGCCTTTGCTTTCCTGACTGCTTGTGTATATTGGTTCCTAACTTCCCTGAAAAGTTGCATATCGCGGGGGCTATTTGATGCTAATGCTGTACGCCACAGGATGTTTTTGTGCTGGTCAAGGGCAGTCAAGTCTGAGGAGAACCAGGGGCTATATCGGTTCTTAGTTCTGTATTTTTTGAATGGGGCATGTTTATTTAAGATTGAGAGGAAATTACTTTTAAGGAACAACCAGGCATCCTCTACTGACGGAATGAGATCTATATCCATCCAGGATACCTGGGCCAGGTCAATTAGGAAGGCCTCCTCGCTAAAGTGTTTTAGGGAGCGTTTGACAGTGATGAGGGGTGGTCGTTTGACCGCAGACCCGTTACGGACGCAGGCAATAAGGCAGTGATCGCTGAGATCCTGGTTGAAGACAGCTGAGGTGTATTTAGAGGGTATGTTAGTCAGGATGATATCTATGAGGGTACCCATGTTTAAGGGTTTAGGGTTGTACCTGGTAGTTCGTTGATAATTTGCGTGGGGTTGGGTTGAAAAGGGAAAAAACTAAGGGGCTTTTGGGGATGTAAGGAATGGCCCGGGGGTTTTAAGCAATTCCCCAATTTAGGTCACCTACCCCCGTAGGCGGCACTGCCAAACGGGAAAGGAAGGGATTTTTTTCTATCAATTATTCACGGCAACATAGTTATCAGTGTTGTAATCTAGACGTCTGATCTGCCACAGTGCCACTAAATGTCCAATCAGGCTAAGTCGTGCTTCAAATGGCCCCCCCCCTTTTGGGGCGATTTCAGTCAGGTTGAAAATCGCCCAGAAGTCTGTCATAGACTCCCATGTAAAATCTATTTTTTTCAAATATCAGAGCTTTCAATACAATCTCTATGGGTTTCTGAGGGCTTGCACTTACGCGCTTTCGTCATACGTAACATAACCATGAACGTAACTAAGAAAAGAGCGGGTAGCAGCATCAATCAATTCACTACTACTATCAAAATGGCTAGGCTTCAGTGCAACTCGATTGTGTCTTTGAAAGAAGTTCCTTTTTGTTGGCGAACAAATGAAGATAAATTGGCAACGAAACAATTAGGACCTCCCAGACCAAATTTAATAATTCAACAGGTTTCTACTAAAGGGGGGAAGTCCTACACCCGAGGATTTTCCAAAAATTGGTACGAACGAAAAACCTGGCTAGCAGGCTGCGATGTAGCTAATGCAGTCTTCTGCTACCCCCTGCTTACTCTTTCACCCTGAAGGCGGCACGGCAGACAGCACCGCTTGGACAGCGACTGGTGTGTAACGGACATGCACCATCTTTCAGGAAAGATTAAGAAACATGAGCTGTCAAAGACCCACATGGATAGCTGTTTGAGATTGTCTGCTTTGGGGAGAGTGAACATTCCCACTCAACTGGATGAGGGATACAGGCTAGCTGTCCGCCGCCACGACGATGAGGTTAGTGTTGATAATCACAAGTTTACTGGAGAACTGAAACTGACAAGGCTGACAAGATAGGACCCTTTTGTCCATTGTTATTGGATAGGAACAGAACTTATAACCAGCTCCTGACCTAAATAGATCTTAGCACAACATTTTACTCAACATATCATATTCCATATTCACTATAACAAATATATTTACTACGACATTAGCAAGAACCGCCACATCCTCAGCCGGCTAATCCAGTGTGTGAAGTTTTGCGGAGTGTTTGAGTTAGCTTTGCGAGGCAAAGATGAAACTGAGGGCTCCACCAACCCTGGTAAGCCAACACTTTTGAGATCAGTCAATAAATGCTTCTGGTATTGACTTATATGCTGCCCCTGTCTTCATGTTGTTGCTGGACATATCTTTTTTAAAATGTGTGTAGGTCACCTAAATCATCAGAAAAATTGCCCCCCCTGAGAATTTTTTCAGGAGCCGCCACTGCTACCAGCCACATATAAACCACATTATCACTTTTCTCATTGTACATATAATTCCTTCTCGCATCTACGCTCTCTCCTCCTCTCACCTTTTCCCTTCGCTTGTGGACTTCAGTGCACAATACAACAGCTGTCTGTGACCAGCCGAAAAAACCTTTCCCAAGCTAAACTTTCATATCAAAACCGCTAACGGCTACACACAGGCTACATCCTTTTCACCATATTAACGTCATAGTCAACATAGCTACTACAACGCATTTTTAACCCAATCATGCAGCACAGTGTACAGCAAGCTGTTTAGCAGTTACACAGGCGGGCCCGGTCGCAATAAATTACTAAAACCAAAAGCTTACCGTGACTTGGAAGAGTTCCAGTGTTGGATAGACAAAGCCAGCTAGCTAACATAGAATCCCTCTCTGTTTGAACCGGGTGTTTGAGTAGGCTAAACTAGCTAGCTGCATTACTAGTTAAGTAAGTAAAAGTGATTTTTTGTTGTTGTAGAATATTGTAGAATAATAGTGAAGACATCAAAACTATGAAGTGCAGCGGTCTAAGGCACTGCATCAAAGTGCAAATCTGTCATCAAGGCAAAGGGTGGCTACTTTGAAGAATCTAAAATTTAAAATATATTTTGATTTGTTTAACACTTTTTTGGTTATTACATGATTCCATATGTGTTATTTCATAGTTTTGATGTCTTCACTATTATTCTACAATGTAGAAAATAGTACAAATAAAGAAAAACCTTTGAATGAGTAGGTGTTCTAAAACTTTTGACCGGTAGTGTATATATATAATGAAATATAGCTCCCTCTCTCTCTCTCTCTTGCTTCTCCTTAATTTTGGAATAAATTAATTTGTTCAAAACTTTTAAACTATTGTCTTTTTCTCTCTTTGCGTCAACTACTCGCCACATTTTATGCACTACAGTGCTAGCTAGCTGTATCTTATGCTTTCAGTATAGATTCATTCTCTGATCCTTTTATTGGGTGGACATGTCAGTTCATGCTGCAAGAACTCTGATAGGTTGGAGGACATCCTTCAGAAGTTGTCATAATTACTGTGCAAGTCTATGGAAGGGGGTGAAAACCATGAGCCTCAAAGGTTTTGTATTGAAGTCAATGTACCCAGAGGAGGACAGAAGCTAGCTGACCTCCGGCTACACCATGGTGCTACCCTACAGAGTGCTGCTGAGGCTATGTTTTAATAGATTATTTGGTGACGTGAATACATTTAGTATAGTTTTATCTAAAAAGGATAACTTTTTTAATGTTTCACTATTTTTATTTTAATGAAATTCACTGAGGAGGATGGTCCTTCCTTTCCTCCTCTGAAGAGCCTCCACTGGTTTACACCCAGAGGAAACTAGAAGTGTTCCTGACTAGAATGGACCCCCCCTTTTACTGCGACACAACCTACAGATAATGTTGTATGGTGCAATATATATGTACAATATGAAAAAACAATTGGATTTAAGTTGATGGGCCACACTATAGGGGCCGCCAAATGAGCAGTGGCGCTCCTCTGGGTGTAAACTCTGTGGATTTGGAAACTAAAAGGGCTCCTGAGTAGAATGGACCCCCCTTTTACTGCAACATAAAGTACAGATAATGTTGAATGGTGCAATAAATGATAGTACACACACAAAAAATATTGTTGACCATTTAGGCTTGAAAAAATAAACCAATAAATGACATTTAAGTCATTTAGCAGACGCTCTTATCCAGAACGACTTACAGTTAGTGAGTGCATACATTTTCATACTGGCCCCAGTGGGAAACGAACCCACAACCCTGGCGTTGCAAGCGCCATGCTCTACCAACTGAGCTACACGGGGCATCTCGTATAGAAATACTTTTAATTATTCTTTGTATGATAACTAGTATAAAATATATTGATAATTGTGAACATTTACAAAATTTTAAACCCTAATTATTAATTTACAATGTATACAGGACGGAACTTTTATTCTGAAGGATTCCAAAAAATCCGGGACCCGGAAGTGCTTAGTTATTCTTGTCTGCTTCGCAGCAGTGTGTGTCAGCAACAAACTACTACACCAGGCTAGCTAAGGTAAATAGCGATGTTTTATATTACTGTCTGTTTAGCCACACGTTTACTATAAAAGTAAAACATTGGGGGCATATCTTATAAATTGCATATACGTGACCTGTTGTTAAAACGGCCCCAAAAGTCAGCTAGCCTCTCCAGGCATTGTAAAGTTAGCTAGCTAAGGTTAGCATGCTGGCTGGCTAGCTAGCTAGCATATTTCTGTTTGTAACACATTTGCCTTGTATGAATGAACTAACGTGACTTCGCTAACGTTTTCTCACTACTCTAGCTAATTCAGCTACTACTGTAGCTATATGTTAACTTTCTAATTGGCTAGCTAGATATTATTTGTAATCAAATAATATAGCTCACGTTAGCGAATTAACCAGCAGTTCTTATTGTTTTGAGATTTGTATTATGGACCTTCATTAATATTATTGGAAGTGTTGGTTTCGCAGGTTTTATTTTACAGGCAGGCTGAATCATGGTAAGTAGCTAGCTACGTTAATGTTATTATCTGTAATGTACAGGTAACTTCCAAAATAAAGGAAACACCAACATAGTGTCTTAAAGTGGCAATATGTCACTTTTTGGGCGACCCGACAAAATTCACATAAATGTAGTTATAGATCTATAATTCTACGTGAACGCAAGACTAAGAAGCGGTATATATGTTCTATGTGCGCTATTTCTATGCTCCCTGTTAAGTTTTGTTTTTGCATCTTTTACTTTCTGTTTTGTACACCAGCTTCAAACAGCTGAAAATATAATTTTTTTGGTTATGGAAAATATATTTCACAGCGGTTTAGATGATACAATGATTCTCTACACTATACTAGCTTATTTTGTCACAAACTGAAATTAGGCAAACTATTAGAGTTTTACCAAACAGGAAATGGCGGAACGGTTTCGGTAAAGTGCAACTTTGATAGGGCGGTGAGCCGCCAGAACAGCTGCAATGCGCCATGGCATATATTCTACAAGTGTCTGGAGCTCTAATGGAGGGATGTGACACCATTCTTCCACGAGAACTTCTATCATTTGGTGTTTTGTTTGATGGTGGTGGAAAACGCTGTCTCAGGCACTTCTCCAGAATCTCCCATAAGTGTTCAATTGGGTTGAGATCTGGTGACTGAGACACACACCCTTTAAACCCCGTATGTTCCTTTGAGACCCCTCTTTCAAAGTCACTGAGATCTATTCTTCAAGCCATGGTAGCCAAAAAAATTGGCAACTGGGTACTTTTTATAAACGACCCAAAGCATGCTGGAATGTTAATTGCTTAATTAACTCGGGAACTACAAATGTGTGGAAGCACCTCCTTTCAATATACCTTATATCCCTCATTTACTCATGTGTTTCCTTTATTTTGGCAGTTACCTGTACATGTTTAATAAGATGCAGTTGACTACCTTTCAGCCTTTACTTGGGTGCTTTCTTCGGAAATTGATAACACTTATTTATTTTTGTAGTCTCGTAGATATGATTCCCGGACTACCATTTTCTCACCTGAAGGCAAGTGTTATCTTTCCAATAACGAGTTACTGTCCATAATGAATGTTATCATCACATTCAAGACTATACTGTCAAGTGTTCTCTGACCAACCATGTCAGACACAACAATTTATAGTTGCTGCTTTACAGGACGCTTATATCAGGTGGAGTATGCCATGGAGGCTATTGGCCACGCCGGCTCATGTCTTGGGATTTTAGCAAATGACGGTGTACTGTTGGCTGCAGAGAGGCGGAACATCCACAAGCTGCTTGATGAGGTTTTCTTCTCGGAGAAGATCTACAAGCTCAATGAGTGAGTATGACCATAGTCTCCCTTGCCAGGCTTATATGTAGCACTACTATAAGCATGCCAACAAGACAGATCAGGACCTGCTCATAAAGCGTCTCAAGACTAGGAGTGCTGATCTAAGATCAGGTCTGCCCTGTCCCTGTAATCGTATTCATTATGATCTAAAAGGCTAAACTGATCCTAGATCAGCACTCCTACTCTGAAGCTGGGATGCTTTGCTCCCTCACCATCCAGTTGTTAGTAGATGTCAGCCATGCTGCTACATTATACCCATGGACTGCTCTGTGATTTGATTTGGTGTCGTATCGTTTCAGAGACATGGCTTGCAGTGTTGCCGGTATCACCTCCGATGCTAACGTGCTAACCAATGAGCTGAGGCTAATAGCACAGAGGTATGTAGGGTAGTAAAGTCCACGGTCTCTACCTGTGACACATTTGTTCATTAATTCATATACAAAGCCATGTATGGTGTTAGTTTGTGTTAGTGCAAGATCAACAAGGCACCCCTAGTAATCTATCACTGTGTCTATCTGACAGATAATGTGTATGTGTTATTTAATTCACACAGATATCTACTGCAGTACCAGGAGCCAATCCCCTGTGAGCAGTTGGTGACCGCGTTGTGTGACATCAAACAGGCCTACACACAGTTTGGAGGTTAGCTAATAGACAGAGGCCACAAACACCTCCGTTGGGTTCTCTAGTAAACGCCACCCTGGTTACACTTCCACCATAGTTGCTGGAACCATACTGGACCAAAGGGCTGTGTGAAAAGAACAGACCAGAGGCAGCAGAGTACAGTTAGGGTCAGCACACGTTTTGATTGTGTTTGATGTGTTGTGTGTCTTCAGGGAAGAGGCCGTTTGGAGTGTCTCTGCTGTACATGGGCTGGGACAAACACTACGGCTTCCAGCTCTACCAGAGTGACCCCAGTGGAAACTATGGAGGATGGAAGGCTACTTGCATCGGCAACAACAGCGCGGTAAGCCTGCTGTCGTCAACGTTGGCACAATGCACATTCATTGTTTTGGCAGTAGCATTGCCACAAAGTAAAGACGTGAAACGTCACAGTAGATGGTGCTACAGTGTTGACTGGGAATTGAAAATATACACTTTTGTGGCATAATATTTCAACAATTCAGCCCTTGGCTGGATATCAGACTTATGGCTGCCTAACTGGCATACTACATCTCAATGAAAATAGACACAATTATCTAATTGAGTGGTACTGAGGTGTTATATCATTAACGTCATAGATTTAGCCGGTGGTTAACTGTGGAATAGACACCGGCTGGAATGCGGTTTTAACCAATCAGCATTCAGGATTAGACCCACCTGTTGTCTAAATCATCATGTTGTATCTTCTCCTCCCCAGGCTGCAGTGTCCATGTTGAAGCAGGATTTCAAAGAGGGCGAGATGTCACTGTCCTCTGCCCTGGCGTTGGCCGTCAAAGTCCTGAACAAGACCATGGACGTCAGCAAGCTCTCGGCGGAGAAAGGTAAGATCCACACCGGACATCACCATTCTAAACAACTACTGAGCCTCTCCTGCCTTGGAACACACTGAGTAAACCCAGACTGTAGATGGTCTTGTGTAGAGTGGGACGGTGTTATCCTAATCCACAGCTGTTCTATGGAGAGTAGGCTAGAAATGATGATGAAGATGATGATGTCTAAAACATTAGACATCATCAGCTGTTGTACATTATACACACAATACTGTATATAATAAATATGTTGTATAGAGATGTATATAGTAAGCTATACGTCTGTAATGCAGCCTGAGATATGAACATAGACGTTATGACTCATGGATATCTTGACCTCCCCAGTGGAAATAGCCACCCTGACGCGAGAAGACGGAAAGACCAAGATCAAGGTGCTGAAACAGAAAGAGGTGGAGGAGCTGATCAAACGACACGAGGCCGAAGAGGCCAAGGCAGAGAAAGACAAGAAAGACAAAGAACAGAAGGAGAAGGACAAATAAACACTCGTTTCAAATTCATACTTTCCTAAAACACCCGTAACGTGTTACGCTCTTGTTAGTCTTTTTCTTTATTAAAACATTGAAACCAAATGTACTGATAGAATCTCTAGTTTCATTATGTTGTGATAACCATTATTGTGTATCCAGGCAGACTTCTCAGAAATACTTTGAAGACTTCAGTAACCCGCCAAGGCAAGGGAAAGATTAAGGCCACAGGGTATGTCCTGATTGTTTACAGAATTTCAATGTGTTGTGAACTGGGTCATGTTCAGTAGCGTACACCGTAGCAAAACACTTGTTATTAAGTTCAGCTAGTATCTCCTTGTTTCTCTTAAGAAGAACCAATATACTTGTATGCAATATAATTTGATTCACATCATTACACATGGGCTGTTAACTGGTGCCAAAACACAATACCGACAAGAACAGAGGTATAACAGGACTTTTATTCCATCTGTAGTGTCATTACATGAAAATGGAAATCTGAAATGTGTGTGTATATAGAAATTCTAGAACACAATAGTTTAGAAAGTAGGAAGGGGATGTGTGTATAGTATGTTGGATCAGCTACAGGGGAATGTAGGCGCTTGCTTTCACACATGCAGCCTAATCTTCTCAACTGAATGCACAAGAAGAATGTCACGTGAGTCTAGCACACAGTATGTATGTATTTAGTGCTCCCCTGACCTAAGATAAACCTCTTAAGTGTGAGCAACATTACAGTTAAGCGATGTATTGTCACTGACTTAACGAGTCTTTGAAGTCTGCATGTCAATAATGGGAGTTTACATAGATCATTCACTCAATTCAAGACAACGGAGACATTTGCATTGTAAAATACATTTGTTGCAGCGTTTCAGTAAAACAAAAAGATCTACCAGGGTTACTGAGTCCTGAACGCATACCCATGATTTCATTATCCAGACATCTAGATTCCAATGTTATGTGCCATATTGCCCTTAGCCCCCTCTTCCGGTACACTGTAGTTTTATTAGAGTCCCTCACCTTTAGCTGCACTGTGGAGTTTAAAATAATAAGTTAGTATTTTTAGCACTGAGTGTCCCACTTGCAGTAGAAGCTGTGGCAACTGGCGACACAACATGCAAGAGGTCAAGAACGCAGCCACCTAACAGGATCAATCTTTTTAGTTCAAGCCTTGAAGGTTCAATCACCAAAGAGGTCTACAGAATGAAGGGCTTGCTCTCCGTCACGACTACAGCACTACATATGGGAAGAGAGAGATGGGTCTTGTCCCAATATGCTTAAATAGCTTCCTTTCCTTGTTTCCTATCCCCACCATAGAAAAAAAACAACAAAGGTCAGGTGGGCATGGAAAAGAGACTATTGGGCCAGAGCAATAGATTAGTGATGTTTGGGTTGATCAGGAGGGCATTAATCTTCTTCTGACTCCGGACATGTTGGACTCATGGAGTAGCCCAAAAACACAAGATCTGCTCGGGGCGGTATCAGAGGGTGGCCTGGTTTCATAATCTCAAAGCCTATGTAGTGGAAAGTCCTGGTAAGGAGCGCTGGAAAGATGTAGAAAACGTAGGATTGTTAACGTGACTGTTCAGACAGTATCTAAATTATGTTTCCCTTTTTCAATTTTAGTGTGCACTTTGCATTATTCCTGATGTTTTTTAACACCAGTACGGTTAGAGGTTACTAAAGTGACATTAATTTGATCAATAAACAAATAATTCAACTAATTTAATAATTTGTCTAATATAAAGCGCATGAAAGAACACGTCTAGACTTAGACATACCTTGATCCCCTCTGCTTTTGGAGAACCACAGAAACACATGGCTGACTCCTAACTTTTCTTCGGAAAACATGAGGAGACTGGTGAGTCTGATAAAAGAGAAGAGAGGAAAGAAGAGAGGGGTGTATCTCAAATAATGTAAGTGTTGCTCCTTTGTATTCCCTTACATATTCATGCACACTGTAATATGCAGGATTCTCCCAAAGTAGTCCTCTGGAGCTCCACCCAGTACAGTGCATATCCAAGATAATGTTAAATCTAGATTTGCTTTCCTCTATCGTAATCGCTCCTCTTTCACCCCAGCTGCCAAACTAAAACTGATTCAGATGACCATCCTACCCATGCTAGATTATGGAGATTTATAGATCAGCAGTAAGGGTGCTCTCGAGCGGCTAGATCAGGGTTCTTCAATTCCGGTCCTGGAGGGCCGAAACACTTCTGTTTTTTATTTCTACCTGGTAGTTAATTGCACTCACCTGGTGTCCCATGTCTGAATTAGCCCCTGATTAGAAGGAGAGGATGAAAAACAGAGGTGTTTCGGCCCTCCAGGACCGGAATTGAAGAACCCTGGGCTAGATGTTCTTTACCATTCGGCCATCAGATTTGGCACCAATGCTCCTTATAGGACACATCACTGCACTCTACACTCCTCTGTAAACTGGTCATCTCTGTATACCCGACGCTTATTTATAAAACCCTCTTAGGCCTCACTCCCCCCCTATCTGAGATACCTACTGCAACCCTCATCCTCCACATACAACACCCATTCTGCCAGTCACATTCTGTTAAAGGTCCCCAAAGCAACACACATCTCTGGGTCGCTCCTCTTTTCAGTTCGCTGCAGCTAGCGACTGGAACGAGCTGCAAAAAACTCTCAAACTGGACAGTTTTATCTCCATCGCTACATTCAAAGACTCAATCATGGACACTCTTACAGGCACTTGTGGCTGCTTCACGTGATGTATTGCTGTCTACCTTTTTGCCCTTTGTGCTGTTGTCTATGCCCAACAATGTTTGTACCATGTTTGTGCTGCTACCATGTTGTTGTCATGTTGTGTTGCTACCATGTTGTTGTCATGTTGTGTTGCTACCGTGTTGTTGTCACGTTGTGTTGCTACCATGTTGTTGTCATGTTGTGTTGCTACCATGCTGTGTTGTCATGTGTTGCTGTCATGCTGTGTTGTCATGTTGTGTTGCTACCATGCTGTGTTGTCATGTGTTGCTGCCATGCTGTGTTGTTGTCTTAGGTCTCTCTTTATGTAGTGTTGTGGTGTCTCTCTTGTCATGATGTGTGTTTTGTCCTACATTTTTATTTTTAATCCCAGCCCCAGTCCCTGCAGGAGGCCTTCTGTCTCTTCGTAGGCCGTCATTGTAAATAAGAATTTGTTGTTGTTTGAAATGATTTTTTATATATATATATATATATTTCCCTTCACTGGCAATCTTAAAAATTTATTTTTTAGACTTAATTCCAGCCTTCCCGATGGCATAATGCATGGTTATAACAGGTGTATGTATGCATGATTATAAAGCCAGCGAGGATAGACGGCAGTTCCTCCTCACCCCTCTTTGCTGCCCTCAGGGAGTGACCCCTCTGGGATCTCCAGGAAGAGGCTGTCTGAGGTGAACACAGTCTCCCAGCATGCATTGCGGTGCTCGCTCAGCTGGTAGTGAAAGTGCAGGATGGGGAGAGCTCCACGAACAGAGGTCACCTGGGTCACTGTCAGCCTTCCATCCTGAGAGAGGAAAGCAAAACGTATTGGCACACTGTTCGATACAGAACTTCCACAGTTATTAGATGGACAAGGTTTCGACCCATAACATAGGTCTTTGTCAGCTATTAATCTAGGAACTAGGTAGGTTACACTTTAGCCTGATCTAGCATCTATCTTAAATAAGGGATTCCTGTTGTTATGATTTGCCTATGAGCATAATATTTTCAAACCAATGGACCTCCAGCAGAATTACTCTCTTCACCATTGCTGTTTGATCAATACAGTGACCGACATTAACCTATACACATAGCGATATTCAAGCCATTCTCTGCCTTTTCTCAAATGTTGAGTCATTACAGGCAGTCTTGGGTGAAACTTGTCCTTGTGTACAAGGGTCACTTTTCACTATGAAAGTAGCAAGGATTAACCTAACTTTAAGAGCATGCTTTTGGGTATGTGCAGGAATGTTGAGTGTATTTGGGCTTGTGTCATTTTGTGGTTCAGTAGCTTTCTGGGTTAATGAGAGTGGGTTTTGGCGCCTGACACAGTGACCCACATCCCTGAACATGTTAACAAGTAGCTAAACAAACCATGTAAATAGACTGTAGTCTCTCAAATGATAGATGGAGCATAGATCAAATGAAAGGCCTGTAGGCTTATGACTATAAAGCTAAACAGTAAGATGCAATGTATCTTTTGACAACATTAGCACATTTTTACCATTCATCTTCGGAAAGTCCTCATGGTTATAAAAACAGACATCCTTCCTAATTTCTTCCCTTATGACCTGTGTGTTTGGATAAGTGAAATTCAGGTTTCCAACCCCATTTCTTTAACCAATCCAATTATCTCAGATCTTTGATTGATAACTTCAATGAAGGAAGAATGCATTGTTTGGCTATTGGGATGGGGCCCTATAGGGACTCACTTTGTGAAGGAGCACATGGAGAGGGGGATCCCTGCCAGTCCCTCGCCCACCTGGGATCTTCAGCGGTGAGTGAGGGGCATCAGGAGCACCACAGAGGCCCTGGGGCCTGGTGCTTAGAGCAGCCCATATACGACACCAACATGGGACTGGAGGTACACAGAGGCCCTGGAGGCTGGTGTTTGGAGCAGCCCATAAACGACACCAACATTGGACTGGAGGTACACAGAGGTCCTGGAGGCTGGTGTTTGGAGCAGCCCATAAACGACACCAACATGGGACTGGAGGTACACAGAGGCCCTGGAGGCTGGTGTTTGGAGCAGCCCATATACGACACCAACATAGGGACTGGAGGTACACAGAGCAACAAGGTGAGGTTGGGTAAGTCAAGCTAAAGTTATTGTAATATAAGTGGCTTTGGATAGGAGGGTCAGTTAGCATAGGGTACCAGATCAAATAAAATCAGTAGAGACATGTTAAGAGGAACTAGCCTGAGAAAAAGCATTTCACCTCAGAGTGCTATTTTACTGTATATGCAGGCTGGGATTAAAGCTACGTAGCCTATTGTACTTCCAATGAAACATTTAATGAAAAATGTCTGCAGAGTTTGTTCACTCAAAACACCCCACATTTGAACGCACACTCAAAACTGTTCCAAGGTTCTATTGTTGTACTAAACCAACCTTTAAAAAAACTAATTATTTACAGCTCACTGGCAGAGAGGGAATTAGGTCAGGAATTAAGAGCCTTGGTAGGAAACCATGACCTAGTGTGGGCTAGTGGACGTCACCTCTAACCTGACCTATATACCAGTGGAGGCTGCTGAGGGGAGGACGGCTCATGATAATGTCTGGAACGGCGCAAATGGTATGGCATCAAACAAACGTATTTGATACCATCCCACTAACTCCACTCCAGCCATTACCACGAGCCCGTCCTCCCCAATTAAGGTTCCACCAACCTCCTGTGCTGTATACTGAGAACACATCACAACAAGACACATATAGAACTGTTTCTAGAAAAGTAGGCCTCAGGTCCATCTAGCTACCTTATGACCACCCACTTATTATAATCTGCATCTCCGTTTGCTGCACTGTGGGAGAAGAGGGTCTACTATCCATTCAAGTAGGGGTACTATTTCCGAGTGGCTTATCCAATCCTCTGGGGGGAGTCTGCATAAACCAGGGGTTGTGTAACAGGGACAGATCAGGTGGCAGGAATTGTGCTGAGGCAGAGATTCTCATAGCCCTACTATGTGCTTGGAAGGAGGTTGAAGAAAAAATGATGCAAAGAAACTGCTCCATGCAAATGACAACATTATGTTACAGTGATGTAAAATGGAGCTGGATTTGCCATTGGTATTTTGTCATTGGATAGTGGTTCATTAATCATTAAAATTAAGCTGTTGAGCCATTAGTCAATAAAAGTGATTACTGAAGAATGCATGATGCACTCTTTTGAGGAACAATGGGCAACACGGGTTTCAGACAGCTAGTCTGTCTACATTGGCATTATCTCTGTTTTGAATGCATGCACTTTTCACAAATTGGATATTATACCTGGTGACCTACATGAGTCAATATTATCAGATACACCAGTCACAGGATCCATTTTTTTAAAACTTCAAATAACAATCACTTTAAGTAGCTCGCTATCTGTAATAGAGGAATCTGTTGAAGGAGCGCACAATCGCACCCTTCAAAAAACTGCATGAATTATTGTAGGAACTACACCAACAGAATAGCTGCAAAAGTGTTGTTGCTCTCTAGAAAGTAAGATATTCGTGTTTTTAGACAGCAGCATATTTTACCATAAATTATGTTTGCAATATTAATTAATATATTTACTCAATGTTGTCCAAATCATGAAATCAATCTGCTCCACAAATTAAACCATCAACAATATCAGGAATACTTACCTCTCTTCAGCGGCTGACATTATGAGAAAATAAAATAGAATGAAAAAGGAATTTCCTTAAAACCAAAACAATAGCTATTCAATAGACGTTCGGCAGAATAATTCACCATCCGTGAAGTGCAAACTAGTCCTAAGGACCGTCCTATTTTCAGTTGCAGCGCAGCGCAGTTAGGACAGAACTGCTCTCCGACTCGCCTGTGTGCACCGTGCAAAGACGCACTGGAATCATGACAGGAGTTCCCTGGTGATCAATCCGACAGATTTCCAACAGTAAAAACAAGTGTAGAAATCCGGAAATGAAAACGTAGTTACAAAAGAAAATCCCCCAAAACGTTGATACTGTGTTGAAGACGAGCAGCTGCTGAACCCAGCTATCAAACGTTTCGTCTCCGTAGTGTAAACGTAGCCGACTGAGTAGGCATAGCTATATAACTCCTGTCACTTATGATAGAGACCCAATGGCAGGCCTTCAGTGTGTAAAGGTGAGTATTATTGCATAGTTCCTGAAAAAGTTGTCCATTATTACCTGGCCGGGCCTGACGGTGCGCAGCTAGCTAACGTTATCGCGCGCTCAAAGTGGTCACATTTATCTAGCTAAACTCACTGTAAAAATGCACACATTTAATATCATTGATTCATAATGTCAACATGAAAAATTATGACATGTAATATAGGCCTGTAATACTAATGCACACCAGACCAAGGTGAGGCCTGGTTAAGGCATAGCCTGGCATACTCCAGACCAGGGATGAGCAACTCCAGTCCTCGGGCCGGTTTTTCAAAACATTTTAGGGGATCAGAATGATCCGGATTCTGTAATCCTCATTTTTGCTATCCAGGACAAGATCGATATGTCCGTTTTTGAGCCGTTTTTCCAGAAAATAATTGGATAGGAGCATTCTGATCCAGATACCACAATATCAAGATCACAATCCAGATTTTCAGTGCTTTGAACAGGCCTACACCTTGCCATCTACTGGACAGGTTGTGGTACTACTTATTCACTGTCAAGGAAACAGAAATGAGTAAACTACATGAATAAGGTACCTTGATTAAAAATAATAGAGCCTCCATATCACTTATAAGTAAATAGATGCATTTATTTGACACTTCTCAATATAACAACTGACCACATTGGCCTACCTATACTGCGGTCAATTTAACATAATGAACCTTTGGTTTTTTCAACCTCTCCATAGTTACATTGACATTTCTTGGTTGTAGTACCTTTCACCTTTCTAAATCCACCCTTCTAGTGGAATCAAGATAATCCAGATTTTTGGGATCAAAACTATCCTAATCACTACCTTTGAGTTTTGAAAAACACAGAACGACCTACAATCCCGGATTAAAGGTCAGATTGGATGACCAAATCCTTATCCCTCTCCGGTGGATCAGAATCCTATTTTTCAGTTTAAAAAAAACCTATTCTAATCCTATCCGATAGGGGTAATCCGATCTGGTAACTTTTGGAAAAACCGTCCCCAGGGGTCTGATTGACACACTTTTGTCCCACACACTACTAACACACTTGACTCCAAAAATCTACTTATCATGGACTTCAGTTTAGAATGCAATATGTTTAATCAGTTGTGTAATCATTAGTCCAAAACGTTTTGCAACGAAAAATAAGAGTTTCTATTGGACCAATTCAGGTAGGTCCCTCCCCGTTTTGTTCCATTTACTTCTGTTTGCTTCTGTTTGGTTCTATTAGGTTCTGTTTGGTTCCTAGTGAATACACCCCAGGTGTGTGAGCTGCTTCAGACCTATATGTGTAATGTCTTTAAAAAACTCAGTTTTCCAAGGCTACTCCAGAACATGAGGCCGGAGGACTTAAAAGGCCAACAAACCGTCAAAGCTATTGTCACAGCCATTACTAAGTACAAATCCAGTGATTTAAGGTATGCAGTGCAGGTTGGAGGCATGTTCATACTCATACATTTAAAATAACACTAATAAAAAAACATTTTAGTTTGTGAAGAAACGGCAGTTCTCTAGAGAATAAAAAGACGTCGACATGATACAATCCCCGTTATTTCTTAGTTTTTCTCAAGTGAATTACAAACAAACGCAATTTCTTCTTCTTGGTGCAGTGGATTATTTGGCAGAGAGGAAAAGTCCTGTGCCAAAACAAGTTCTCAGAATATTTGATGTCTGACCTGATTGTTCTATCTAGATGGATACCATATACAACCTTCTCCAGCAGCACAGACTGGACACCTACTACCACAAATTCCTCATTTTGGGTATCCAAGATGAGAGCGATTTCACTGACGGCGTAAATGGTGAAGATTTAGACAAAATGGGTAAGGTCACAGACCGGTTACTGACTCTGTAATTTAAAGTATCCCATCATGCCAACAACTGCATTATTCCACTTTAAACTGTTCTGGTTGGTCATATATAAACTGTTCTGCTTGGTCATATGTACATTCACTTAAAAAAACTAAAATAGGTTGTCTCACCATAGACATGCATTCAACTTGTCCAATGCCCATAATTTGCTAACAGGTTTCAGTCAAGTAGAGAAGAATCGCTTAGAGAAAATGAAAGATTTGATCCAAAGACTCAGAGTGCCACAACGAGCGATGCCTGTACAAAAACCAATGGAGGCTTTCCAACTGCGTTACACATACCCTCACTGTCCTGAGCCAAAAGAGATCACAGGTGAGATATACACCATCTTTAAACTTGTGTAATGACGTGGACCATCTTACATTTCACCCATTAGGGTCTTTGAAAGACAGGCACATTGAAAATGGACGTGAGCTCTATGCCATGTTTACACCCAAGGAGAACTTGAGACCAGCCCTGCTAGCTGCTAGAGACACTGCAAGAAATGACTGACATGACAGGAGAGGATAATGTTCGATGCCACATCATGCTCAAGGTGAATTCATCTTTACATTGGTGCACTCTATTGGGTCTGCGTTCGATACACAGATGGTTATACGTTGACTGGTGAAGTGGGGGAAGTGTTTTTCAATGTCACATTCTGTGTGTGTGAGCGTACACACTGTGAATGCAGGATAAACTACACATCAGCTATTACTGTAGTCTGTGTGTATGAAAGGGTGTGATACCAGGATTTCTTCGTAAAATCATTGCTGTCCCTTATTTAAAGGTAGACTCAGCGAAATGATGTTGCCAAGAGCAGCACCGCAGATATTGCGATGAGCGCGATGCAAGACGTTGCTCACACACAGTATCTGCGTATGTGTGCAGGTTCTATTCCCGCTGCTACAAGGCGTTAGCTACGGGACCAAGGCGTTAGCTATAGGACCAAAACAGCTGAGAAGTTTAGCCTTGCGCTCTTTATTTGACCCACTATGCTGTTTACTTTGTGCATCTACGTCATCTCGCTGAGTCTACCTTTAATACTTTATATGAAAACTTTTCATCAACTGGGACACTTTGAGGTCAAGGTGGACTTGGTAAGTGACACACTACGAGATCTGAGACAGAAGCTCTCTGGTGAAAGTGACACACTACGAGATCTGAGACAGAGGCTCTCTGGTGAAAGTGGAATCCCAGCACATGTCCTCCATTACAAGTAATCTTATGTTCATTCATTAATTTAATCGTTAAGGAATTTGTAATACATTTGATAGCATAAAAAACACATACATTTAAAAACCTCAGCACATCTAATGTTTTGACTACCTATAGTGTCAATACAACTTTTTCTCTCACACAGCATCACTAGCCACGATAAGCCGTCATTATTAAGTCAGTATTGATGTTTCTGCAGAAGTGAACTCGGTGGAGTTGGACAAACTTTGCTAGATTGTGGAATCACTGAGGAGTCAACTGTGGGATTTTCTTTGTCCTCCTTCCCTGATGAGCGTCCAGACACTACGGAATTCTACTTGAATGATGTCGTACCCTCAGTGGAACAAACCCAGAAAGGACTCAGTGCTTTCTTTTCTTCACTATATACCATTGTGAGATATTCCAATATTTACACTGTCTTGTCATGTTTGACCATGCTCAGGCAAACCGTGCAATGGGGTTCCTTTGTCTCATTGGTTCTGACATGGACTTTGTCCCCTGCTATAATACATTCGATGCTTTCCCCCTAATCTTTACAGAACAGTAGAGAACAACGTTCTGGAGATGGATTAAACAAAGTGACTGCATACATTCGAAAGCTCAGTGGGTGCAATCCTTTGGCCCAAAGTCTGCATCAGCTGTTGTGCAGAAATGAGATTGGAACAAGGACCCAGAAGGTGATATATATTTTGTCACAAAAGCGTACACATATAATATAATTTAATACGTCCACAAATGGATTCATAAAATGTTTACATTTGTTTTAGGTTGCTATCGTTGAAGGATTGTACAATCTCTTCAGAGAGCTGTTGCCAAGCCCCCACAAAAGAAGAGGTGACAAGATCATTGAAGACTGAGGTTTTTGAGAATGCACCAGTGTGCTGGGCCTACCTGTTATCTGAAGCAAAGGTATACCCATTGTGTTTTGAGATGCTGTTGATTAAAGATGTTCCTGCTGTAGCCTAATGAAACACGTTAATAAATAACTTAAATGGGGAATTGAGATACTGCACCTTGACTTTACAGCCATAACACTGTGTACATATATCAAACAAACCACTGTGTGTGAAAAAGACTTTTGACCGTTCTATCTACCCTAGAAAGAGAGTTCACAACATGAGGTCAATGTACCGATAGACTTGACCTCTCGACCAGGAGAGCGCTTCTGCGACCCAGTTCGAGTACCTGGGTTACCAGATGTCTTTGAAAGAGAGTATGTTCTGCAGAAAGTCAAAGGTAAAATGAAACATCAGCAAACTTCAGTGTTTTTTAATAGTTGTATGTAGCATGATCTCTAATTGCATTATATACTGTTTTCCCATTGTTAAGCTGGAGAGAAAATCCTAAACTGCTCTGTGGAGATCCTGACAGAGACTTCAATGTCTAGAGCCTCTGATGTTGAAAGGATTTTGCTCAGTCTGCCTCCATTCATCAAAACATTCCCTAAGTGGGCTTCATCTGGACTTGTGACTGGCCAAAAGCATGATTCCTCTTTACATTGCTTTTATCACACAATAAATGTGTTGATAATAATGCTAAATGTTGAATAGAAATTAAAGCTTTCAGATTGATCTCGATGACACATTTGCCAAGATGAAGGAAAAAGTGAAAGAATACGTTAATCTCACGGTGACTCCAGCATTACAGTTGAAGGATGTTGGAGTGAATGGGCCACGTCTCGTTCTCTTGGAAGAAAGTAGGCTACTGTGCCTTGTTTCCCAAAATATTTGTTATGATAACTAGGATAATTTGAGTCTTGGTACAATGCATCAGGGCCATTCCGTGTGAATCTGACCAATGTTTTAGATATTCCTGCAATGAAATCTATTGAAATGTCCTTAGGGAGAAGGATGTTAGCATACATTTGAAAATCTAAAATAATGATTGGGAAATAATGAACTAAAGTTGTCCAATGTGTTGATATTTTGGACTGTACCCAGGCCTCTTGGAGGATGCTACATAGTCTGTGTTGGTGTCATTTCAAGTTTTATTGTCACGTGCACAAGTACAGTGACATGCCTTAATTGCAAGCTCTTTCCCAACAATGCAGTAATCAATATCAGTAGTTCTATAAAATAAAGTCAAGTAGAACAAAAACACACAAAAAACATTTGAAACTTTAAGTAGTGTTTAGATGTTCATTTTTGAGTGGGCTCTGCTTATGAGTTATGATCCATTTTAGGAGAATAGAAACGTTCTGCCGCGGCTGTCTAGTTATTGTAAATGCTGGACTATTATTGTCATTTGATTGTCATCTAATGATTGGTTGCAGGTTGTTTTTTGAGAAATACTTGTTTGTTGTATTTTAACAAATGCCTCTCCTTGACAGATAACCTTGGTGTTTACATCTGTAAACAAAAAGGATCTCCTCAGGATATCTACGTTTTTGATTGCTTAGCTATGAAATTCAAAACGTTTAATGTGGACGAATTGGCAAATGCGTAAGTACCTCATCTGAAAATGAGTCAAATACTTTGTTTGCGATGACATGAAGCATCACAATAACTGTTGGGCTGTTCATGAAGAAAAACATTTGATCAACTAACGAACTGAACTATCTTTTCCATCAAACTTCTGGCCTTAAAGCTGGAATCCTTAATTGAAACGATAACAAAGCTGAGGGATGGGCCTGGAGTAGTGTAACCATTCTCAAATTCAAAGCGAGCGCTATGTATGGAAGGACTGACCATCCATGACATGAAAATTATAGTTGTAACCATGTTTTGAGGCTATACAGTGTTTGTTTACATTTACTTTGTTTACAAACATTGGAGTAAAACAAGCTTATATGTTGGGTTCAGATGAGATGACGACAGTTGAACTAAGCTCATGAGGAATTTATAAGTTATATTTTTCACGAATAAATGGGTATATATCATTAATTTATATGTCCAAAAATGGATGTAGCAACTAAGGATTCTAGCTTTAAACCTGATCTACCTCATCCTGTTAAATTGTAATGGACATGAAAAGTGAAATGTGCTTAACTATTCTTCAGACTTGTGAAATGCTGTATAATGTAGGTTACCTGGCAGCATAACCAGATTCATTATTTAAAAGGTAGGGTACAGGGCTGAATTGCTTTCATAATCAAAAATTAAAATGCACTACTTAGACATTTCTGAAAGCCAGTCCATAATATAGTTCTACCTATTGAAAGCCAGCCCATAATATAGTTGTACCTATTGAAAGCCAGTCCATAATATAGTTCTACCTATTGAAAGCCAGTCCATAATATAGTTCTACCTATTGAAAGCCAGTCCATAATATAGTTCTACCTATTGAAAGCCAGTCCATAATATAGTTGTACCTATTGAAAGCCAGTCCATAATATAGTTGTACCTATTGAAAGCCAGTCCATAATATAGTTCTACCTATTGAAAGCCAGTCCATAATATAGTTGTACCTATTGAAAGCCAGTCCATAATATAGTTCTACCCATTGAAAGCCAGTCCATAATATAGTACCTATTGAAAGCCAGTCCATAATATAGTTCTACCTATTGAAAGCCAGTCCATAATATAGTACCTATTGAAAGCCAGTCCATAATATAGTTCTACCTATTGAAAGCCAGTCCATAATATAGTTGTACCTATTGAAAGCCAGTCCATAATATAGTTGTACCTATTGAAAGCCAGTCCATAATATAGTTCTACCTATTGAAAGCCAGTCCATAATATAGTTGTACCTATTGAAAGCCAGTCCATAATATAGTTCTACCTATTGAAAGCCAGTCCATAATATAGTTGTACCTATTGAAAGCCAGTCCATAATATAGTTGTACCTATTGAAAGCCAGTCCATAATATAGTTCTACCTATGGAAACTCCTAGAAGTGAATGATATTTCTATAGGTAGACTATTGTTGCAGCTACAGCTCATGATGTCAACGTCATGTTTAAGATGTCTTTACTGACTTTATTCAATTTCAACGATGCAAAAGATACAGAAGTGCGTTGGACAACAAAACCAGCAAACCTTTGTTAAACGCATTCAACCAGATCACTGGAAATGACACAGAGAAGAAGACCACCCTTGACCAAGCTCTGAGGCAGGTCCTGGAGGAGCAGATTGTGGAAAAGAAAGCACTCGTCGATGACTTCCTGTCTCTCATCTATCTCAGCATTGATGGAGTCACTGAAGGTATCTGCTCCGCCACCACTCCTTTCCTACTGTTGGGAGATGTTCTGGACTGTCTTCCTCTGGACCAGTGTGATAAGATCTTCTCCTTTGTTGAAGAGAATGTCTCCACCTGGAAGTCTAACTCCTTTTACACTGCTGGGAAGAACTACTTGTTAAGGATGTGTAATGATCTTTTGAGGAGGTTGTCCAAGTCTCAGAACACAGTCTTCTGTGGACGGATCCAGCTGTTCCTGGCTCGTCTCTTTCCCCTGTCTGAGAAATCAGGTCTGAACCTGCAGAGCCAGTTTAATTTCGACAACATCACAGTATTCAACAAAAAAGAGCAAGAGGGCACTCTTGGCCAGAAGCCCACAGAGGAGAAAGAGGATAGGATGGAAGTGGAGGAGGGGGAGATGGGAGATGAGGAACTTAGTGCACCTGCTCCATGTTCCATCCCTATCGACTACAACCTATACAGAAAGTTCTGGACTCTGCATAACCCCTGTTCAGTGTTATGACAAGTTCTCCTGGATGACTTTCCTCAAGTATTCAGACGAGACGCTGGCAGTGTTTAAAAGCTTCAAGCTGGACGACATGCAGGCTTCTAAAAGCAAGCTGGAAGAGATGAGGATGGCAGGAGGAGAACCACGTTTACTTTGCCAAGTTCCTCACCAGCGAGAAGGTTGATGGACCTGCAGCTCAGTGACAGTAATTTCAGACGACACATCCTCCTGCAGTACCTTATCCTGTTCCAGGACCTCAAGGGACAGGTCAAGTTCAAAAGCTCCAGTTGTATCCTGAATGATGATCAGTGTTCATGGATGGAGGAGACCACCTACGTTGTGTACCAGGTGTGTGTGTGTGTGTGTGTTTTTCATCTGATAGATTGTAAATGACTGTTCTATATCATTACCGTTTTATATCATTATATCCTCTTAGTATGAATAGATTGTTTTGATATCCTTAGAGATTGAAAGTGGTGTTAGGTTCAAGCTCTTTGTGTATGAGAAGTGTAATTATTTAGTGAACTATAGGAATGTGTGCTCCCAATAACTCAAAGCCTCTCCTGACTGATAAGAAGTCTTATGATATGCACGGAGAAATCCTGGGTGATGGGAAAAGTACTGACGTATATCTTTGCGGAAGGGAGGGTGTGAGAGCTAAGGTTATAAGTGGACACTGCACTGTATTGAATGTACACCGTGGGCCCCGTGTAGCTCAGTTGGTAGAGCATGGCGCTTGCAACGCCAGGGTTGTGGGTTTGATTCCCACGGGGGGCCAGTATGAAAAATAAACAAATATGTATTCACTCACTAACTGTAAGTCGCTCTGGATAAGAGCGTCTGCTAAATGACTAAAATGTAAAATAATGCCAGACGTGATGTTCCATGGCACTTTTATTCCTGATTGTATGTTTTAAATTTTTCTCCAGAATGAGAGACATCAGAAGTGACCTGACCTTCATGACCACCAGGACTCCTAAAGAGGCCATACTGGTAATTCAAGATATTCTGATATATATTGTGGCAGACCAGGGGGTTTGATCTACACAGATCAGACACAAGTGTGACACCTCAGTTTCAAGGGTGTTTATTTAAACCAATAAAGAAAAGAAAAGATACAGGTCCCCTCCAGGAGACCTCTTCCGGGTTACCGCCTTCTGGGAATGCTGTCTCCTTTGGGGTAGAACACCGAGACCCTCGGTTCTAGCAGACCATGAGGACGTCTATCCGGTAGCAACCTCTCACTACCTCCAACCCTCCCGTGTGCTGCCCTCCTGGCAGCCCCGTGCGGCTGGTGAGCAATCAGCCCCTTGATTACTCACCAGCCTCAATCGGCCCCAATTAGTCCTGGCGGGAGGACCCGTTGAGACCTGGCACGTCCAGCATGAGGGAGCCACCGCCGCGTGATGTAGACTCAGCCTGGTGGCTTGTCCGCGGTACGCCACAATATATAATTAATGATATTTATATTTGCATATATTTATATTTCTGCATCTAAGCTAAGGTCAGTTTTGACACTTGGCAAGTTTGACCCCCTACTATGGCTCAAATTATGAGATGTTGGCAAACACCAAGGAGCAGCCAATGGTCTTACAGATAGATACCTTGAATGATAAAGATGCTAGCCAAAAACGATCAATGTTGGTGTAATAAAGGTATACAATATAACAGATAGTTAGCTCCTCCGTTTTGTTATAGCTAAATAATACTTCTCCATCCAACCTTTTAGGTGCTAGTGGATTCGAGCTCCTCCATGAACGAGACATGCTATGATTCTGATGACAAAATAACACGGTTGGATGCTGTTAAACAGCTCTTTGATAACTTCGCAACTAGAAGCATGGCGTACGATTTTCATAATGTCATTGGCTTGGTGAAGTTTGACTCATCAGTTAAAACTCTCCACACATTTACAGAGACTCTGGAGACCTTCAAGGTAAATATATTTGATCATTTCTATTTTATGAATGCAAAATGGCGACGGGGGTGATTTTAATAAGATCCATACAAGTACTTACTGTACTGAGATCACATACGTACTCCCCTCAAACCTGTTTCAAGACTGAAACTGAGTCTCAGCGATATGACGTTGCCACGAGCAGCACTGTACATGTTACAGAGGAGTGTGATGCACTAAGATGCACTCACAGAGTATCTGCACGTGCATGGGTGAGCTTCAAATTGTCCAGATGTTGTATCTTACGTGTGCGTTGCTGACGCTACCGGTCAGTCAGGGATTGTGTGGCATTTATGATATAATTCTTTAGCATGCATCTGCAAACGTCATATAATATTACTTACATGTAGATATTTTTGGCACTTACAGGAACACATACACAATCTGGAGGTCAATGGATGCACTGTGCTGTATGATGCCTTGAAACGTGGCATGTCACAACTGAAAAAAGTTGGAGAGCAATTTCCAGACTGCAGACTTCGCATCATATGTCTCACAGATGGGAATGATGATGGGTAAATAGAATGATACTTTTTCAGTGCGTAAAACAGTTTGCGCACGAGCTATGCCTATTTTGATGTTACATTCATTGCTTTAACGAAACGGTATTGTTAGATTTGATTGTTTGGTTAATAATTATATCCGTAGGTCAATGACCGAACCAGATGCTGTCACAACCAAACTGATGATCCTTAACATTGTTGTTGATGCCATCATTGTTGTAAAGGTGGACAACAATGTGCTGCGTGGAATCAGCAATGCAACAGGTACTGTATAATGTCGAAGGTGATTCTGGTTTATATCCCAGCAGAGGACGTACGTCATCATAATGATGTCTTCTTGTGGTTGAAATATGGACGCAAAATCAGAATGAATGCATTTTGTCTAATTATTTCTCATTGTGATATTATTTTGGCCTCACTCAATGTCACGGTTTCGGCCGAGACTGCTCCTCCTCCTAGTTCGGGCAGGCTTCGGCGTTCGCCGTCCCCGGAGTACTAGCTGCCACCGCTCTATGTTTCGTCATTTGATTGCTTTTGTCTGTCTGTTACACCTGTGTCCATTTGTGTGTTGATTACGTGTCTTATAAGTTCCTTGTTTTGCACTAGAATGATTGTGTGTTGTTATGACTGCCACTGTGTCGGAGCTACGTGTTTGCACCCTGTTTGTTTTGTGTTTAGTGTTTACGCGTGTGCGTAAAGTTGGTCACATGAGTATTCCTGTGAGATTTCCACAGGTGGCACCTCATTCCCAGCATAAGGCGCTAGTAGATTCAGGCGCAGCTGGGAACTTTATTGATCGGGCATTTTGTTGTAGGTTAGGAATTCCCCTTCGGCCGGTAGAAGCTCCATTTCCAGTCCACGCATTAGACAGCCGGCCGTTGGGGTCGGGCCTGATCAGGGAGGTCACAGCACCACTGACGATGACGACGCAGGGGGGTCATGAGGAGATCATTCAGTTTTATCTGATTGACTCTCCTACGTACCCCGTGGTGTTGGGCCTTCCCTGGTTAAGCACCCATGATCCTACCATAGCGTGGCAACAGAGGGCTCTTATGGAGTGGTCTGCCCAGTGTGTAGGGAGATGTCTAGGTGTTTCCGTAGGGGCGACCTCGGTAGAGAGTCCGAACCAAGTGCTCGCACTGCGCATTCCCCCTGAGGGCTCTTATGGAGTGGTCTGCCCAGTGTGTAGGGAGATGTCTAGGTGTTTCCGTAGGGGCGACCTCGGTAGAGAGTCCGAACCAAGTGCCCGCACTGTGCATTCCCCCTGAGTATGAGGATTTAGCACTCGTGTTTAGCAAATCGAGGGCAACACGGCTACCTCCTCATAGACAAGGGGACTGTGCGATAAATCTCCAGACAGGAGCGGCTCTTCCACGGAGTCGTGTGTATCCCCTGTCTCAAGAGGAAACAGCGGCTATGGAGACTTACATAGCCGAGTCCTTGGCACAGGGATACATACGGTCCTCCACTTCCCCGGTCTCCTCTAGTTTCTTCTTTGTGAAGAAGAAGGACGGGGGATTGCGCCCGTGTATTGATTACCGTAGTCTCAATCAGATCACAGTTAAATACAGTTACCCACTTCCACTGATTGCGACGATGACGGAATCATTACGCGGAGCGCGGTTCTTCACAAAGTTGGATCTCAGGAGCGCGTACAATCTGGTGCGCATTAGGGAGGGGGATGAATGGAAAACAGCATTTAGCACCACCTCGGGTCATTACGAGTATCTCGTCATGCCATACGGGTTAATGAATGCTCCTTTAGTCTTCCAATCCTTTGTTGACGAGATTTTCCGGGACATGCATGGGCAGGGTGTAGTAGTTTACATCGACGACATCCTAGTGTACTCTTCTACACGAGCCGAGCATGTAGCCCAGGTGCGCCGAGTGTTGAGAAGACTGTTGGAGCATGACTTGTATGTCAAGGCAGAGAAATGCCTGTTCTTCCAGGAGTCCGTCTCCTTTTTGGGTTATCGGTTGTCCGCGTCTGGTGTGGAGATAGAGGTAGACCGGGTATCGGCCGTGCGTAATTGGCAAACTCCAACCACTGTAAAAGAGGTGCAGCAGTTCTTGGGTTTTGCTAATTACTACCGGAGGTTTATTCGGGGTTTTGGACAGGTTGCAGCTCCCATTACGTCCCTGCTAAAGGGGGGTCCGGTTCGTTTGCAGTGGTCGGCTGAGGCGGACAGGGCATTTGTCAAACTAAAGAACCTGTTCACCTCGGCTCCTGTGCTGGCGCATCCGGATCCCTCTTTACCATTCCACATAGAGGTAGACGCGTCCGAGACCGGTATTGGGGTAGTTCTGTCACAACGGTCCGGCACGCCACCTAAACTCCGCCCCTGTGCGTTCTACTCCAATAAGCTCAGCTCGACGGAGCGCAACTATGATGTTGGGGACAGGGAGCTGTTAGCCGTAGTCCAGGCCCTAAAGGTGTGGAGGCATTGGCTTGAGGGGGCTCAACACCCTTTCCTCATTCTGACTGATCACCGTAACCTGGAGTACATCCGGGCAGCTAGGAGATTGAACCCTCGTCTGGCTAGGTGGAACATGTTCCTAACCCGGTTTGTTTTTAAGATCACATACATCCCTGGGTCCCAGAATGGTAAGGCAGACGCCCTGTCCCGGCGGTATGACACAGAGGAGAGGTCCAACGAGCCTACTTCCATATTGCCGGAGTCTTGTTTGGTGGCTCCGGTGGTATGGGAGGTCGATGCGGAAATCGAGCGGGCACTGCGTACCGACCCTACTCCCCCCGAGTGTCCTGTGGGGCGGACGTACGTTCCGCTCGAGATTCGTGATCGACTTATTTATTGGGCTCATACATCACCCTCCTCTGGACATCCAGGTATTGGCCGGACCGTGCACTGTCTTAGCATGAAATACTGGTGGCCAACGTTAGCTAGGGATGTGAGGGTTTATGTCTCCTCCTGCTCGGTGTGTGCCCAGTGTAAGGCGCCTAGACATTTGCCCAGGGGTAAGCTACATCCCCTGCCCGTTCCACAACGACCATGGTCCCACCTATCGGTGGATTTCGTAACCGACCTACCCCCCTCCCAGGGGAATACCACCATTTTGGTCGTTGTGGATCGGTTTTCCAAGGCCTGTCGTCTCCTTCCCATGCCGGGTCTCCCTACTGCCCTACAAACCGCTGAGGCCCTATTTACCCATGTGTTCCGGCACTATGGGGTCCCCGAGGATATAGTGTCTGACCGAGGTCCCCAGTTCACCTCCAGAGTTTGGGGGGCGTTCATGGGACGGTTGGGGGTCTCGGTAAGCCTTACCTCGGGGTACCACCCAGAGAGCAATGGGCAGGTGGAACGTGTCAACCAGGATGTGGGTAGGTTTTTGAGGTCCTATTGCCGGGACCGGCCGGAGGAGTGGTCTAGGTTCATCCCCTGGGCAGAGATGGCCCAGAACTCTCTCCGCCACTCCACACCTTTCCAGTGTGTTTTAGGTTATCAGCCGGTCCTGGCACCATGGCACGAGAGCCAGATCGAGGCCCCTGCGGTGGACGAGTGGATTCGGCGCTCGGAGGAGACGTGGGACGCTGCCCATGTCCATCTGCAGCGTGCCATCCGTCAACAAAAGGCGAGCGCCGATCGCCACCGCAGTGAGGGACCGGTGTACGCACCGGGAGATCGAGTCTGGCTCTCGACTCGAAACCTGCCCCTCCGCCTGCCCTGCCGGAAGCTGGGTCGGCGGTTTGTGGGGCCCTTCAAAGTCCTGAGAAGATTGAACGAGGTGTGTTACAGGTTACAACTGCCTATAGAGTATAAAAATATTAACCCCTCGTTCCATGTGTCTCTTCTCAGGCCGGTGGTAGCTGGCCCACTCCAAGAAGATGAGATAGGAGAGACCCCTCCGCCCCCTTTGGACATCGAGGGGGCCCCGGCGTACAGGGTCCGGACCATCTTGGACTCGAGGCGCCGGATGAGTGGTCTCCAGTATCTCGTGGAGTGGGAGGGGTACGGTCCGGAGGAACGGTGCTGGGTGCCCAGGAGGGACATACTCGATCCATCCCTCCTGACTGAGTTTCACCGTGGGCATCCCACGCGCCCGGGTCCGCGTCCTCCTGGCCGTCCCCGAGGCCGGGGTCGGCGCACGGCTGGAGCCGCGCGTCAAGGGGGGGGGGTACTGTCACGGTTTCGGCCGAGACTGCTCCTCCTCCTAGTTCGGGCAGGCTTCGGCGTTCGCCGTCCCCGGAGTACTAGCTGCCACCGCTCTATGTTTCGTCATTTGATTGCTTTTGTCTGTCTGTTACACCTGTGTCCATTTGTGTGTTGATTACGTGTCTTATAAGTTCCTTGTTTTGCACTAGAATGATTGTGTGTTGTTATGACTGCCACTGTGTCGGAGCTACGTGTTTGCACCCTGTTTGTTTTGTGTTTAGTGTTTACGCGTGTGCGTAATTTTCCCTCGCCTCTTGGTGTATTTTGAGGTCGGGGTTTTTTCTCGTAAACATTAGACTATTAAAGTCTGTTGGACTTAACCTCTGTGTCCTGCGCCTGACTCCTCCACCACATCCACATCGGTTCTAGTGACACTCAAAAGTGCACACAAGAACACAAGCAAAATGGAGGCAGCATTCCAAATGTTTCAACATGAAATTTACTGCGGTTGTGATCAAAAATGTTTTTAAGCATATCTTAAAATCAAATCAAATCAAATTTTATTGGTCACATGCGCCGAATACAACAGGTGCAGACATTACAGTGAAATGCTTACTTACAGCCCTTAACCAACAGTGCATTTATTTTAAACAAAAAAGTAAGAATAAAACAACAACAAAAAAGTGTTGAGAAAAAAAGAGCAGAAGTAAAAAATAAAGTGACAGTAGGGAGGCTATATATACAATAGAATAAAGTGACAGTAGGGAGGCTATATATACAGGGGGGTACCGTTGCATAGTCAATGTGCGGGGGCACCGGCTAGTTGAGGTAATATGTACATGTGGGTAGAGTTAAAGTGACTATGCATAAATACTTAACAGAGTAGCAGCAGCGTAAAAAGGATGGGGTGGGGGGGCAGTGCAAATAGTCCGGGTAGCCATGATTAGCTGTTCAGGAGTCTTATGGCTTGGGGGTAGAAGCTGTTGAGAAGTCTTTTGGACCTAGACTTGGCACTCCGGTACCGCTTGCCGTGCGGTAGCAGAGAGAACAGTCTATGACTAGGGTGACTGGAGTCTTTGACAATTTTGAGGGCCTTCCTCTGACACCGCCTGGTATAGAGGTCCTGGATGGCAGGGAGCTTTGCCCCAGTGATGTACTGGGCCGTACGCACTACCCTCTGTAGTGCCTTGCGGTCAGAGGCCAAGCAGTTGCCATACCAGGCGGTGATGCAACCAGTCAGGATGCTCTCGATGGTGCAGCTGTAGAATTTTTTGAGGATCTGAGGACCCATGCCAAATCTTTTTAGTCTCCTGAGGGGGAATAGGCTTTGTCGTGCCCTCTTCACGACTGTCTTGGTGTGTTTGGACCATGATAGTTCGTTGGTGATGTGGACACCAAGGAACTTGAAGCTCTCAACCTGTTCCACTACAGCCCCGTCGATGAGAATGGGGGCGTGCTCAGTCCTCTTTTTTTTCCTGTAGTCCACAATCATCTCCTTTGTCTTGGTCACGTTGAGGGAGAGGTTGTTGTCCTGGCACCACACGGCCAGATCTCTGACCTCCTCCCTATAGGCTGTCTCATCGTTGTCGGTGATCAGGCCTACCACTGTTGTGTCGTCGGCAAACTTAATGATGGTGTTGGAGTCGTGCCTGGCCATGCAGTCATGGGTGAACAGAGAGTACAGGAGGGGACTGAGCACGCACCCCTGAGGGGCCCCCGTGTTGAGGATCAGTGTGGCAGATGTGTTGTTACCTACCCTTACCACCTGGGGGCGGCCCGTCAGGAAGTCCAGGATCCAGTTGCAGAGGGAGGTGTTTAGTCCCAGGATCCTTAGCTTAGTGATGAGCTTTGAGGGCACTATGGTGTTGAATGCTGAGCTGTAGTCAATGAATAGCATTCTCACGTAGGTGTTCCTCTTGTCCAGGTGGGAAAGGGCAGTGTGGAGTGCGATAGAGATTGCATCATCTGTGGATCTGTTGGGGCGGTATGCAAATTGGAGTGGGTCTAGGGTTTCTGGGATTATGCTGTTGATGTGAGCCATGACCAGTCTTTCAAAGCACTTCATGGCTACAGACGTCAGTGCCACGGGTCGGTAGTCATTTAGGCAGGTTATCTTAGAGTTCTTGGGCACGGGGACTATGGTGGTCTGCTTGAAACATGTTGGTATTACAGACTCAGTCAGGGACATGTTGAAAATGTCAGTGAAGACACTTGCCAGTTGGTCAGCACATGCTCGGAGTACACGTCCTGGTAATCCGTCTGGCCCTGCGGCCTTGTGAATGTTGACCTGCTTAAAAGTCTTACTCACATCGGCTACGGAGAGCGTGATCACATAGTCGTCCGGAACAGCTGGTGCTCTCATGCATGCTTCAGTGTTGCTTGCCTCGAAGCGAGCATAGAAGTGGTTTAGCTCGTCTGGTAGGCTTGTGTCACTGGGCAGCTCGCGGCTGTGCTTCCCTTTGTAGTCTGTAATAGTTTTCAAGCCCTGCCACATCCGACGAGCGTCAGAGCCAGTGTAGTATGATTCAATCTTAGACCTGTATTGACTCTTTGCCTGTTTGATGGTTCGTCGGAGGTCATAGCGGGATTTCTTATAAGCGTCCGGGTTAGAGTCCCGTTCCTTGAAAGCGGCAGCTCTACCCTTTAGCTCAGTGCGGATGTTTCCTGTAATCCATGGCTTCTGGTTGGGGTATGTACGTACGGTCACTGTGGGGACGACATCATCGATGCACTTATTGATGAAGCCAGTGACTGATGTGGTGTACTCCTCAATGCTGTCTGAAGAATCCCTGAACATGTTCCAGTCTGTGCTAGCAAAACAGTCCTGTAGCTTAGCATCTGCGTCATCTGACCACTTTTTTATTAGCCGAGTCACTGGTGCTTCCTGCTTCAGTTTTTGCTTATAAGCAGGAATCAGGAGGATAGAGTTATGGTCAGATTTGCCAAATGGAGGGCGAGGGAGAGCTTTGTATGCGTCTCTGTGTGTGGAGTAAAGGTGGTCTAGAGTTTTTTCCCCTCTGGTTGCACATTTAACATGCTGGTAGAAATGAGGTAGAACGGATTTAAGTTTCCCTGCATTAAAGTCCCCTGCTACTAGGAGCGCTGCATCTGGATGAGCGTTTTCCTGTTGATTAATGGCCTTGTACAACTCATTCAGTGCAATCTTAATGCCAGCATTGGTTTGTGGTGGTAAATAGACAGCTATGAAAAGTATAGATGAAAACTCTCTTGGTAAATAGTGTGGTCTACAGCTTATCATAAGATACTCTACCTCAGGCGAGCAAAACCTTGAGACTTCCTTAGTATTTGATTTTGTGCACCAGCTGTTGTTTACAAAAATACAGAGACCGCCACCCCTCGTCTTACCCGAGTCTGCCGTTCTGTCCTGCCGATGTAGCGTATAGCCTGCTAGCTGAATGTTGTCATTGTTGTCATTCAGCCACGACTCCGTGAAACATAAGATATTACAGTTTTTAATGTCCCGTTGGTAGGATAACCGTAATCTTAAATCGTCCATTTTATTATCCAAAGCTTGAACGTTGGCTAATAGGCTAATAGGATTGATGGGAGAGGCAGTTTACTCGTTCGCCGTCGGATCTTTACAAGGCACCCCGACCTACGTCCACGGTATCTCCGTCTCTTCCTCACGCGAATGACGGGGATCTGGGCCTTGTCTGGAGTCTGTAGAATATCCTTCGCGAACGCCTCGTTGAAGAAAAAGTGCTCGTCCAACGCGAGGTGAGTAATCGCTGTCCTGATATCCAGAAGCTCTCTTTGGTTATAAGAGACGATGGCATAAACATTATGTACAAAATAAATTACAAATAACGCGGAAAAACACACATAATAGTACAATTGGTTAGAGGGCTGTAAAACGGCAGCCATCTTCTTCCGGCGCTGTTCATGAGCATATGTCATAATATTACAGTTTATCGTAATATAGGTGACAATTGACATTAAATTATACTTTATAACAGGGTTGTAAAGGGTTTAAAATCTTGATGTACTTAGTTTCTTAATCACTAACGTTAGTGGTGTAGTTTTTATTTTGTTGCATCCATTTACAGCCAGTGTGCGTTTTCTTGAAAGTTTGAATTGCATTTGGTTCAATTAAGATGACACAGCAGTCTACAGTGTAATAAAATGTGATGCAGCCATTGGGTGTTTTTTTGAGCCCCTACATAACGATGGCCTATTTGTATTCATATTTGCTTCAAGTAATAACAATGAAGCAACTGAATCCATCCATCATGTATTCTGGTAGGAGGGTGTTGTTTCAAACCAGAGATGAGTAAAGCTGGTCTGAAGCTCTTTGAAATGGAAACCGTTCTGTCTTTGGAGATGAGGAAGCTGAAGAAGAAATTGGACCCATCCTACATTCGGAGCGAGGTATGATCTATTAAATGAAACCTATTCAAATAGGACAAATGTTTCCATGTATTTTATATAAAATAATACGATTCTTGTTCTTTATTTTACTCTTTACTTTATTTTACTCTTATTATTATCTGTCCTGATGCCTAGTCACTTTACCCTGCCTTCATGTACATATCTACCTCAAATTCCTTATTATTATCTATCCTGATGCCTAGTCACTTTAGCCTGCCTTCATGTACATACAGTGGGGAGAACAAGTATTTGATACACTGCCAATTTTGCAGGTTTTCCTACTTACAAAGCACGTAGAGGTCTGTAATATTTATCATAGGTACACTTCAACTGTGAGAGACGGAATCTAAAACAAAAATCCAGAAAATCACATTGTATGATTTTTAAGTAATTAATTTGCATTTTATTGCATGACATAAGTATTTGATCACCTACCAACCAGTAAGAATCCCGGCTCTCACAGACCTGTTAATTTTTCTTTAAGAAGCCCTCCTGTTCTCCACTCATTACCTGTATTAACTGCACCTGTTTGAACTCGTTACCTGTATAAAAGACACCTGTCCACACACTCAATCAAACAGACTCCAACCTCTCCACAATGGCCAAGATCAGAGAGCTGTGTAAGGACATCAGGGATAAAATTGTAGACCTGCACAAGGCTGGGATGGGCTACAGGACAATAGGCAAGCAGCTTGGTGAGAAGGCAACAACTGTTGGCGCAATTATTAGAAAATGGTCAATCACCCTCGGTCTGGGGCTCCATGCAAGATCTCACCTCGTGGGGCATCAATGATCATGAGGAAGGTGAGGGATCAGCCCAGAACTACACGGCAGGACCTGGTCAATGACCTGAAGAGAGCTGGGACCACAGTCTCAAATAAAATATTAGTAACACACTACGCCGTCATGGATTAAAATCCTGCAGCGCACGCAAGGTCCCCCTGCTCAAGCCAGCGCATGTCCAGGCCCGTCTGAAGTTTGCCAATGACCATCTGGATGATCCAGAGGAGGAATGGGAGAAGGTAATGTGGTCTGATGAGACAAAAATAGAGCTTTTTGGTCTAAACTCCACTCGCCGTGTTTGGAGGAAGAAGGATGAGTACAACCCCAAGAACACCATCCCAACCGTGAAGCATGGAGGTGGAAACATCATTCTTTGGGGATACTTTTCTGCAAAGGGGACAGGACGACTGCACCGTATTGAGGGGAGGATGGATGGGGCCATGTATCGCGAGATCTTGGCCAACAACCTCCTTCCCCCAGTAAGAGCATTGAAGATGAGTCGTGGCTGGGTCTTCCAGCATGACAACGACCCGAAACACACAGCCAGGGCAACTAAGGAGTGGCTCCGTAAGAAGCATCTCAAGGTCCTGGAGTGGCCTAGCCAGTCTCCAGACCTGAACCCAATAGAAAATCTTTGGAGGGAGCTGAAAGTCCGTATTGCCCAGCGACAGCCCCGAAACCTGAAGGATCTGGAGAAGGTCTGTATGGAGGAGTGGGCCAAAATCCCTGCTGCAGTGTGTGCAAACCTGGTCAAGACCTACAGGAAACGTATGATCTCTGTAATTGCAAACAAAGGTTTCTGTACCAAATATTAAGTTCTGCTTTTCTGATGTATTAAATACTTATGTCATGCAATAAAATGCAAATTAATTACTTAAAAATCATACAATGTGATTTTTTAGATTCTTGTTTTAGATTCCGTCTCTCACAGTTGAAGTGTACCTATGATACAAATTACAGACCTCTACATGCTTTGTAAGTAGGAAAACCTGCAAAATCGGCAGTGTATCAAATACTTGTTCTCCCCACTGTATCTACCTCAAATACCTTATTATTATCTATCCTGATGCCTAGTCACTTTACCCTGCCTTCATGTACATATCTACCTCAAATACCTCTTACACCTGCACATTGATCTGGTACTGGTACTCCCTGTATATAGCTTAATTATTGTGTATTTTATTCCTCTTGTGTTACTATTTGTATGATTTTTAAAACTTTGCACCGTTGGGAAGGGCTCGTAAGCAAGCATTTTACGGTAAAGTTGCATGTGACAAATACATTTTTATTTTATTTAAATATGGAAGTTAATAACATTGATATTAAATTGTACTGAACAATGCTCATTTGCCTCTACAGAAAGTTCTAGTTGCTCTCTTCGCCAACCGAGGTTATGATGAGAAGCCAGAGGTTGCTCTGCCAAGTCGACTAAATTATAAAGTGGACTGGGACAGAGAGGTAAGTGCAATTCCATTATCAGCATTTAATTCTGGGATCCAATTCCATCGCAAACTGTCATTTACTTCCACTACTAACTACTATTCAAGAAGCATTTATATAATGTTGAAATTGAGGTACACTACTTTATTGCTCTAACAAAACTAATATGTCACAAAATAGTGCATTGAAAAAGAAGATCCAGGAATCCAAGAGCGGCCGCTTTTTAGAGAAGGACAAACGCCTTCTGGAAGAGCTGAAGAGCCTGCACTGTGACCCACACCCATTCTGCACTGTTTTGCCTTCAGAGTCAGACTTTAGTAAGTAAACATTATTGGGGTATTGTTTTAAGTGTTATTGATCTGGTAACGCTTAGTATAAATATACTTTTCATAATGATTTATAATAACATTGTTAATGCTTGATATACTCTATATGGACCGTGACAGTAACAGCCTCAAGTTATTGGTTTGTTTGCTTGACTGTAAAGTGGTCAAATCAACCTCCCATCCAGATGACCAGTTGGTTATTATTTGAATCATTTTGCACAATATTGTCTAAAACATTTAGCCCCTCTGATTCCATACCTTTCAGCATTTTTGGAAGATTCTCATGCAAGGCCCTCCTGATACACCTTATGAGGATGGAGTCTTTGAGTTGTACTGTCAGTTTGGGGCTGACTACCCAGTCAAACCTCCACTTGTGCGCTTTGTCACACCTGTATCCTTCTACACAATGAAAACATGGAAGACAGTGTTTATTCTTATTGCCTATGTCATACATTTTATAATTCTATCCAGTTGATTGATGCTTTTTTCAGTTATGTAAAATCCTCAATGTGGACAAAGGTGTACCGCTGTAACATAAACAGTGTGGGTCGTATCTGGCACAACATATTTGGTCGCAGCTACAACACTCCCATAACCATGAGAGAGATCTTGGATGCTGTGGATGGAGTTCATCAGCTCATCGTTCCTGAACCCCAAGATCCACTGGACAGGTTGGCTTCAAGTTGTTTGATGACCACACTGTATACAAGGGTGGTGTTAACTCTGATTCTAAAATAAAAAATGAAAAGTATGAAAGTAGTGTATTATATATATTAGTGTATAGTGAATTCATATACCTACATTAATTTTATCTGAATTAAAATGTCTTGTAAAAGTATTTTGGCAGAGGAATACCTGACCAGCAGATACAAGTATGAAGAAGAGGCCAAGAAAAACACAGAGGAAGTTGCAGGCCATTCATTGGATGACAGAGAGAAGGTGAATGCACTTATTTAATTGTTCTTATTTTTGTAAGCTCTGCTACATATTTTATTAAGGGCTCTTGTGTGTAAAAAACAGGTGGATTCACTTTTCAGAGATGTCCATGTAAAACTGACATATCAGAGTCTACGTTACCAGTTTCTCAGATACATTTCTTTTAACAGCAAGCCTTTTTGTGTAACAGTTTATTCAGGGTATGATAATCCTTTCCTTTTAAACTTACAGAAATTGTTGGGTGAAGAGTTGACTGAGAAGTTCATACCCTCACACCTGATTTGTCCCCTCACCAACAAGATGTTTGTTGACCCAGTGAAGAACCAGGAGGGAACCGTGTACGAGCGAAAGGCCATTGGGAAACATCTGAAGAAGTAAGCGTGTTACTGGATTATTCATATTGATAAGTCATTATTTATGATTCATAATTAACGTGTTACTTTTATAAAGTAATCCAAAAATATTCAGCTAATGTTGTTGTGTGGTTGTTTCATTGGCTGCTTCTGAGTTTGTTTAAACACAGGCCACATTCATGTATTAATCGTGGGCTCAAATATTACTAAATGACTGTTAGTTTATTTACAAAATACATTTTTCGTATTCCCTTACGTGCAGAACTGAAATAACACATTGCTAGCAACTATGTGACAATTCGGTGTCAGTATTTTTTGTGTCACATTGCAATAGGCTTAGAAAGCCGACTGATTGACAATTCTTCAAACAGGAAAGTCTTCGCCAACTGTAAACATTTTAAAATGAATTAACTAATTAAATTAATTATTTGACCACTATTTTTTGAGAGTGGTTTACTGTCTTCCTAACTTTTACAGGACATGTATTGGGACTGATCCCAAAACAAACAAGTTACTGACATTAACTGATCTCAAGCCATACCAAGACATGAGAAAAATGGTGAGGGATTATCGCAAACAGCAAATTGAGGAGACAGATGCTTAAAACACAAAGTGGTAGCAAAAATGTAGCCTTTCTGCCTTGTAGCCTACACTTTTTGGTGAAAATGATGATGGAACTAACGTTACCCCACCCATTGGGTTATTAAAGTATGCTAACAATTGTATGTAACTGATATTTGTACTGACATTTTCTAGAGGGAATAGGCCTTCATTTCTTTGGGGTTTGTATTTGATTATAAACTGGATGGTTCGAGCCCTGAATGCTGATTGGCTGACAGCCGTGGTATATCAGACCGTAAACCACGGGTATGACAAAACATTAATTTTTACTGCTCTAATTACGTTGGTAACCAGTTTATAATAGCAATAAGGCACCTCGGGGGTTTGTGGTATATGGTCAATATACCACGGCTAAGGGCTGTATCCAGGCACTCCGTGTTGCGTCGTGCGTAAGAACAGCCCTTAGCCGTGGTATATTGGCCATATACTACACCCCCTCATTCCTTATTGCTTAAATATAGCACACTTCATGTGTAGCTAATTAAGATTCATATCCATGGCCATTTCCTATTAAACTCTTGTCAATAACCAGTTGAATTTCTGCATGTTAAAATTGATTTTGTATATTACACATGCATAACATTAGACTGTTACATAATCTGAGATCTAGGAGATTCCGCGCTCTACACACACGTACATTGTAAAATTGTTGTATGGTGGTATTATACATTTTGTGTTGTAGATATGGACTGGCGTAATAATGTTACATGATGTACTGTTTCATCTTTTGTTTTATGTGTGAAGTAAGTGCCTTAATGTGTTTGGACCCCAGGAAGAGTAGCTGCCGCCTTGGCAGGAACTAATGGGGATCCGGGATAAATACCGATGTGGTGTTTTGTTGTTGTTTATGAGTCAAAGGCCCACATTAATGATGGAGATGAAGTACTTTACTCTTTCAATTTACCACTACAACAAAGGGTATGATATCCACCATGCCTAAGGCTACCACAGTTAGGTTAGTGGTGCAGTTCTTTCTATTCTTTAATTTGTGTAATGTTTTTATGTTCTGCCACTTGGTGGCGCTGTGTAGCAACTATCACTTCATGGCCATTTAGCTGAGTTGCCTGTTAACACGTGGGACAATCGATCACTCCTTGTGGAGAAATGTAAAAAAAAACTATAATGCAACTATAATAATAATATGCCATTTAGCAGACGCTTTTATCCAAAGCGACTTACAGTCATGCGTGCATACATTTTTGTGTATGGGTGGTCCCGGGGATTGAACCCACTACCTTTGCGTTACAAGCGCCGTGCTCTACCAGCTGAGCTACAGAGGACCACACACTGAAGAGATCCTTAAATAAATGTCAAGTTCTTATCTTCAGTGTCTTAATGGAAGGAGAGGCCTATTGCATCAGAGTCAGTTGTACCTGTGTGTGTGTTCCTACCATTGCTTAGACAAGTGTTGAGGCCCGTGCACATGCTCTCACAACTATTTTATGAGGTGTTGAAAAACAGTTCACAACAGGATGGGTTCATTTAGAATTCACAATGACATCTCTACCGGATGAAGATATTAAATGTTATACTGTTAATGAAGACATTCAATGAAATACTGTTAATGAAGATATTCAATGATATACTGTTAATAAAGATATTCAATGATATACTGTTAATTAAGATATTAAATTATATACTGTTAATGAAGATATGAAATAATATACTGTTAATTAAGATATTAAATTATATACTGTTAATGAAGATATTAAATTACATACTGTTAATGAAGATATTAAATTATATACTGTGAAAGAAGGTGATTTAGTGGGAGACCTTAAAGTGGGAGAAGGCTCTGAATGATCATAGAAAAGCAGCCCATTTTGGGGACAGTTCCACCATTTGGACAATCCAGATCTAACTCAGAATGTAGCAGTAGAACCTCGGCTATAGGTGAGAGGTCGAACACCAGGTGGTGCTTCTCTGGTAAAGACCAAGCATTTGATGTGTGGTGTATCAGTGTGTGTGGTCAGTAATGGAGACCGAATGACCATTAAAGTCTGATGGTGGTCACGATTGATAACAGCTGCTGCTGTGGCTGTGCCACACAGAAACACTGTCTGTATACCGTATACCCAGGGATTGAATTGGGATGGTGTGTTTTGTGTGCCTATTATTTTGTGGGTTTTCCTGTGATGATTATATTAACAAGGTTATATTAACCACTCAGTGGTCACAGCAAACATGGCTACCCTGAAAGGAGGACGGTAGGCCTAACATACTCAACTTAAACTAATTTAGCTAAGCACATATACTTGTATTACTAAAAAGGAACTCCTACCCACTTTGAACTGTGATTTCTCCACTAAACTCGACTGAACACAGAGCCAATGTTACAGTCTGTCAGATCCTGATGACAGACGTCAATGAGCTTGGGATAAACTGAAATGGAGCTATTGCATGGAGTACTGAGTCTGCAAGACAGTGTGAACGAATTCTCTTTCATCCACGGATCACTTTCATTCGCCATGCGTCCATGGTTAGGTGCGCACACATCCAAAGTACTAGATTTTCCATTGCTTACAATGAACATAAAGTGTAAATCAACAGTCATTAAACTGCTGAAAGGTCAGTAACGACGAGGTCATGTTCGCTAGTGAGCCCCAATTGTTTTGACCCCTCCTCGGCTCTGGGTTGTGTTCATGAGGGCACGCAATGGAAAACGTTGAAAAACATTTTGCAACAAAAAACTAAAATTAAAGTTCCTTATTGGAAGAGTCCATGTAGTATCTCCTTGTTTCAGTCCATTTTCAGTTGAATAAACATGAGTGTTTTTATGAGTGGGAGGATCTTGGCAGCGAGGCAGTGGTGGTGGAGTAGCCCCTTGTCCTCCTGTCCTTAACCAGTAGAGAGAGAGAGAGAGGGGAGTGCTGGGTAATCTGTTGCAGTGTAAACACAGGCCCAGAAAAGGCAGTGGAATGTCTCTGTGGTGGGAGCTGGAGGAAGGTTCAGGGAGAGGCCAAGGCAGGTGGTGTACATCAGCAACAAGCAGACGTCTCCCCACTAACTTATCCAAACAAGAGACGGGCGCTAGCGATGCTAGGAGAAGGAGGAACAGAAAGAGGAGGAGCGGGGGGATAGATAGACAACAGCCAGTATCAGGGGGAGGCCTTTTTCTTCCTGGCTCAGCTCTGATTTGCTCTGGTCTGTCCTCTATCCCAGAGGGGAAAAACAAGCGTTAGTGCATGAGGCTGAACATGAGACAGGACTGTTGCCATTTCCATAAGCCCTTGATCCAGAGGCCTCCAGTCCTCCACTGATCTTGAGAGCACGCCACAAATCACTGGCGGGGCAGATCAGAGCTGGTTTACATTGCAGGAGAACACTGAAGATACACAGACCGAGGGAGAAGAACGTGCCATCCCACTGGGCACAGCCGTCAGTTCAACATCTAGTTTTGATGTACTTTTGGTTGAGTTGTCAACTAACTTGAATTCAACGTGAAATCAACCAAAAATGTCACCCTGTCATTGGATTTAGGTTCAGACCTGGGTGAAAAAAATACGAAATTCCCTTACCTTGATGACTTTTTGCAAATCCAATCAGTTGTTCGCGTTGATTCAACGTCATCACATTGAATATTTGGGTTGAAATGACGTGGAAACAACGTTGATTCAACTAGTTTTTGCCCAGTGGGATGTCAGCTGATGTCTGTTTCTCCTTTTGTTTTTACAGAGTCTGACCAATATTAATGTCCCACTGGGCACAAACAGGTTAAATCGACTTTGTTTCAACATAATTTGTCAACTTATAGTGACGTGAAATTTACGTGGAAAATACATTGGATTTGAAAAAAGTAATCAACTGTTGTTTTGAGGGTAAAATTTCAACCACATGATTATGTATGTCATCATGGTAACCAATTTTCAACATAGACAAACCTTGTATAAAATATGTTGAATTTGTACCTTTGAAATAAGGTCAGATCTTCAACGTAATATCCACTATAAGAAAAAAACTATAGGCTGGGCAGCGCCTCCTACTGGAGAGTCGATCTATCTACAGCTTCCCTTTGCTCTCCCATCCGGGTTTTAACCAAGCCCAGCGCTGCTTAGCTATGATGTCACTGACTAGTACCAATGTGCTATCATGAGAATGATTGTTGAGAGATCTCCACTTAATTGATTCACTGTTGCTATCGAAGTAATTCAAAAGGGTACGTTCAATAGAGAAAATGAAATGTAACCAACCATACTTTAATAATGATATATCATCAATGATGCTATTTATATCATCAACAGCTATTGGTTAAATTCAGCCCAGGATTGAACTAAAAATACACAATACATATAGGCCTTGGGGTTTCAAGCTTTGGTTGATTTCAAATGGAATCTACAAGTTAATTATAAATATGTTGGATTCACGTCTCTATCTCAACCAAAAACAAAGTCCTATTCTTTAACTTAGATTTTTTGTTGAAATGGAGACGTGAATCCAACATATCAATTATTAATTTGTAGACAAACTGGAATTAAAGTCAGACTCAGTGGCACAGATGGAGCTATCTGAGCTATCTCCTTCAAATGTTGATATTTGGTTGCGTTAATAACCAAACACAATTCAATATCACTTTTGCAATATGGTAAATAGCCTAATGTTAAGGCTATTTTACAAACTAATGTAACAGTATTCATTCAACCTTAAAATGAGTAACACATCCATGGCCACATTTGGAGGTTACTGTAACAATAAATGTCTTCTTATGTAGAAAGCGAGCATGTTCAGGGTCGCAGGTCTGTGGAAATCTTCACAATGGCTAAAATAAACTTGTGCCATGTACTTTAATGTAATCTCAACTAACTGCAATCCAGGTAATTTGGTTGTGCTATTAGATGAAGCACAGTGATAACACATTAAGTTGTTGTATAAATAAATAAAAGATCTGACATTGTATTCCCATTTGAACTTTGGTGTGTTTTAAAATGGTTAAAAGCAGAGTTATAACACATTTAGGTGACAACTAAAGCAAAAATCAGACATTGA